TCAAGTTCGGCGAAATAATCAATTGTGGGGGGACAATAAACTACACCAATAACTGCTTTTGCACGACCTGTACCAATCTCCAGAAAAATAAATTCAGAATTGGAGTCAGATTTGGAGGTAGCCAACAGTTTGTACAAAAATGTACTACGTAAAAAGAAAGCGACACCACCTCCGCCACGACCACAACGATCATTCCGAATTAAAGTAAAACCAGGGATAGAATAAGTAGTAGAGAGAAGATGTGGTTTTAACCAAGATTCAGAGATAAGGATAGCGTGTGCATTTCGCCCGGAGAAAACATCAAGTAATTCGTCATAATGTCTAGGTACGCTTTGGGCGTTGATGTGACATATATTTAATAACCATGGAGATGGCGCAAGTGTTCGATGCAAAAAATCACTAAGTGTGTCAGTAGCGGAACGGAAACTTTCGTCGTTAGCAGAGTCTGCAGATTCGTCATCAGCAGAAAAAAACTCGTCGTCTACAATCATAAACTACGTAAATATAAATAAATAGATAGATATAGGATATACGTATATAAATACACAGTATTAAAACACAAAATGTGAATAAATTAATGCTAAATAATGAAAAAGCACCAAAATATCCACACCACCCGCCAGCTCACATTATTCGGTTACTAGAAAACATAAAGAAAAAAGAAGCACATATTAATTACAGATAAGCAAACAAACACAATTAATACTTGCAAAGCCAATTAACAATAAATTAATAATAGCGAGGAAAAAAAAAAAAATTAATTTTACTAGACAAACCAACATGGCTGTATGAACACAAGAACTTTTGCCTTCGTAAAAGAGTACAAAACGAAAAGTCTGTCTGACATTGACAAGTGTACAAGTGACAGAACATCGGCACAAAGAAATACTAACAAAAGAAAACAATATTTTCTACCGATTAGCTACCATAATTAAAGTTTAAATATATATTTATATATATTTTTAAATAAAAAAAAAATAATAAAAGCAAGCAAAGTGTTTTGTTTTCCGACAACAGTATGCAGTTTATAAAGGCACAAAATAATGATTCTCATAGCCATTGCTACACTACAAGGTACAGCACATTTATCTTTATAGCAAAGAAAAGTAACAAATTAATTGAACAGATATAAGAAGCAATAGGCTTTCTCTAACGATAGCAATATAAAAGCCAATTTTAAACAAAGGTATTTAGTTACTTGTTCTCATTTGCAGTTCCTGGTCGCACAGCAGCCGAAGACTTCTTTGGATATTTTTCGACCAAAGTGTCCAACTCTTCTTTAAGTACCACCTTATGACGCCTACTATCTGAAGATTTGACATGAATGACGCCATCCTGAGTCCAACAAGACCGGACACCAAAATGCAGCCGAGCATTGTTGAATATTGTTTGCCGGGACTTAGTGAGAAACTCTTTCACCGTGATGTTGGTCCCCTTCAAATTCTTCTTCGCCTTCCAGACTGTAGATTTGAAGTCATATTGAGAGAACTTTACAAGTATAGGCCGATGCTTATTGCTTTCACTGCTCTTGGACGCTCCAAGCCTATGACAAACAGACATTGATGCTTTTGTGACATCATTGAGGCCTAGTTTTGTTTCCAGGATGCCACACATAACCTCTCTACAGTCCTCATCATCTGACTCAGCAACACCCATGAAAACCAGTGCCTTGCGACGGTGCCTTGATTCAACCGCATCAATCTGTGTGGCACATTCGCTTATCTGCTTGCGGAGTAGCCCCAACATGCTAAATACAAGCTCTCTAAATGTCCGGAACTCCTCAGCAACCTTTGCTACCGTTTCCTTACCAGAAGCTGTAACCTGGATCTGAGCCTCCAAATCCTGCATTTTCTTTATGAAGCACTCTTCCAGGCTCTTTTGTGCAGACACAATATCAGAGAGTTGCGGCATAGTGAGATACACAGTGTTAGTTATTATTTAAAATGTGCTCAAAGTTAAGTGAATGAAGTGCTGGCAGGTGGTGTCAAAGTTCAAGCTTATTTTACATATAAGTTGTTGCAAATGTAAGTAATGCTGATTTACTTCCTTGATCTTCAAATAAGCGTTAAAACAATGTATTAATTTTACTAAAAATAATTTAATTAAATTTTGCAATTGAGGAACACTTCTTTACTTTTTCACACCTACCGCCCAAAAAAAAAAAAAAAAAAAAAAAATGTATCGGTCTTGTCTCCGTGTGGTGCAGCGATACCGTCCTCCATGGCGCTCAGCCACGGTACCAGTGCTTCGGTATCGTGTCCAAAGTCGACTGATAACACTCTGACTTGTATTCAGAGCTAAAGCCACAGTACGTTGCCGGGAACCAGCTTCTATCATTCCCACGGCTCTGAGCATTTCTTCCCTGCTTAAATGACGTCGCCGCTCCATAATAACGTTGGTTTTAATCAGTAGTAGGGAAACAGTAGCACTAATAATGTCTTCAATGCGTTGTATGTTTTTATAGGGAAAATATTGACAGCTGATTTTCATCTTTTACTCGAATTTGATTCACAGTTCCTGATTCAAATTATGAAATGCACCAAAAAGGATCCATATAAATTTATAAAATCATAAATTTATTACAAAGCCACATCTCAATCTCAAGAAATCCGCATAAAAATGCTTGATCCCTAGACACTTTTGATGTGTGTATTTTGATTGACATTCTTTTATAATATTTTTTATACAACAACATTAACCATGCAGTTGTATTTAGAAATGAGTTTATTTTTTATTTCTAAAGAATGTTAAAGCACTATGTGGCCTATTTAGTGATAAACGACCACCATAGCTAAATAGAAAATCATGTTAGTATGCAAATTTAACATTAATTTAGAAATTGATTTTGGAATATTCTAAAAGTAACTTTAGAAGCGGAACGTACGTTGAGAATTGCGCAAAATTTTTACACCTGTCGTTTTCCCTTCACGTACAAATTGTTTATTTTGTGCCGTTTTAGTATTTTGTGTCTGGGGTTATAAAATATATAAAAAATTACATGCTTTCCCGACTGTCACACCAAACCGTATCTCCAATGTTATGGTGGGGATTTTTTTCCCGACGCTGACACGCTTTCAAAGTCAAAGTGTGAAGGTGGGTAAACCTTGTGTTCCATTCCAGTGTTACCGTTGGTACTACATCATATACTTATATACATACATAGTTACATACGAATTGGCCAGTGAAAGTTAAATAAAAGCTTGTAAAAAGACTCGTATTAGTCAATCACAAAAGAATGCAAGTATTCCTGTCGTTATGACTGAAACTGATATGATGTGAAAAACTTGCATCCGCTCTATCATGACCTACGTGAATATTTGCTTCACCCACGTGCCTCCGTCGCGTCTTAAACCCTTACAAAAGCTGCAAAATCAACGCAAAATGTATTGCGCGGTGCTACGGGTTGCCCGTGGTACGTACGCAATATCGATTTGCACCGGGATCTCAAGTTAGATTCCATCGCGATGTATATGAAGGACGCCTCGAGACGTTACCGCACGTCCGCCCTACACTCGTTGGTCCTTCCGATTCCACCGGCCTAAGCACGTCTTAGAATACCCCGACGACGAAATCAACCGCGCTAATGCGCCTCCGTTTCCTCCCACACAGGCCACAAACACCAACACTACATAGCTAGCAAACTTGCACACTAGCTTAGCATTAGGCAGACACCGCACCCATAGGATAAGAGTGCAAAAACCCGGTCTACACACGACACGCTATCTATACTAGATACAGATACGTACCTGGCCGTTTTTCCCCGCCCTCCAGGACATTGGGTAACTAGAGCCGAGGTCCGAGTCTCAGAAACACCCTCTAGTTGAGGGTCGTCTCAAGTTCAAGTGGTCTAGAGGCTCCATACGGAAAGGAAACTCTCACCGTGGGGAGAAGCCATTCGCCTAGAATACCGCTAGAGGCACTTGCCAATTCTCAGCTTGACGCTGTAATAGTTATCTGCGCCCAGCAGGATACACACTGAAAAAAAAGAAACTGATGTACCAGGTCAACATTACTCCAACCAAAGGAGATAATTATTTCAATGCATTCCTTACGAAGGTAGGGAATGCATTGGCGTGACAGGGTACCATCCGTAAGGATAGCTACACACATAATCGGTCCGGAATTAATCGGCACAGCCTGGCGGTAAAATCGAATATTTGTAGATGAATGTTAGGCAGTAATTATTATGGGTTGGCTTTGTTGTTCGACAAATACTGCTGAACTGACTATGCCGGCCCAATTATGTGTGTAGCTACCCTAACACTGGTGTTACCCTGGTGTTTTAAATTGTATTTAAAAAATAAAATAGAATAGAGATATTTTGTCATTCGTGAAGAAAATGTTACAAAGTTTTCTTATACCTACAATACAAGAAGTATTGCTCCCACTCGTGTTTTCTTAACTTATGACAGATTCTTCTAACCTTTTTAATGGATACACGCCCGTAACCCTTAAAAAGGTAGATACATATTTGTAAATATTCAATAAATTATTCGCAATTTAGTTGTCCTCGGTATGGTCGAAATAAGGCAATTCCGTAAGAATAGCATTTAAGAATGTTAGTGCAAGTGACCTTTGATTTAATACATATTTGCATTAAGTAGTAAATTTATTGGAGAGTGCCATATTTTTATATTATGAGTTTATTCTATTTAGTTTCGCTTATGTATGTCTTGGTGTTTGGCCTAATTCTGTAAAAGGATTTTCACCCGGCGAAAATTTGACAACAGTAAATAATCCAGGATTTAAAGTCTTTTGCCTTTTTAGAAGCAGGCTCCACCATATTTACTTCGCTAATAATCATAATGATCGGTCTTATTTTGATATGTTGCAAAGTAAATCAAAAATACATATTTCAGATATTGATTCATTAATAGTAGATTGAAGAACATTTAAATGCGTTAATCATTATCGTAATCAAGTAATATCTTGCTGGAGTATCTCTTATCAATTCTAATCGTTGAACCTAAAACAACTGTGTGTCAACCGTTCCAGTATTCCACAATCTACCCAAGGAAAAGGTTTGCGCGAGTCTTCAGTTTAATTTGTTTGTTTTTTTTACTGTTTCTGTGTGTAGTACTTCAACTTACTCTCCTTATAGCTAGCATTCAGAAATGGTAAGTTTATCGAGTGTTTTACGTTTCGACATAGGTATTTTTTATTATCTCTTAAATCATTAACCCCTTTAATCACTAACACTAACGTATTAATTGTTTTTATTATAATTGTCGCTATAATATTTTAATTTTATTAGTACCTTTTTGCCATATATCCCTTACGGTGTTGGTAGATTAACAGAGAGGAATCTTCAGAATCAGTATGAATCTTTAATCTTCGTCACTTTCAAAGACTATTTTAAATTGTTTGGGTTGTCGGAAACGATAAGGTAATAAGATCCTGTCTCTTGGCCACAAGTTTCCACAAATGTCTTGTCAATTTATATGCTCTTAAATTCCTCTTAATTCTTATGCCAGTCGACTTGCTGATAAAACTGACTTTTTTTAGGTTTTGTTCCATAAATAATAAACATGCAATGACTGATAATTAACAGTGATAAACATAAATGTAGATAAAACATAAAAAAATATAATTATTTATAGTGTTTTATTCCGATTTTGAATATTTCCCCGTGTGCATACATTTCCCCCCACATGCATATAGCTCTGGCTACCTTTGTACAGGCATACATAGTTACTAACACAAACACCCTTAATGCTAGAACTTTTTTATAGAAAATTATCAACTGCCTGCTTTACGCAGATGATAGTGTTAGTCGCAGGTAAATCAATCTAATCTTCAAACACTGGTTACAATAATTAAAATTTATTGAAGGAAAAAAAGATGATTTTCGAAAATGGTGGAACCGGGTAATGAGTTCCGGTTGTTAATGAGATCGTATATCTTGGGTGCGCTTTTAGCAGAGTTGGAATAATATAAAAAAGAGTATTGCTATTACTATTTTTAATCGTCGCTTAAGTAAACCAGTTGGTCTACATAAGATGCCAACGTGTAAAGCAATACAGAAAACATAATCAGTGAATAGGGGTCGCTATATAGGTACAACACTAATGTACGAAAGCGGGATCTGGGTGTTTAAACAAGTTTAGTATGAAAGTAAATTAAACGCAGTCGAGCATTCGTTCGTTCTGCATCCGTAATGTAAAAGTAAGAAAAATTGTCGGTGGTAAAATGTAGTAAAGCATACTCTGTTGGTTAAGACATGTTAGAACGAGAAAATGACAAAATATTACAATCCTTTTTTGGCAGTCTTACGAAAACAGACATAAGACGTCAAAGTGAAGTTGATTTACAACAAAAAGATACAATAAGGAAAATTAGAAAATTTTTAGCTTGTGAATAGTAGAAAATCTAACAGTATTGTAATAATCTTCATTGAAATAACATTAATAAATAAGATACTCGAACTAAATATTGAACATAATATATTATTATCTTAGTGCCGCTTAAAATTTATTCATACAGAACTTCTTTGTTACCAAAGTTACGCCACTGTTTGTAAGGAAAAAAGCATGATTAAAAATAGCATTAAAGGTACACATTCAGAAAATAAATCATACATTTCTTGATAGATGGCGTTGTTATAAGAATGTCTTTTATATCTGACGAGAATAGTTGCGTTATACAGATATTGTTATTTTCATCCTAACCTCATTTTAATCGGCAAGAATGTGATTGCTTGCTATTTCATCCCTTTTTTACTTTTTAGGCCTACCGGCTACTCTGCTCAGCAATACATTTTAACAGTAATTAATACTGCGAAGTGTGAAGCGCAGCCCCATGCAAACTTAAGTCGTTGGTCCTAGCTACAACAACATTCAATCCACCAATCCACACTAATTATGGCTAAGATCATGGTCCATTATCCCTATTTCATTTTCAAGGAAGATCTGTTCCCCAGTAGTGTGAACATTGATTATGATAAATTATAATTTTCTCATTTTCTGAGCCCAGTTTCACGAGTAAGTTATAAATAAAAAAATAAAATCTATATAGGGTCGGTGCGTTGGTTCGCGTCCATGTGTTAGTTTACGGCCATTTGTGGTCAATGTCTCAGAAATGTTAAGAAAATAACATTTCCATCTCTCTCTCCCAAACAAAAATCACCGAATGAAAAGTGAGACGGATATATATTCCATACTCAGTAAAAATATTAGCCCTCTATTACCCATATAGCAAACAAACCCTCGCTCATTTGGCCGTCAGTGACACGCGCGTGTACACGTCCGCATTATTGTCAAAATTATAGTGAGCAGGCGCCGCGTTCGATGTGAGTATTTCGTTTATTATTTATTTATAACAGATTGTGAATGTTTTTCTTGCTTCGTATTCATTCCAAGAATATCATTTGCCTGTGTTTTTATGGAGAAACTAATATAATCAATAAAAAATTAAGTGGTCGCATACCAGCATGTCCAATTTGTAAATAATTCAGTATACGGCCAGGTGGTCGCAATACTGAAGTTTAGAATAGAAGTTGAATTTGCTTTCTTTATTGCTTTATGAATTATGGTTCAGAATTGGGGTTCTTTTCTTTACGATCACGAAAAAACTGAATACGTCTGTTAGTTTACGACCACAAAAAAATATAAAATCAGTCTTTGTGATTGTTTGAATTCAATATTTTCAGTATACGACCACCGTCCATGTTAGTTTTCCGGCCGTCCCCAAAATATATGGAAATTTAGTGGCCGATAACTGAACCTTGCAAATGATATGTTTTAGTTTGCGGCCGCTTGCTCAATCAATAAAACGTAAACAGCTCGACCAATTTGGATTAAATAATTTTTTGTTATGCTATTACTGTCAGATCAATGTTTGTAAATTCATAAAATTGACTGACCAATGCTGGAAACCATGAGCTTGATATTATAATAAATTAAGCGATTTCTTTGCTATAATGTTTTCAAATTTAAAATAAAAAAAATGCATAACTCGCCGTTTTGATAATAACGTACATAATTTTTAGTGACTTTATTAAAGAGTTTTTAAATATCTGTCTATTAAAAGACAGTTTTTTACAGATGTCCTCTAACAAACCAAAGAAAAAAGTTGCCAAATATACACCAGAATGTTTGGAAAAGGCTCTAAGAGATATAAGAGAAAGCGGGGAAGGTATAAGGGAAACGTGCCGAAAGTATGGTATACCCCGAACGACTATCCAAGACCGCTTAAGTGGCAGAAGAAGTGACGCACTTAAGAATAAAGGCCCAGCACCAATATTGGGTACATACGGAGAAAAACAAATAGTTCAATGGCTTATTAATATCGCGAAGTGTGGTTTTCCTGTAAAGAAACAGGAACTACTAGACACGGTACAGAAAATATTAAAAGATCTCAACCAGCCTAACCCATTTAAAGATGATCGCCCTGGTCAAACTTGGTTTTTAAGTTTCCTTAAAAGAAACCCAGAAATCTCACGTCGATCTGCCGAAGGTATAAACAAAGCTCGTGCACGTGTGACCGAAGAGTCTATTCGGCTGTGGTTTCATGAGCTTAAAAACTTTTTAATCGAATCAGGGCAATCTGATTTACTTCAACACCCGGATAGAATATTTAACTGTGACGAAAGTGGTTTTTCGTTGTGCCCTAAAACAGGCAAAGTTCTAGGACCCAAAGGTTTTCGCAACCTGTATCAGGTAAAGGCTGGCAATGAAAAGGATAATTTGACTGTCTTAGTGACTTTCAATGCTTGTGGACAACTGTGTCCACCGTTGGTAGTTTTTCCATATCTGCGACCACCTAAAGCAGTCACTGATAGTATGCCTCCTGATTGGACTCTCGGGAGAAGCGAAACCGGATGGATGAAAGGTGACATATTTTTCGAATATATAGTTAATGACTTTAACTCCTGGGTTGAAAAAAATAACATAAAAAACCTATATTGCTGCTTGCTGATGGTCACAAATCGCACATGTCAATGATGTTGAGCACTATGTGCGAGAAACTAGGCATTATATTGTATGCCTTGCCTCCTAACACGACACATATGCTGCAACCAGCGGACGTTAGCGTTTTTGGTCCATTAAAATCACACTGGAAAAATGTTGTACGTAATTTTTTGTCAAAGCCCGAAAATTTAAATTCTTCTGTAACAAAAACCAATTTTTGTTTACTATTAAAAGATATCATGGAAGCGCCGCAACTTACCACCAACATAGTAAATGGTTTTCGTAGATGTGGTCTGTTCCCGTATAATCCGGACGCAGTTGATTACACAAAATGTGTTCAAAACACTATGGAACAGCTTAATACACCAGGTGTTGCTGAAACAGGGCTATCTAATCGAGATCTTGTTTCAACCCGAAAAGTATTAATACATTTAAAACCAATTCTGAAAAAGAAAAATGTGAATATAAAACTTATTTTAAGAGAAGTAAAGAAGCTAAGAAAGACTGTGTGTATAGAACCAGAAATAGTTTATGAAACTGGATCTGAAGACAGAACAGGCTCAACTGTCCGTTTATCCACTTCGTTGTTGATGGATTCATATTTGGAAAAAGATAATCCTGAGACCAGTAAAACTGTGCCACAGCTTAGCGAACCAAATGATAACCGTATTTCTAACACAAGTTTGGGTAATACACAAATTGCTAGTTCTTGCTCCCTTGTTACCAAACAGATTTTACTACCACCATCACCGAAAGAGGTTGATGTGGCACCTGTACCTTCTAAGAGTAGCAATTATATTCCTGTAACAGTAAATCCACCAACAGAAGAAGAAACATGTCCAAAACATCACACATATTGTCATGAACCTACAGCTGAAGAAGGAAGTTTATCAACTTTACATATCTTAAACAGTTTTCCGGAACAAGAGACCTTAATATCCCTGGATGAAGCCGTAATCATACCTGTTCAGACAAGCACACCTACGAAATTTCCAATGAAAGACATTTCGTCTACGCAAACTGACATTGAAGGCACACAGTTGATCAGTGTACCCATTGACAACGAAGAACCGAGAAATCAGTGTATAATACCTCAGGATATCGTAAAAATAACTCATACGTTAACGAAAACCCCTACAGCAGAGTCTCGTTCTTTCAGTTCTTTGATACAAGATATTCCTCAATGTAATTTTACGGGATTGGATGCAGATTATAGTCATGTTGGACAAAGGAATCTGGAGTCACTTGACGACATAATAGTCATACCATTCGATACAAGCTTAGCTGAATCAGAAGAAATAAGAAATACCTCGTTTACTCCTCAACTAGAAAGAATTTCAGAAAATTTGTCATCCTCTAGCATTAAAACACAATGTTCAACCACAAGTAGCGATGCGTTTAGCAAACATTTATTTGTTCCACAACCTTTGGAAAAATCAACTCATAATATAATGAAACCTAGAGTTCCTGCTGCTATATCATCACAAGCATGGCGAAAACATTACGAGGAGAAAGAGAAAGCAAAGCTAGAGAAAAAAGAGTCTGCGAAACGAAAACAAGAAGAATCAAAAAGAAAAAAAATGGAATGTAATGCAATTAAAAAGAGAAGAGTAGTAAAACGTAATATTATAAAATTAAATAAGTTTAATGATAAAGAGAATAACAGAGTGAAACAAAATTGTGCTCAATGTACAAAAATGTTAAATAGCGACACCGAAGAAGACGAAAACAAAAATGTTGGCTGTGATTTTTGTACCAAATGGTTTCACTTAAAGTGTACCGACTTTGTAGGATTACCTTATGATGATGTTAAAGATAGACCCTTCAAATGCAATTCTTGTATTTGAATTCAAGCCTAGGTAGACATATTTTTTGTAGGTAGGTACGTCCTAGTGAAGTACTCACTAACATCTGTCGTTGATTTGATAATAATTAAGAATTTACAGATTTTTTCCACTAGTCAATTATCAGTAATAATAAGTATATTAATAATTATTGTTGTTGTTTAGTGAATCTTTAATTTTTAAAATTGATTATTTTCGTTGATTTAGGTTAATAGATAAATCTTGTATAAGAATTCTAGTCTGTCCTTAATAAAAAATTAAAGAATATTATAATTTTATTCTCAAAGCCTTTTTATTCAGTCAAGACTACTCTAACATTTATGGTCGCAAACTAGATAGGTTTTGGTCGCATACTAAAAAAAGCGGCCGCAATCTAGCATTTTACCTGTTTTTTTACTATTAATTAAATAAAAAATATATTCACGTAATATTTAGCTTTAAATAAATTGTAAAAGTAACTTCATTGTATTTCTAATCCTCAGATACACTTACGAAACCAATAAGATCAATGTATCTTACTGAATTTTTAAAGTAAAGTTGATAACTCTACTAATCGGTCGCAAACCGGCACAAAGACCCTAAGTATGTTACCGAATATGTATTGAGAATAAGATAGGTAATAAATATTTTCCAAATACAGCAGGACCTCTTTAATCCGAACTCCGAAAATTTACTCCCCGTTTGGATACCTTTTTTTTCGAGTGTGTATGCCGCTGGTCGCTTATGAACTTTACAGCCTTACCGGGTTTGGGGACAGCAAGAGCCTAAGGGGACCTTAAGCCGAGAATTAGCGAGTGCCTCTAGGGGTATTCCAGGCGGATGACATCCCCACGGGGGGAGTTTCCTCTCCGTCTGGAGCCTCTACACCACTCGAACCTGAGGGGGTCGGCTCCACGAGAGGGCATCTCTGAGGCTCGTCCCTCGACTCTAGTTAGCCGTTGACGTTCGGATTATAGTACAGAGAATCAATAGGTATTTTTAATGATATAAAACTTATACTATTACAAAATTTCTAATAAATATTCATCTATAAACATTACATTAATTAATATTTTTTAAGAAATCCAATATTTTAGTTTGTCGGGAGGTATTTAATTTTAATGACAAATAAAAAGCTTTGTCTCGCAATTTACGTAATGGCATTTTTTCTTGCAAAGGAATGTGGCGGGTGAGGGAATTCCAAATAACAGAGGTGTTCGAATTAGAAGAGGTTCGAATTATAAAGGTCCTGCTGTACTTACTCCTTTAACTCGGCGCTTCAAAAACGCTATAATAATAACTCGTCCTAGATTCTCTGAAACTAACTAGTCTCCACAGGCTGACAGCTATTCCCGTACGGAGGGCTCTGTGGTACTCCAAGTGGGTGCTTTGGAGCTGCTTGCCAGATACTCCATGAATACGACCAGGGTGACCAGCGTGTTGTCCTCTCTACACGAGTTCAGAGCTGTGGAGGCAGAGCAGACGGGCGGGAAACAGTGGAATTGGAAATATCTTAGGGTAAGTATAGTTGTTTGATTCAATGTCCCCGCTCAAAGGGTGGTCAGTTAAGCTATGAAAATAACAACTGGGACTTTTATTTTGCTAAGATAAGTTATTGGTTGTATAATAAAACACTTTAAGGACAGATAAAGTGTACGTTTAGTTTAACGTTATTCGTATCTTGCTACCATGACACAAATGGTCAGAAACCGATCTGCTACGTCAAAAATAATGTAAAAACTAATAAAAACGCGTTTTACAGCCGTTTAATAAGTGTTTTATAAAATTTTTGCCACAGTTTTTTTACTTTAACACAAAAGAACAACATTACGTATGCACGTTATTTGTTATTATTGTTATATACCTATGCATATGGATGTTTTACTATCAATAACTGTCATAAAATATTATAAACTTGACTTGGCAAAATTGAGAGTACAGCAGCATAACTGGACACGATATTTGTCTTTCTAACATATTATTAATGTGTTCGTATCCTAGTCGCGGTAATTATCGGCGTATTAAAAATATTGAAATTTAAAAAAAGGTAAGTAGAGGCAAACTATTGCTATTTTTAATCGTCGCTTAAGTAAACCAGTTGGTCTACATAAGATGCCAACGTGTAAAGCAATACATAAAAACAAGATTATTAGATATCTACTTATAGTCACAAATAAAGATTACTTTTATTACTTATATACTAGCTGACCCAGCGAACTTCGTACCGCCCTAAAAAAATAGGGGTTGTCCAGCGGACAAAATTGTGAATCTAAACCATTCTCAGATCCCCTTGAACACACACAAAAAATTTCATCAAAATCGGTCCAGTCGTTTAAAAGTAGTTCAGTGACATACACACTCACAGAAGAATTATATATATAAAGAAGATAATTCGCCTCAGTATACTGTGCCATAAAATGGGAACAAGCTTTGCTCTATATCTACAAGATATATCATATTCTGGTGATTTATCATGTTTTATGTTTTTTTGCATTTTTTTTGTTATAAGTTATATTACTATAGTAAAAGTAATTTTTAGTCTAAAATCAAGCTTACGCATAAGTTGCAATGCAAGCCACCTATCGAAGTCGGTTATTATGTGCCCAACTTTATTAAATAAATATTTCCAACACTCACACCAATTAGCCTAGCCCCAAAGTAAGCACTATAAGGATTGGTTTATGGGATACTAGGGTAACGGATAGAATACATATACTGTACATATATAAGTATATTTATATAGAAAATACATATTATCCATCCATGACTGGAGTACAAATGCTCGTATTCATCACACAAACATCTGCCCCCATCGGGATTTGAACCCAGGACCTCTCGAGTCGGCGACACCATGAAACCCGGCGTACAAACCACTCGGCCACGGAGGTCGTGATATTAGAATACAATAGTCTGATTAGATGGATTTATCACTTGGACTGGTAGTTTTGCTGTTAGCATTAGGCAAGTCACTGAGTAGTATGAAATTAGCCTAACCCCCTGTTCATTCAAACGGCAAGTTTTTTTAGTTTTTACGAAACATTAGATGCGTGTATATTTTAATTCGATTCTTGTATTTATAGTTTCAATTACACATTTGTAGGCTTCCTAGTTTCAATTACACTTAAAACTAGTCAAAAATCCAAAACACCAATTCAAACCACATTCAAGTCAAGAGTCTTGCAAATAAATCCCATATCAACCCAAGATTAAAAAAAAACATCGAAAAGAGAATTGATACAAATGTTATTTAACTTTGGATTTGATCACCCGAGTCACCAACCCCTATTGGAATCTTAATGAAAACTACAATTAAGTTATGAGTTCACAAACAAATCGCCTTCCTTTCTAAAAAAATAACGATTACTTAATTTTCTCTAACGGATTTTTTTTTCAGGACCAATTTGAACAAAAAGACTTAGAAGGTTTATATAGAAAATACGATGATACATTAAGAGAAAGTTTAGTTTACATCTACATCACTTTATTAGTATTATTTTCTACAATTCATATTGTGTTAGTCATTATCGGATCATACACAGAGGTAAGTAAAAACAATGACCCACTCTTTATACAGAGTGTGATTTAGAAAAATAATAACTTTTGATTCTAAAAAGCAATGATCGCACGCTTAAACTTTAATGAAATTTAATGCTTGTAATTTGTGGTGTGGTTGCCTTATGATTTTTTTCGCATAGAAAGGGACAACATAATTTTTTATGATAATTTTAAGTTCCTGCTACCGTAAACTTTATTAATAATACAAAATTTCTCCTACAAATGACTTGCATTGATGAAAAAAAAAATGGTTGCCTGTAAAGTCGGTTTTACGGGCGAAGATTTTACGTGACAACGTCTTTTTCTCGGTAGAATATTTATTGATATGAATATAATTAAATTGCACAATAGGAACAAGGAATTGAATGAAAATAAGAATTGCACAAATTTTAACTATAGAAATATATTTTGTTTACTAAAACATTGTACATGTAAACTTAAACTCATCGTAACGTTACCGAGCGTTACACTTTTTCATAAGTGACTCCCAGCCGCAACCTAATTTAAGACGTTGTCACGTCAATAAAGAATGACCTAGCTGATAAAAATAGCAATATTGGTAAATATATCAACATTCAGAGTAATTTTAAAAATCAGTACTTAAATAACTGATGTTTCCGAATTTTGCCGTAATAATAATAATAAATTTTTCGCATTACCAGCATATTAATGTCCTCACTGCTGGGGCACAAGCCTTCCTGATGGATGGAATAGCACAAGCCTTCCTTGTCATGGCCCAATCACCCTAGATTGGGCCATGACCCACTACCCGGACCAGTTCGAATTGGTGGGTGCTAACGACTGCAGATGCAACCGGGACCAACAGCTTCACGTGCCTGAAACACTGAGGAGCTCGAGATGGTAAATTTTTGGTCACCTATCCAATGACGGACCACTGAGAAAGTTGCTTAACTTCAACGATCGCAGCCGAACGCGTTAACCACTTGCGCCATCGAGCTCCTCTCTCTCGAATAATAATACAGCTATTTTTTATTCAGTTTCAGGAAATCCAATCACCGTCTACGTATCTGGCAATGGGAATGTACGTTTTAAGGATAGCAGTGCCCATAATGTTGCTATGGAAATGTTTCTACGACCCGCTGAAAAAGAAATGGTTTTGGATGCCCATATTTATCACATTCGTAATAACCATTGACTTAGTTGTCACAGGTAGAGTATGGATTATCGACTATAGTTAATTGATATTTAATGGAGAAGCTTATCTTTCATTGTTGTTTAATGACACACACGATAAGAATGTGCGATTAGAACATTTTTACAATACTTTGAACTTTTCGTTAGTATTATTAGTTATGAGAAAATATATCGTGTACACTTGAATAGAAATCATCAAACGAGAATCGAAACGTAACGTGATTCCAGAACAAACCAGATTTACTTCTCGACTAAAAATAGTTATATCTGATTCCGAATACGACTTTGCGATCTTTCTTTTTTGTTCATATTTTGGTAAACGAAACCCTATTAATATGCTTCACCCGTCTATCTGTCCGCCTATCACAAATCACGGCTCTTGAACAGAAAAGTAAACTCCTGAAATTTTCACAGCATATCACAGCAAAAAAAGAGTAAAAATAAAAGTGATTTTCGTACATGAAACGCGGGATTCTCGGTAAGACTATTGGAAACAGGGGGATATTTTCGACTTGTATTGCTCGACCTACATAGTTAAAATAAATACTAGAGTATTTTTGTTTACGAGTCCCAGTCGCACTTAGACGGTTTTTTAGCCATTTTCTTTTTTTTTTACCAGCATTGTTTTCGAGCAACTGGATAAAATTAACAAATAAGACTGTGCCCTGAGTTCACGGCCACGATTTATGGGTCAAGCGTAGAGACAACCTAGGAGCTATTCTAGTCGTCTACCTTGAAGGCGCATTGTCTAAAGTGTGGCCAACTGTGATAATATGCAATACGTTTGTCCACTATAATTTGTTAAAGCTTGGCTCGTATCACTGTTCGTGGTTCTCTAGTCTACTAACCATAAGACATTAAACTTTTTTATGTTAAAATATGTAGGGCCTGCCTGATGGTAAGCAACCATCATAACCATAGGCTATGGAGACTTGCGATACAAAAAATATCACTCGCGCTGTTTACCTACGCTGACTTTGTGTAGGACCCCGTCGAGCCCCGGAACCTCACTCACCGACAGAAACACAACCCACCACCAAAAGGCACACTGAAAAAAGTAATTTACAAAACTGATTGAGTTAACCGATGAATAGCCAAAGTGTGTATACTAAAAAATAAATTTCAGTCACTCATAGATCAACTGTTCTGTTGCATTTTACATTATTATTTCAGTTGATCGAGTTTAATTAAAAACTACTAAACCAATTTGTTATAAGCTGTCAAATTTGATTTCAATAATCTGTAACATAAGAATGTATTGTTGTAATCAAACACACTTGCTGGTGATTATTTACATAGAGTTGGCCTAACTACAACAATTTTGTGCTATTTATTAGCAAACCCAAAAACCGCTGCATAAATGAAAGGTGATGTAAAAGTTAGCCAAAAAGTTCGGTTACATATTTCAAGTACGTACTTTGTTAAATATTCGAAATCGTGCTATAGATATTGTTTTGTATATAAGGTAAGTTTATAAAATTTGTATTTAAAAATAAATCGGGAACAAGTATATTATGATTACACCAATCCTTAGTTAATCCCCAGTACTTACTTGTTAGTAAGTAGTACGTACAGGATTTTAAAGCAGAAAAGTACTTTTGAAAGTAAGATAATAAAATACAGCTATAATTCATAAGAAAATTATGTAGCAGATAACAAAATAGTTCGTTTACAAATAACAATAGAGTGAAGCAATAATTTTCTAACAAAACAAAACAAAGCATCACGTGCGCCCATTCCCCCCCCCCCCCCCTTTAAATCCGCCCTTGAACATGGTCTCTCTTAATTGAGTCAGAATTCATATCAATGAGCCAGTTTTATGACTGTGTGCCTGCGTTAGTTTATTTTTAATAAGTCTTGTCAAGACTTAATTCAAAATAAATCTTCATCGCACCATTTCTTTAATTCATAACATTTTTTTTTTCAGATATCACTATACCTATATTCAGTTACTTCGAAGGCACTTCTTTGCGACCAGCTTACGCCACAATGGCACTGTTGTCCGTCTACATTTTCTTGCCGATGAGAAATAACTTCTTGGCCATCATTCTCGGTTGTCTCATCAGCACAGTTTACATCACAATCATCGCTTTCTTCACATACAAAGAGGATCACACATATATCGAAGCCGTGGTAAGTGAAAATAGCATAATATATTTTTTAAGTCCCAGTATATTCATCATCATCCTATTGATGTTCAGCACAGGACTTCACCATATATGGAATAGGCCCAGTACAGATTGGTGGGTGCTAATGACTGCTGATGCATCCGGTACCATGATAATACATTTTTGGTCACCAATCCGATGACTGGCCATTGCGAAATTTGCTTAACTTTCACGATCGCAGACTGAAAGCGCTAAACACTTCGCGCCATCGAACTCCACATATTACGCCGCTCTATCACCTGGCGCTGTAAATAAGAGTCAATTTATTTTACAAGTCGCAAGATTGTCCATTCCATTCAATAAATCAAGTTAGTGCCTATTAGATACACTTGTGCTAACGGTTGTATATTCTTAAGCTTTAAAGTTACCTTTATTGTTCAAACGATTAAAAACAACATGCTTTCTGTCTTCATGCCCTTGTCAAACATACATATGAGTACAGTTTGATTTACAAGGCAGCTGGCACACCAGAAAATCACGCATCTTCACATTATCTTTACTTAAGAGATTTCTTACCTAATAATAAAAGTAATTGCAAGTTTCCTCAAGATACGTTATAATTATAACAAGTGGATGTACGGTAATGTGATGTGATGATGCGGAACATATCCCTTCAATGAATTAATTTATATTGATTTTGAACTGTTCATAAATTTAATTATTTTAAGAGATATTTAAATATATATTAATAAAAACATGATAAAAATATTTTGAACCTACATAATAACAATTAGAAGAAAATAATTTTTTACTAATTAAGTAATTACTACTTTAATGTTGAATTAAAATTAATCAAAGTAATAAATCAATAGTAGTAAAACATAAAGAAATTAAATTAGATAAGTTTTATTAATAAGGTTAACTACTTCTAAACGCGTCACTTCTAGTAAAGACAGCGAGCATATTTTCGTTAGTAGTTCTGTGGCAATGCTTACCATCAGCAAAGCTATTCTGTAAAATCGGATCCGATGCGGATACGCGCATTTCCCATACAAATTCGCACGGATCCACATCGGATCGGTAATATTTGTAAATAAAAAAAAATAGGTGAAAACTTAAAATGCTAGGTGGGCCGATAGGTGTGTCTGGGAATATATTTCTCAACTATGAAAATTGTAATGTGTAATGTATGTACTTAGTAATTTATTACTGTACTGTACTCAATTATACGGTATACATTTATATGGTCGCATTACATGGTTTAATTTGGATAATATCGTCTTTATCAAATCAAACCAATATCTGCTATGAGCACTTTTTGGAGATTTCGACATTTCCATCATTATGACTACTGAGCTTATTATACTCTAGTATAATAACCTTTTTTCGAATGCGAAGACTGCTATGCGAATCTTAGGCGTTATAACCGTGAACAGATGCTGCTTAAAATATGCTATTTAAATCAGGCAGAATATTGTCAAATATTAACTGATGTGTTGATTTTTTATTTTTTGCACATAGCAGATACTATATATTCCTATTCCTTTAGATTTCGTCTGATATAATGTACCACATCGGTGTCAACTTCATGGGCATATACTTCAGACTGATGAACGAAATTGTCACACGGCGTTCATTTCTTGACAGAAGAGCTTGCGTTGAGAGTACATTGCGGTTGAAATTCGTAAAGGACCAAGAGGTATACCTTTCATATCTTAATTTTTATTATGTCCCGCCATATTGCTCCTTTATTTCAATCTTCATTCACAATATGATTTTTAACGCGTGCTTAGGTATGTGTCATAATATATGTGTGTTGTAAATCACGCGAAAAATCTAAAGACTAATTTTGAATTCAAAACGCGTCCATAAATGACACATAGCCGTAATCAAGATACTTTCGTTTTCAAATGGTACTATTTTAGCTGCGAAACTGTTGAATTAAATTAATTAATAGACGGTGGTAATAATTTAACAGTCACCAGCTCGACGCTGATCATACTTTCATAAATTGTCTTGTAATAAATAATTTCATCGAAGTGTCATCCTATCTTGTCAGGTCCTATCATTTTCATCCAATGAGTAAGTGCTCCATAGCTCCATGGTATAGGGACTGTTTTAGGGCCTAGCTTAATATTGTATTCCTACTTGACACCTTGCTTATATAAAAAATAGACTACTAAATACTTAACAAAAAGTGATGAACAGTTGAAAAAAATCTATCTACAACTTTTTGGTAATATTTGCTTGAATTGGACCCCAATAATAAGATAACCTATACATTTTAAAGTTAAAACTGATTTCCGTCCTAAAATGTTGCACCGTCCACTGTGAATATGATTTTGAGTTCAACTTGTGTGAAACGTGATCCCTTGGTTACAGGAACGACTCATGTTAAGTATACTTCCGGAACACATAGTATCGAAAGTGAGAGATGATATAAGAGACCTGTTTCTTGGACTGGGATCGCGCGTCAGCTACAATTTGAGATCATTCAAGTAAGTATAGGCTTTTACATATTAACATAAAATCTTCAATCAGTCTTCATCAATTTTAATATCTATGTAAGTACGCAACGTAAGATGCAACAAGAGTTTTCTGTAGAAATTTATAGTTCATTTTTACTAGATCCCATTCTTGTCCATAGCTAATAATCTCTAAAGCGGGTTGCAGGGAAAATGACAAAATCATTTGGGACAAAATTCAAACGAGTTGCATTCTGCTTCCAATTTTAAATAAAGACAGTTTCGACTTTGATCTTCAAATAACTCAACGTCACGGCATAATCTTTTAAATTGTGGTTATGGTATGATAATTTAGTTCATCAGTGTGATATTTTTATCGGAGGAGAGGAGAGCTACACGTCAATCCTATATAATGTCCAGCAATTTGTTCAATAATAAGAATAACATTATGGGCTTGATGCTGTCTCTTAATTTAAATAAAAATTATAAATTTAATAGCGGAATCCTTATCGCATTCTATAGATATTAAAAAGGAGAAACCGCTGAAAAATTGATTAATTTTATATTCATACCGGCATCAGTTTCATTGACATCTAATTAAAGTTTTGACTAATAGTAGCTAAAATATTAACTAAGCACTTATTACACTTAAGTAGTAATGTGACCTGTTTTATTGTACCAATTTTTAACTACATATTTTAAATACTTAGTGCACAACATATTATTTTGTTGATGACGTTAGCCAGAGTGTATGATTATGTTCATTTGACTCATCCGTATCCAAAACTTTACGACAGGACCATATCCCCGTCTATATGTACCTTATTTACCATAAGAGGTTGTTAAAATTTTCTACAGACTAGGTATATTATATTCTTAAAAATAAAAATTAAACGAAAATTAAAGTACGGGAACCCCATACGTACATTACATACGTAATTTTTCCTTGTTTTTGTTCCATGTTGATAAACTTTATATTGTAAGTATTGGTATCTCGATTGTGGTAAAGAAAAAATCGTTTACGAGATTTTCAGGATAGTAAGAATTTCTAAACGGAATTATTAAACTAACAAAACAATAAATTACAAAATAAGAAGCCACGAACAACAAGGATGCTAGTAAACTGATTTCAAAAATTCCCCTCCAATTTATCTTAATACTACTTTTGGTTAAGTACTGATTATATATCATGGTCAGTCTGTTATCTAAAGACTTTTATGGTCTGCTCAGATTATATTATTGGTAAGTCACAGTTTGATTAATCACGTACCTAGAGAATTTCCGCAAATATTTTATTTGTTAAGATCTAAAAATAAATGAAATCATCACTTCTTATGACTCCTGTTCGTGGAAAAAAATAATAACTCTCTCATTTAATAACTTTACATATACATGACACGCATAAATTTCTTTTAATGCTTAACGCATTACAACATAATGATTACAACTAATGTCTTCTGTGATTTTAATAATTTAAAACTCTATATTGTCAACTATTTAAATATTTCTTTATCTTTTCACTCCTTTTTTTGTAACGCAGGAATAAAAACCACTGTTTACAGACGACGGCGCCTTTAAGAGGCACACCGCCGAACGGACCTCACACCCAGTACTCGCAAACGTCACGGGCACGATGGGGCTAACCCCCAAAGTAACCCGCGCCATTTACGAGCACGCTTAACGGCGAACTATCTACTAAAAAACGAGAGACGACGAGATATACGCGAGATCCCTGTTTAGGGATTCTTCCGCGTTTCTGCACCCAGCAGCCACCCGGCCTAGCCGGGGCTCCACGGCAGGGGTCTCCCGGGGTATCGCGGGGACCCTGCAGACGTGCGCATGATGGCCCGCGCGTGGGGGCTAAGTACGTGGCCTAATGCCCACCGTACCACCCCCCGTCCGCTGCGGAGGACTACTTGGGCGTGCCCGTGTAGCTCCCTCCGCCGCCCCCTCTTTGCAGGGCAGGGTTATGGGACGAGCGCAGCCAGGGTGCGCACTCGTCCTCTCCTGCCCGCTCTTCTTCGGCGGGAGGGAGCGGCCAGGGGATCATCCTCTCGCTCCCTCTCCTGCTGCCTCCTTCTGCGAGATAACGTTCTCGTGGTACTGGTCGCGACTCTGCTGCCGCCAGGCCAAGCACTCCAACAAGGTGTGCTCAGTCGTATCGTAGTCCGGGGTGTTTACCGACGTTACCTTCCGACGGGCGACACGGTACAGGTAGTGACCGAAGCATCCGTGCCGGGTACTAGTACCTGCACCATGCGGAACGAGACCCACCCACTCCTCCAACACCGGACAAATGGTCTCAATCGTCCGGTGGCCGGCGCTTAAATGGGAGAGTGCCTCATCCCATCGCCGCAAGGCTTCTGCCTGCGCGATGGAACGGACCTGCCGCAGCTCTGCTGGGGCAAGTCTTTCACTCCGCTCCCTGGTTTCAACCCGATCTCGATGCACGTCTGCCAGGACCTGCGCATCGAGATTTGCCATTGCCAAATGAATGCGATTACTTTCCCACTTTGGATAAATTAGAACCATCATACGTGAGGAGTTACATCTCATTATATCTAAACGCCTGCACGATTTATTTACTAAATCTATTACTATTACAGTATACTCTGAATCACTTACTCAACTGACAGGGTAGTTGCAATTGGAAAAAGTTTGGAGCACTTACACCAAGTAGGTTCTCTCACACCATTCCTACGCAACAAATGCCAGATAAAACTGAGGCCACGACAGCGGCTCCTGCTCCATCTCCAAGTACCACAGGTAAAGAAATCTATGGGCGCAGAAAGTCAGCGCCATTGCCTGTTGAATCTCTCTCTAGGATGCATGAGGAAGGTTGGAATGAAGTAGCTAGATGAACTCATCGCAATAAGCTAATGCTCTGACAGGCGGAATTACATCTGGTCCCGGTGTCGGGAAATTTATTGATAGGAGTGATCTGCGTCGTGCTCGGAGTCCCGTTTGTGGTAATGCGTGGCACTGCTGCCCCAGGAAGTACTGAACTTCAAGCATGGCTAAGTAGTTTTCATCTGTATCACCTAAAACTGGGTACCATAGAAGACCTAAAGGTGCATGTTGTAAATATTATTGGATATACAGATTGTAAAGTTGATATTCTCAAGGCTCGTGGTCCATATGCATTTTCAAAATATCCGTCCCATACTTACTTGCTCCAGATAGTTGGCCAGAAAATGTTTGCATTATGTTTTGGAGACATCAACGCCTCGATAGCGGGGCATAATGACACTTGCAAACCACCTGATGTACTGAATGCTCCGAAGAGTGATAAAATGTTCCACTGTCCCCGATACATCGCTGGATCATTTCACAATATCAACATAATGTATCTATTAGCACTCCTGGATCACGACATTGTGGCTGTCACTGAAAATTTTCTGGATGACTCCGTTAACAATGCTGAAATGGTCAACAAAGGCTGGAGCGCTGTTTGTCGAGATCGCGGCTCTTGAGTTGGAGGTGTAATGCTGGTTATATGAACCGGTCTTAAGTTGTGGTCTAAAGGATTTTGAAACTTTAACTGGTGAAGAATTTGGGCATATGTGACCGTTTATACACACACTATGTTCTTTTGTATCGTCTACATTCCCCCTTCTGCTACTGACCGTGGGGTTTACTAAAGGACAAAGCTTTATTCCTATTTTAAAAGGACCAGTCATTATATAAGGTGATATTAATATGAATAGTACATCAGTGAATATTTCTAATGATTATTCTTTTTTTGTGTCTTAATAGATAAAAATGAAATTGTTAATTCTCACGGTAGTAAATTTGATATTGTATTAACACAGGAGTGCTTTAGTGCTGTTACTGTAACTAATTCCAAATGTGGAGGTCTCGTACGTCCTGATTTGTATCATCCTCCTCTTGACGTTGCCATTACTATTAAGAATAAATCTCTACACAGGTCCATTCAACCTAGCAATATCGATAATAGCAAGGACTGGAACTTTAATAAGGTCGATCAAGGATTTCTGTGCCGTTTAGTGGATGATTTGGATTGGAACTCTGTTCTCCAGTCTCATGATATACTCGTTGCATTGGAATACTTTTATGATTCCCTCTATAACGGACCAACTTGTTCCGAAAACACTTAGATCTAAAACTGCCTCAAGGATATATCCAGTTTGGTTTACTGCGGACATTATTAGGGATATTGGTAAGAAAACGCGTTTTTATCGAACTTGGAGGCAATCTAAGTGTCAATAGATTGCCTCTATATATGTCGTAGTATACGCTCAGTTTTCAAATCTTCGAGCCCCGCTTAAGTTATGCTTTTGAATTGTGTATGAACCTTACATTGGAGGTTTAGAGTTAGTCTTCACGGCAATCCTTGCAGTTTTTGGCGTCACTTCAATAGCTTAAGATCTGCGGGCGGCTTTGAACCAAGTGTTGTCTACGGAGGTAATCAGTGATCTGGTGCTGATGCTGCAAATGTGTTCGCTGACTACTTTTCAAGCGTTTATTCCCATGACCAAACGACACTAAAATCTGCACCTATTCTGTCCCTACAAATGCGCATATTGTAGTAGACGATTTCTGTGTTGCTGGGGGTGAGCGGCGCGTGCGCATGGCCGCGCGAGAGGTTAAGAGAGCTATTAATAACTTAAAGTCTAATTGGTGCCCTGGACCCGACAGTGATCTCTTAAATATCTGTAGAAAGTCCATTGCTGTTCCTCTCTGCCATTTGCTAAATCTTATCCTGCTGCTAAATGGTGGAAAGTGACCCGTATGGCACCTATCCCTAAAAGCAGTAACAAGTCGCTCGTTAAGGAACATCGACCAGTAGCTATTCTTTCTTCACCTGCGAAAGTCTTTGAGCTCCTTGTTTATAATGTTATCCTTAAGCAAGTCCAATCATACTAAAAATTATTTTTTTTTTTTTGGCAAATGCAACAGTCATTTTCCCTTTTTCATTTAACTTCAATTTAATTGGGTTCCATTTACAACTCTATAATAACAATTGAAAAATTTTCAGCGCAAGCAATTACGCCTTTACTTGCGGATTGTAAAATAACCAGAAGAAAGGGTTTGATGTGTGGTATGCGTTACCTACATGGGTAATATTTCTGGTTTTACAAACGTTCTTAAGCTATATGCTAGCAAGCAGCTTCCCATAAGTCGAGCAATAGGGTATTTTACAAGTTTTAGAAAACGATCTCAAGTTATTTTCTAATGTTTACGTAGTCCATAACAAGTGAATATTCATAATTTTGTTGTGTTTTTCAGTAAAAAAACTGAATCGAAAATAAAATTTTCAAGTTGCCGCGACAATTGTTTCTATGGTGATCTTCTGACGCGGTATGTGACGTCACATGACTGTCATTAAAACGTCATACGATACAATGTAATGACACTTCGACCACTAGTTTACCAGCGTGTGACGTCATTTTAGTGTTCTCCAATCCGTGGCGTTTTCGGTCCCGTAATCATAGAACAAAAAACATTTCTATGTAGTGATTTTTTTAAAAAGTGATTACTTGTTTTGTTTTCTCAAAATAGTGAAATCGCTACTAATATTCAAATTAAATGCACATGCCAATAATTGGTACTTTATTTTTGATACTGTCAAATACCTTGTCCAACTCTACAGTGGATTTTCATCTATAAAATCTACCTAAAATTGTAATTTACGTCTAACACCCAATCTATCACTACTAAAACTCACTTTCCCATTACAGCCAGTTGTACATAGAAGAACACGACAACGTTAGCATTTTGTATGCTGATGTGGTAAACTACACCATGGTATCTACCACATTATCCCCTATGAGGATGGTAGAACTTCTCAATGAGCTCTTCGGAAGATTTGACGAGGCGTCGGAGGTCAGTTTAATATTATTTATTCATTATTTAGAAAAAAAAGCACACGGTCGGCGTGGTGATAGTGATAACCCTGGTGTATGGACTGCAGAACCAAGAGTATCAAACGCGTGTTGAGAACTCTATCTCAACAAAAGCCTGACCGCGGTAACTTACTGATTTCAGTTTGTTGTCTTTAGAAATATTACAAAACAAATATACCTACTACAAATAACGAAAATAGAAAATATTTAAATTTTAATACAAGTATACTATGTCTTTTTCCTCATTTTCTGGTAGATTTTTGAAACACTTTCTGCTCTCAAACCTTGTCAGTAAAATAACGAACATAACAAAAATCAATCAGTCGCTGGGAAACCTGTACACTTAGTACGAGTTCGAGCTCACTAAAACTATCATAGTTTTCGTAATTGCAAATTATGTTTCTATGTCCATTTTGTGTAAAAACTAACCAAATATACTTAAAATTTAAGAAGACGGAAGTGATTTAATAATATAATTTTAACACTGTTTATTTGTATTGAAACTGAAACAATAAAATCAGTATCCGTAGTACGAGTGAGAGCACACGAAAACTATCATAGTTTTCGTAATTGTAAAACTCGTACGAAGGGTCCTGGATCGAGTGGAATGTTTTCTTTTAAAAAAATTGTTTATATTGACTTTGGTTAATGATAATAGTTTAGTTATAGTTATAGTAGCAATTATATTTCTAGTAATAATAGTATTAATAATATTAAAAAAAAAATACCAGAAAGTAGAACATGATTATTTACGTCATATCTTGATCCATATTATAAGCATTTATTGATTGTTATGTATTTATTGTAACATTAATAATTTTTAAATTCACCTTGATCCATAATAGATCCGATTAAGCCTGACATATAACAAATTGCTATTATTCGTTCTGATAAACAGCATATTATTTTACATTTTATATTACTGAATTCTAAAATAGGTAGGTACATAGTTTATCATTACAAATTTGAAGCAAATATTTTTTTATTATATAAGCACTTGTCGGACCGATGAGAGTCATCTGTAATCCTTATAAATATATATGGATTACTTACATGGATAAAGGGATTTTTAGTAACAAAAAGAAACTAAATAAATAAATAAATATTTTCAACACACACCAATTAGCCTAACCCTAAAGTAAGCACTATAGGCTAATGTTATAGGATACTAGGGTGACGGATAAAATACATATACTGATACATATATAAGTATAATTATATAGAAATACATATTAAACATTCATGACTGAAGTAATAATGCTCGTATTATCACACAAACATCTATCCCTAACCAGATTCGAACTCGGGACCTCTCGAGTAGGCGACACCTGAAAACCCGGCGTGCATGCCACTGGACCATGGAGGTCGTTGAACGCTATGGTCAACACACTTAAGTCTGAAATAAATTTAATTATTATTAGTTATTTTAATTTTAAGGAATATGACGTGCTCCGGATAAAATTTTTGGGTGATTGTTACTACTGCGCCAGTGGAATCCCAAAACCTACGTTACTACATGCTAAAAACTGCGTCGACCTCGGATTGGAAATGATTGGCATCATAAAAGACGTCAGGTAAATACTTTTTATCTTAAACTACATGCATATTATACAATACTTAATAAAAATATACAAAATGGAGACAAATCATCTATACAATAGCATAATCCGATTTCATCTAAATCAGATCACATGATCTGTTAAACTTAGAAAAGACTTTAATTTATAAGGGTAGTTCTTTAAGGACCCTTTTTTAGCGGTCACACGCTTGTTATTCGTATAGACTTAGAATCAATACCAAATTATTATTTATTTATATATGTATAATGTATCAAAAAGTGGATGAAATAAAATAATGAGTGAGACCTATTATATTACATTATAAAATATTTTTAAAGGTCAGAATTGGGAGTAAAAATTCTGTTTTTCGGGTGTCACACTCTATACACGCTTGGAAAACCCTTTTATAACTTCTTGGTCTGCAAACCTTAACGTATGTTTTGTATGTCAAAATAATGGTATTTAACCAATATTTAATTATGCATTTTATCATTGACACACGTTTTAGCAATTTTGTGAGAGCTTGTCTTAAACGGTTTACATTTTGGAATAGTGCCTACATGTAGGTAGCTACAAGTTTTAGCCGCTTGAAAACTCAGTCGTACCGTACATCTCTGGAAGATGAACGGTGCTGCTCTTCGCTGTACTACAGATAAATTATCTGTAAATTCTTCTTCAACCATGAGCAAGCAAGTTTCATGGTTATGTAATATATAGTAAAAAAACGACATACTTTATCAATAACTTAAGTCATCGACATTGTTTATATGTCTATTTTGTTTGGATCAGTCTGTAAATATGACATATCGAAACATGTTAAATAATCGTAATTATTGTAGCACAACCTCCGTAGCGATCGATCCCAATATTAATAAAATAATAATAAAATAAATTTGCTTATTATCTTGTGTTTCTACTGTACATACACATAAGTAGTAAACTTTGTTCAGAAACTGATAATCAGAGTGATTTTCGGCAGTTAATTTAATCTTGATACATTCATTGTATAATGTTCAAAACTGTTTTCAACCGAGAAAAACTAGAGAAGTAAAGCACTAGTTTTCCTTTACAGTTACTCTACGCATTATCGAACTAGTGGAGGATGATTTTAGCTGAAAGGACCCCGCAGAATCCTTATGGAAGCTGGCTTTCGGCCAATTTTTCTGTAACTATGGGAGATGATAGCGCATGACACGTGGAATAAAAGAAAGGAAAATCTAGAGACATCCTTGAATGGAATAGCTACATTGAAACTAGAATGAAATAAATAAATCTAGTTTTTACGGGTTAATGCACGAAATTTTATTTATTTATTGACGTAAATAAAGTTTCGTGCATTAACCCGTAAAAACTAGTTTTATTTAATGAGTGATGTGCGTGAAAACCTAAGAAACAAATAGAATGAAATAAGCTTTTCCATGTAAGTTTGGCCTCCCAGCTTACATGCATACATATATACATTTTCGACTTTGACACGCTGTAGCACCTCATCTATGAACTCTTGGCCATTGGGCCCATGGGGTCTTTTATTCCACGTGACATAAGCTATCATCTCTCAAATTTACAGAAAAATTGGCCGAGAGCCAGCTTCCATAAGGATTCTGCAGGGTCCTTTGTTTTTATTTTGGAAGCGATAAGTTCGTTTTATAGCCTGCATGGACACAAAAAAAAGCTCGATAAATTTTAAACCAATTTACATGTTTCATAGATGTTACATGCTATTATTACGTCTTTTATATTGTAATAATTTTATCTTTTCTAAAACTTATTTCAATTATTCTATGTTAAAAAAATAAATTTTAAATTTTAATCAGGTACCCATAGGTAAATTTTGTAATTAACTCATAGGCTTTACTTGAATTTGCGGACATTTCTCATTAAATAAACTCTTTTCACCGTCGTTACAGGTCTTCATAGTAGATTATTTTATAATTAATATTATGTTATATTGCTTCAGGGATAAACGTGCTCTTAACATTGATATGAGGATTGGTGTGCACTCTGGGAGAATACTAAGTGGGCTGATAGGCATTAAAAAGTGGCAATTCGACATTTGGTCCAAGGACGTTACTATTGCCAACAAAATGGAATCTACCGGCCAAGCTGGGTGAGAAACTAAACAATTATTTTGTATACAGTTTCACTTTTTTCCTCTTTAATTATTCAAAATGTCAACATGGCTTAGGTACGTTTTATGACACAGGTGGTTCATTACATGACATCACATAACTTAAATTCCAGGATATACTTAAATAACTCGCTTCGATAACAATTAAGCCCGAAGTTCTGGAAATGTTGTGAACATTTCCAGACATTTCTTATTCCATAGGTATAAGAAGCATATAAAATTTCTAAAAGCTAATTTTTACTCGTAAACTAGAATATACTCGTAATTTGAAAGCAAATAAGTAAACATATATGTGCAAGCAATTTAAGCAGATTTTAATATTCATGAATATTTTAGTATAATTAGGTGACTTATTTATTTCATCTTTATTTTAGAAAAGTGCATATAACTAAACAAACTTTGGAACTAATCTACGATTATGCCAGAGAATATTTCATTGAGCCAAACTATGCTAGCCAAAATGATCCGTTTGTTATGAAAAACAAACTGGAGACGTATCTTGTTTCGAGACTCACAAAGGTGAGTTTCTTAGATAAAGGACATTTAAAAGTAAAATAAAAAACATAAAACATTTCTTTAATTAAGTTTATTAAATTAACGTCATTATAACCTCTAGTATATGTATAGTCGAGGTAATGATTCTCATGAAGTACAAAACTTAAAAGGCAACATAGCATAAGAAATCTCGGAGATTAAGGGCCACGTGCACCAACATTCTTAAAATAATCTATCTTGTTTTACATATTTTTCCATCTATGTCAATTGTTTAAAGACAATTTTTTAATTATATTTAAGAACTTTTAGTGCAAGTGGGCTTAATAATTTACTTACTATTGTAATTAAAGTAACGTTTGAGAAAATTTTAATATTTCCGGAACTTTTTATAATATAAATTGCAAATACTATAGTCAATATCAAATTTTTGCAGATTGTTGAATACAGACGACCTTCGTTTAAAAAACCATCTGTAGGATTCAACAAAATCATCACTAAGAGAGTAAGTAGGATTGCTTTTAACAGGAAAACAGGAACAATGGTTATTTAAATCATTTATTATACTGAGTCTGATAGTAAAAAACAAGATTTCTTAAATTTATCGAGATGCTATTTAAAACTTCATTGTCATTTGTTTCTAGTTATATTTTCTTAAGATTTAAATGTCAAGCAGTTACATGCTTTAAAAAAAACTATAATTGCTATTTCTTCTTTCAAATGTTTAATACTTGTAAAAGTATTCATTTGACATTGTAGGTTACCTATAATGCGAATTCATTGTCATTTTTATTTCAAATTGGGCATAAATCAAACTTTAATAAAAGCTTCTCTGAAATTTGCCAATAAACGTGTAGATCTTTTTCCGTATTAAAACAAAAGCATTGATTGAATAAAAGAAAGAGGATATAATATTCACTGTCACCAATCCCTGTTCGCTGTTTACAATATTTCATTATTCCTCTAGTAGCGTTTCGATGGCAGAAGTTCAGCAGCTACAGTCAGAAGAACTACTACGTTTATGGATGAAAATCTGGTCGAATATCAGCTAATGTTGAAGGCAGCAAACGCACAAATGTCGAAAGAAATTGACGACATGAACAAAGGAAAGTAAGTTGGTAAACTCATAATTTTCGCTTTTTTGTTTTAAATGTCAGTCTAAGCTGCTACTGTACTCGTTTATATTGTTACCATGATTAATTTATATTGTTACGATAAGGAAGTACAAATTAATATAATAAAAAACACCATCAATGCTGCCACATTTGGTATGATATCCACAGAGACCATGCCAACATATGAAGACGATTTAACATCTACTGATAGTTGTCTTTATTTTTTAAGCATTTAACTGCTAAATGTTTAAATCTAAAGAAAATATTACTAGAAAAAAATCCACGTGGACCAGGCAGCAGACTGGACTCGAACCCGCACCCTTCGCTATCCGGGCGAATGCACTAATGCTACCGCGGGCCTGATGGCCGTGTGGATTTTTTTCTAGTAAAATTTTCTTTAAATTTAAACATCTAGCAGTTAAATGAAAAATAAAAATATAACTCTTATTGCTATTTCTTCTTTCAAGTGTTTAATAGTTATAAAAGTATTAATTTGACATTGTGGATTACAATGCGAAGAGATGGCACTGCTTTGCAGCCTAAGAAAGACTAGAGAAAATTCAACACGGCCATCAGGACTGCGGTAGCATAATGGTCAGTGCATTCGCCCGGATAGCGAAGGGTGCAGGTTCGGGTCTCATCTGCTGCCTGGCCCGGCTAGAATTTTTTCTAGTGAAATTTTCTTTATCTATTGATAGTTAAATAAATAGTTAATAAAAGTTGCTAACTGGCTCTGTACAGTGTAAAAAATATTCACTGAAAAACTTAAATTGATGTTATCAACTCATTATTTTGCAGTGATCAGTTCCGGAGAGTATCCAGTTTGAATTGTATCACAATGATGTACAAAAACATGAAAACAGAAAAAGCATTTTTATTATTGCCAGATCCATTATTCAAATATTATATTTCGTGTTGCCTGATAATATCCTCTCTAATACTGCTTATAAATGGGTTAACCACAAATTGGTAAGCAATTCATAAGTTTCTTCAATGAATCTCAATTAGTATTCTAGACTCTATATTTGGATTCCTTCATGCCCTTTATTATAATGTGTTTGTTCTTTGTTTTAGGTTCTACGGATTCAAGTGGTATACATGGACAATGTTCCTGCTCTTATTTTTCGTGATGATTCTTCTTCAGCCAATAACCTGGTTTCATTTTTTATGGACAAAATATATGGGTTCAGATGAACCGCGAAACCAAATACTGCGTAAAATATACGATACATCTGCGAACATTATTAAATCTGCTAAAATACGAACTGCTATCTATTTAACCATCAGTGTAGGGTTAGCTGCAACATCAATGGTCAACGTAATCGGTTGTACTGAAGAAGAAATAAGCAACACTGGTTCTGCGAAAGTTATTTCAAACTGCATATCTTCATGGGTAAAATAAACAATATTCCTTTTACGACATTCATATTATCAAAACTTTTCATAGTATCAGATTCTTGGAATATTAACTTCCATATTTGTTAACAATTCTTCCGTTTTATTGTTTCAGCATGTTACGCAATGCTGGGGACTAGCTCTGTTGCTGAACTTTCTCTTCAGTAGAGTATTCTTTATTTTTAAATGGATCGTTGCTGGTGGCATGACCTTGTTCTATTTATGGGTTGTTTGGGAAATCAAGTCTTCACTATTTAAAATCGATGCTACTTGGAACGTCGGCTTGGACCCTCGATTTGCGCATACTTTATTTGTTATCATTATAACAATATCATTATACTTAATTGACCGGACCACAGAGTATAGGAACAGATTGGACAACTTATGGCAGATACAGTTGAACGAAGAGCAGAAAGAAGCGGAAACTATGTTAAAAGTGAACAATATGCTTTTGGAGAATATCCTTCCAGCTCATGTTGGTAAGTAGGAATTATAAATATTGTGATCACAACTATACTCCTAATAATACTCCTTCTATTGATGCAACTGCAATTATATTTACTAAAACAGTGCAGGTATATTTGAACCTGAACCGTTCTATCGACGAGCTATACTATGAGAATTATGACAATGTAGCTGTGATGTTTGCATCCTTAACTGACTACAAGCTTGGTATGGAAGACGACGCCGACATGAGTGATAAGTTTGTGCTAAGCATTTTAGATGAAGTCATATCTGATTTTGACAGGGTACGTATATAAAATACATAAGTATGTACCTACTTTGATAGTTTTTCTTTTCTCTTACGATGTTGACACAACATCAAAGTGGTGATGTTATAAGTATATTTAACACACACGCTTTGATGACCTTATTTGGCGTTGAGCAGGTAAAAGATTTTGTCCAATGGGTCTGTATTTAGTATTCTAGCACCTAGAAAATTAAATTATTGAAGTGTAATCAAAATTTCTTTAATTTATAATTGTGTTGTATGCTTGAACAAATAAACATTATGTTACAGTTACTTATAACTGGATCTTCAATTCACAAAGTGGAAAAAATCAAAGTTGCTGGATGGACGTACATGGCAGCCTGTGGTTTAGACCCCTGCAGGAGGGATTCTATTAACTCTGCTTCAAATACATCCATTTATGAAGGGCAGAATAGTCCTTACGATAAGGCAATTGTATTGACAATGGTAGAATTTGCTGCAGCAATGATGATGCAGCTGAAAAATTTCAATAGAGGGTCTTTCCAAAGCTTCGAGGGACTAAATTTGAGAATTGGTAATAATCCTGACTGATAATTATATTCGCCATATTCTGTCTTGCATGTCAGCAAGTTACCTACAATGCGAAAGGATGGCGCTGCCTTGCAGCTTAAGAATGGCTAGAAGAATTTTGACGCAGCCATCGGGACCGCGGTAGCATAATTGGTCAGTGCATTCAGAATCAGAATCAGAATCAGAAATTTATTGCATTTCATGTGGTAAATAAGGTCTAACATTATTATATGGTACAAACACATGAGTCCTGTTAGGACATAACAATATTGAGCTTATAGCTAAAATTAAATTTATGTCAACATTATAAGTAGTAGTATATTAACAATTATCAAATAAATATCAAGTCAATTTTAACAATAATAATAAGAATAGTAATAATAATAATAAGCATGTCAAGGTGTCTTTAATATTTGAAATTATTTAATAGTCCTATAGTATTCACATAATTTATAAAAACATTTATTAACAAGGTAATCATTTAAGGTTGTAACAAACTTATCGTATTTGTCTATCTGTCTAATATGCTTTGGTAACTCGTTGTACAGTTTTCCCTATTCGCCCGGATTGCGAAGGGTGCGGGTTTTAGTCCCGTCTGCTGCTTGGTCCGCGTGGATTTTTTGTAGTTATATTCTCTTTAGATTTAAACATCAAGCAGTTTCATGCTTAAAACAACAAAAATTATAACTATAAATGCTATTTCTTCTTTCAAATGTTTAATACTTGTAAAAGTATTCATTTGACATTGTGGGTTACCTACAATGCGAAGAGATGGCGCTGCTTTGCAGCTTAAGAATGGATAGAAGAATTTCGACGCGGCCATCGGGGCTGCGGTAGCATAATTGGTCAGTGCATTCCCCGGATAGCGAAGGGTGCGGGTTCGAGTCCCGTCTGCTGCCTGGTCCGCGTGGATTTTTTTCTAGTTATATTTTCTTTAGATTTAAACATCAAGCAGTTTCATGTTTAAAAAACAAAAATTATAAATATAATTTGTATATTTGTAAACAACAATAACATGTATAATACATGTATTTGTATTTGCCGCATACAATTCACTGAACCGGTTGCGCAATTTTTTACCAATAAGTACAAAAGTCACTTTGGCTCAGACACTTTTACTTTCTATTATCGACTACGCTGATGTTTGTTATACTGACATATCTGAGGAACTCTTAAACAAGCTGGAACGTCTGCAGAATATGCGTATCAGATTCATTTTTAACCTACGTAAATATGACCATGTGTCACATTTTCGATCCGACGATGCAGGGACTTACACACTCTTACGGTTCTCTATTCTGTACTTTTCCTTCCTTCTTCTCCGCCTTATCTAAAAGAATGTCTCTATTTTCTTGATTCTGAATCAGAACGCACTTTGCGGTCCTCTTCGAACCTAACCCTTGTAGTCCCACTCCATTCAACTGATTTATTTTCATATTCCTTCTGTGTGCATTCTATTCTCTTCTTGAACTCACTACCTGAAACAATCCGAAAGGCTCGTACTCTAAGCTTGTTTAGGAATCAAGTTAGAGATTATTTCCTTTCCCAACTTTAAATCTTACCTCTCTCTTGTCTATCTTTCTGGATATATCTATTGCATTTTTTATTCATTATTTATTTACCATACCTGTTAGAGCCCCTTCTTGTTCCTCTTATTTATTTATTTCACTGTCATGGGTTGCCTGGAAGAGATTGCTGTTTAGCAATAAGGCCGCCTATTGTGTACGTTTTCACTGTCATGTTTAACGTCTTGTATGTCCTGTGAGGTGTATATCAATAAAGAATATTATTATTATGTATTTGCAAAGAAAATAATTTGAAGTTGATATTTTTTATTTCGATATTTCCAATCCTAGTCAAAAAGTTTGTACTTTTATTCTTAGTAATCGTAAATTCAGAGATTTGCATTAATATATTGCAATCTAGAGAAAAGTTTAGATATCTTATGTTATTTTGGACAAATTAACCGGAGATGTACAATAAATAAATTATTCAATAGTTAAGATACCAAGCGAAGACAAACATAATATTGAAAAGCTCAAATATCGCTAATCATTTTCAGGAATTTCCAACGGAAAGGTCGCAGCGGGTGTTGTCGGGTCCCTTAAACCGCTATATGATATATGGGGTCATGCGGTTAATATGGCTTCCAGAATGGATTCCACTGGAGAAACGGGGAAAATACAAGTATGTTATTTTTTTGTCTTTTTGTTTATTTACACATTTGACTTATTATTATTTTCAGTCAAACCACCATATCTGTTCCTGTAAGATTTTTTGTTTATAGAATTTATTTTTCCTTCTCTGTATATTTTTTAGTCGATATGTACGTTATGGAACTGTTCCTTAAATTAATGTTGTCAATTAAGTAGTCCCTTGAATGGTTTAATTCACAACTTCTGCAGTTGGGTTCTCCGTTCTTACGTGCATTCTTATATGACTGAAAGTTTTTTCTCATTCTTTCTGTGGAAGTCTGTAGGTATAATTATGAAAAATCAAAACTTTTGACAGGTTACTGAAAATACTGCTTTCATTCTGGATGAATGTGGTGTTCTGGCGACATGTCGCGGCGAAACCTTCGTGAAAGGAGCTGGCTATATCAAGACCTACATGGTTCCACTCGATGAAAATTTCAATCTTATCAGAAAGGAGGACAGCTTTCATTACTACAAGAAAGAAGATAAAAGACGTTACTATAATATACGTGATAGTATCGATGGAATGTCTGATACCGCCTCTCTTTATAGATCTAATTCTCTTTATGATAATATGTCGGTAACAAATGACAACGTTCAAAGTGATTTAAACAACAAATCATACGAACCAAATGATGGTGATAGTATCTCATCGTCAAATTTTTATGATGAAACAATAACTAATAATAATATAAATAAACATGATGATACCATTGTAAACAAGTCGTACGAACCAACTGATTCTTTGAGCTTTTCATCCAGTGAGCTTGACGAAACGGATACTCGTTGCTAGAAAACTAAAAAAAATATCTGGTTTAATTTTAGACATTAATCAAAATAAATTTGTCCAATCAATCATTTACTAATTTAAGTAATATTATCAACCATTCTAGTCGTTAAGTTTTAAGAGGTATTAAAGACATTAAATGGTTATGAAATGTACGTAAATATTAGCCTACCCTTATCTTACATCGCGAGATACATATATATGTGGTTTCACAAATCACATCCCTCGAATGAATTCCTATAATAATTTATAAACAACAAATGTTTACTTGGTCAACTGATTATAATTAACATAGAAAAAAATCGTTATGTCTAACGGGTAACTTTAATGAATGAGTGTAAATTTTAGTATAAGTAATCATGTATTTCTGTGATGTTTTTAGAAATACGATAAATAATAAATCCTTCTAATTAAACACCGTTTTTATTGGTCATAAATGAATAATCACAATAAGAATGTTAACTGACAAAATCTCAATTGGCAATCATCAAGTTAATAAATGAAAATATATTTATTTCAGTTTGAACATTTACTTTAATTTAACCTGTTCTCTGAAATCTAAAATTGTATAAATGAAAAGTAAATACTGCATACGGTATTACTTATTCGGATATTCGACACGACAATTTAAATTTAACAAATACAGACAAATTATTGAAACATCGTGCAGGTCAGTCCTAAAAATAAATAAAATAAACTACAGACAAATAGTTTTATTCAGCTACGCAAATTACAAATAGACTTGACTTCAAAAAAAATATATAAAAAAAGTTCATTTTCTATCGTAATGATCTTAAATAAATAATTGGTCTCCCTTTGGTCGACCGCTGGGAGACCAATCATTTATCTATGGTATTGTGTAACTTTAAAACGTCACTTAGGCCGTGTAGTTTCATTGATAGGTAGTTTTAACTTTGACTATAGTTAAATCCTTTGGGAAAAAATAACCATTTGTCAAATGTGACACTTTCACTATATATGTATTTAAATGCGACTATAGTACTACGTATCGATCCTTAGGAACCACATCCATAGATTTTTCTATCATTATATGACCGTTTTTTTTTCAGCGTATCCGGCATTAGTGAGAAATTAATGTATAAATGACAACTTGTGTTCTTAAGTGACTTCCTATTAGGCTTCGCCGGAATACGCACATACTAGCACTCCTTTACAATATTTTGTTTTATCCCTTTTCCCGCGAAATCCCAAAAAACTTTTTAAATTTCAACAAAATTCCCTATCGCTTTACAGGCTTGCTTTTAGGTCATCAAAAAATCTAATCCTCACGATGCCTGTTCACCGCACCAGCTATTATGACCATTCATTTGCTATACGAGCTGTTCGGCTTTGGAACTCGTTGCCTACTAATATCAGACGTCCTAAATGTTAGAATATATTCAAAGAGGAGCTCAAACACTTTTATCTTTCGCAGTGAATCCGATTTTACTGTGTAAAATGTTATGTATATGTATGTGTGTGTGTGTGTTAATGAATGTATTTTTGAATTAAAATACTTAGGTTTCATGTGAAGTTGTATGTACACATGTGACTATTTACTCCAAGCCATATAACACCCCAAACTACAGTTTCTGTAGAACTTTTTGTACTCGCGGTTGTCTGGAAGAAATCGCTCTTAGCGATAAGACCGCCAATTATAATACTTTTATTGAGTTTATTGTTTGTTAATGTTCTGTAATTATGTATTTGGTTTTATAATAAAGTGTTAATCTATCTATCTATCTAACTTGTAGTTGTCTTCTTAGTTTCATAGGCCCTTAGGTTGACTAATCAACATTTAGCTGACTATGATCAAAATACGGCCACTGAGAGAATGCGTTAACCATAAACTTAAGATTTCGCTGCGTACTTTGTTCATGTTGTCAACATAAGGAATTGACACGAACAGATGCGACTTGATTCTTTCAGCATACTTGCTATAGGCTGAATCCTAGAAAAAAAAAACCGGCCAAGTGCGAGTTGGACTCGCGCACCGAGGGTTCCATACAAACCTGAATTTTCAAAAAAAATGACATATGATGTAACTAAAAATTTACGGTTTCTGCAATTTTCCCTTTATCTGTACGTATTATAGATACGTTACTTCGTACCAAATTTCAAGATTCTAAGTTCACGGGAAGTACCCTGTAGGTTTTGATTCCCGTGCGAGTTTCGAAAATTTGCGGCATAAACGGCTGTATCTTTTGATTGCTTAGAAGTTTGATTTTTTCACAGCTCCAAGGGACAGTAGAACTGAGTATTAGATATGAATTACAGTTTGATACCTCCACGCGTTCCTGAGAAAAACGGTCTTGACGGACGAACGGACGGACAACAAAGTGATCCTATAAGGGTTCCGTTTTTTCCTTTTAAGGTACGGAACCCTACAAAACGTAGTACACAACACGCAGCACATAATTTGATGTTGATTGATCATTCGTAAGCTGAGAACGAGGAGCTCGATGGCGCAAGTGGTTAGTGCGTTTGGATGCGATCGTTACAGTTAAGCAACTTTCGCAATGGTCGTCATTGGATGGGTGACCAAAAATTTACTATCTCGAGCTCCTCCGTGCTTCGGAAGGCATTTTAAGCCGTTGGTCCCGGCTGCATCTGCAGTCGTTAGCCATGGCCCAATCTCCCTATTCCATCCATAGTGAAGACCTGTGCCCCAGCAGTGGGGACATTAATAGGCTGATGATGATGATGATGAAGCTGAGAACGGATAGCACGTTCCAGGGTACGCTTGATCCGTACGCAACTTTACAGTCACATTTTGAATTCATATAAATTGAATTCAGTCTTAGCCAATAAAACAATTGGTCGTTTTTATTTTTTTATTAGGGTATTTATTATTTTTGTACATTATTGTAAAGTAATTCTAACAGGTGCCTTCTTACGGAAACATTTCGCGAATTTGAATGAAGTCTCTGGAGGGTCCTCACCTCTTTCTTTACTGCATTCCTCCATTATTTTCTTGACAGCTTCCTTGTCTGTTCCCTTTGGGAACACTTCCATTGCTTTATCTATATTAATATGGCCCGTTTCATCAGCATACCCTGTCTTAGTGAATACACAATGTATGAACTTCTGGTACTTTTTATCGTTGCCTAATGATTTACCGCTAGCGTATTGGAATATGACTTCTGGCGGCACACTGGACTCTCCGACGCATTGCATGGCGACTGGGAGAATCTGAGCCACTTTCTCTGGAGGTAAGTGAACTATTTCCTGTAATTAATAATTATAATGTACATATTGACTAAAACTTTAAGTACTTTTTTCGTTTTTAAACAAGTACTTAGGTCACTACATATAGGTAAAGAATTCCTGCTCATATTGGAGCGCCCGTCAGGATTAAAAAGACTAGAATACTGTACCCTTACTTCGAACCAATATCGAATTTGAATAGTTGAATTCGATCTCGATACGCGATAAATATCAAAAAGTTTTGTAGGGAAGATACGTACTCTAGTCCTGTGATACATTATTGGCTCTCGACCCGATAGCCAAGGTACAACACGCAAGTGAAACTCTAGCATCAAGCAGCAGCTGAATTTCTTAAATAGAAATGAGCGAGATGGTTTCAGCGCTCTATGAGATAGTCTTTCACTCTATGTTTAAAGTTTTCACTTTACGAAAATTTTCTTTCCACTTGGAGCGCTTCTCGAATTTGACTTTTGGCCCCTCTTGCTTCATCCGTTACTGCGTTACTTCAGAACCGGTGCTTCTAGTATTCCTTGTGTATATAGGCTATGGTAGCCTCTGACCATCAAGCAGCTCAAATTCTTGTTTGCTACCCTTATTACTTTATGTAAGTAATAATAAACTGAATTAAAAGTAAAAAATACAATCACAATAATGGGCAACTGCATAATCTTTCCATTGCGTCGGGTTTGTAGCTGAATTGGATTTTATTAAAAATATGTTTTATCTACTCATTAAATCTAACAGTCTTGAAAGCATTTAAAAACCTCATTAAATTCAATCAAGTCATCAGAAATACAAAAAGGTTTTCATAAGAATTGTTCTGATGCGCTAAATCTCAGAAGTAACATTTATCGCTATTAAAAGATAATTGATTCGCGTTAATTACGGATCTAGGACTCCTTTAATGTCACATTGTATTACTCTTTTTATTAATAATCTGGATTGGTTGCCACACGATTGCTATTGGATACACATTTTTATTTATTTAAAAAAAATCATAAGTGAGAAGTAAAAATAAAAACATATTCATAAAATAATATTTTCTAAATATCCCCCTATTAAAAAGTTACATAGTGCCTCTAATTTACGAATGAGATGTCAGTTAAGTGAAAATCACTCGGCCTGCCCTACATTTCGCGTGAAGCAAACATAAACTCATACCCCAAATACAAGGGTGTAATGGAGGCCATACACGTTAGGTTTTGCATGATGGTTTTAACTGTGCATTCATAACCGACACGCATAACCGTGTTACATGCACCGAAAACTGTACAATTTTATCACATACACGTAAGGGCTTGCCTGTCGGTTATGCATTTTCGGCTAAAACCATCATGCAAAATCTAATGTGTATGGCCTCCATAAGCGCCATTGTTTGTTGTGAACAAAAATATCTTCAAAAAAATTGAGTTGCTTAAGCGCCAAAGAATTACTCAAATCTTCACGAAACATAAACAGATCGACGCAGAAAATATCTGATACAAATGATATATATGATAATGATATATATATATATACCTACGCCATTTTATTTCGAGATAAGAAGCTGCTGAACCTTACCGTATTAATATCAAAGTCTTATATCTCCCGCAGGCTCGAACCATTTTCATTTTACCGATCTGGACTCGATAACCTACTCCGTGGAGCCTGGAAATCTTAGCAAAGGAAACCCAAACCCACTAAAAGTTAGTGTTTGTTCCTCTTTCATTCCTCTTTTTATGTAATGCTGCGTTTCCACTTAACCTCAGAACAGTCCTGTACGAGCAAACATTTGCTCACCCGTAAGTAGAACCATCAGAGCGAGCGACCGATCTTACAACGATGTTAGACTGGACTCAGGGAACGAATGCTCTCTTGTTCAGTCATCAATGGAAACGCAACATTGTTTGAGCATTCCATTTACCGAGCTTAGTAATATCGTTGAAACCTATAATATTCGCCGTGTATTACCTCTTTTCATAGTTTCCTAGTAGGGGCGTATTTAACTTAAGGCCAAAAGGGCCATGCTACCCTAATAAGCACAAAAGCGGTATCGCAATGAAAGCTAGTTTCGAGATTCGTTTTCTCGTTAATTTACAGGTCGTTATTTTTGGTTATTAAATGTAATTTATGTATAATATTAGGTATATTTGGCGGTATTTAAATATACGGCTGGTTTTCTACGTTGTATTGATATTCCTCTAATATCCTTAGTAATTTAAGGTAAAACTGAGATAGAGAAAACTTTCTTAACGTTTTTTTATACCTTTTAGATAGTATACCACTCTAAGGCTTAGTTCAATAGATGCATATTTTTCTAAGATATCCGATGCTATAAAAAACATTTTTTTGTTTTTTTTTTTTTGAGATACCGCTTTTGCGCTTAGTACATGGGCAGCATGGCCCGAGGCGGCAGACTGCGAGGAGCAGCTAAAAGGGGCAACAGAAGCCAGTGGCTACAAGAGGCCACAGCAGCCTTATAAAGGCATTTGTTACTGACATTTATTTTGATTTTATTTACTATACCTAGAAGATGGAGGCACCAGATTTTGAGATACGCCCCAGTTTTCTAGGCTAGGCAGATACGACAGTTCAACCTGAAAATGCGCTACCTGTTTTCAAAATAATATTAGATTAATAAATACCTGTTCAGCATATATGCATCCAATGAACGCAAGAACAAACAATACTGCACAGCACCGCATTTTTATGGCTTTTTTTGTTATTTAAATAAATAGGTACTCCACTACTTATATCATACAATCCTTACTGGCGGAATGGCCGCGACTTGTGAGTGTTACACATTTATAGTGCAGTCTCGGGTAATTTATAACGTCATAAGGATAAAATCAGCTAACCACGTTTCGCTTAAGTTTTATTATGAGTATAGGTTAAACCTTTGTATTCGTATTACGGTCAATACTTAGCGGTTATAGCTAGGTACGTGGTAAAAAAATTATGCTTTTTATAAGTATACATTTTATGTTCATTGTTTGTCTTAGTTCGGCATAAAACACTAGCACTTACACAGTTTTTATCAACAAGTTTACTTAGCCTATATTAAATAGGAGGTATTATTATTTTTTATTCAGACTCTTAAAAAGAGCCTTGTCAAAGTCTAAAGGTTTGTCTCAAGGTCGCATTTGAAAATTTTTATTAACAAGTTTATTTAGCCTATATTAAACAGGAGGTATTATTATTTTTTATTCAGACTCTTAAAAAGAACCTTGTCAAAGTCTAAACGTCCGTCTCAAGGTCGCATTTGAAAATTTTTATTACCAAGTTTACTTAGCCTATATTAAATAGGAGGTATTATTATTTTTTATTCAGACTCTTAAAGAGAGCCTTGTCAAAGTCTAAACGTCCGTCTCAAGGTCGCTTTTGAAAAATCTCTGTCAGCAAATCGTCCTTCTAGTAGCTATTTAGCTGTTTTATGTAAAAATTTGTTTCTCGTTACCGGCCAATAAATAATGGTTGAAAGCTTTGTGGCAAGAATTTGATTGGCGGAAACATACAATGGGTTCAGGTATTATATTGAAGTAAATAAATAGTTTATTCTTGTGGTAAAAAGTTAATAGGTACAAAAAAAAGGTTATTGAATAAATAATTATAGTTACTTATTGCTGATATGCCGACATAAGTAAAGCACCCGTAGTTAGTATAGTCATTGCTTTACAGTCGTTACTCTAAACCTGATGATTTTAGGCTTCATCATCATCATCAACAGGCTATTTTAGCTCACTGCTGGGCATTATAGGCTTAGTTAGGAAAATTGCAGGATAAAAAAATTACCGTGGTATTGACTGTACTAACTCCTAAATTTGGAACAGGCGATAGTTTGAGATAGGCATAAAATAAAAAATTGCATTAAACAATAATTAATATTTTGAGTGAGCTTATCAATAATAATAATTAAATGACCAACATCTATGTCTTGCGTCATCATCATCAGCCTATTCTTGTCCACACTGCTGGGGCACAGGCATTCCCTATCGATGGAATAGGGGGGAAATCAAGCCGTGACCGCGTTGTGAACGCGGGCCCAGTGCGGATTGGTGGGTGCTAACGACTGCAGCCGGAACCAACGGCTTAACTTGGCTTCCGAAGCACGGAGGAGCTTGACATAGTAAATTTTTGGTTACCCATCCAATGGCCGACCTCTGCGAAAGTTGCTTAACTTCAATGATTGCAGCCGAGCGTGAACTCCTCTAAACGTCAAGAATAATGTAAAAATACGATAAATCACGCTTTGTTGACACATAAAAAATTGTTTAAAAAAATAAGTACATAGCTAAGTTAATAAATTTATCATGCTTCAAGTATATATTCGGTTCGGAAAGTCAAGGTGATCCCGTATTCTAAAAGAAGGCTTCTCACCTTAATGTCATATCACTTAGGATTCATTTTCCTGTTCGACATAGGTACTCAAGGATTTGGAATAAGTAATGGTTTTTAACGACATAACTTCATTTATATTAAAAATCCGTATAAAAATATCTTTTTTTATAAAATAAATACAGATGTGATATTTTTCGAAACTTAATTAGACTACTGCATTTTCTGCACTCAGAAACGACAATTAATTTTTAGGTTCGTCGAAGTGACGTGTTATCTAATGTAATGGAAAATGTCAGCATCATGTTTAATCAAACTTAATAATTAACGTCTATGGAGCTATGAGAGTAGCATCAAGAAATGTATGCTTTTGAAATGGTCAAATTGAAGTCAAATTAAAAAGTCGATTTAATTTAAAAAATATAAACCATTTATACAGTAACATTATTACCTACATTTGTTTAAAACTTTCCTAAGTCGTTGGTGCATTTTTTGCAAAATCTGCAAAATTATAAAACTAAAGCAAAATCAAGTTACATACAATTTTTAAGCAATCTGTGCGTTGCCCCAGTTTATACTGCAGTAGGTATACCTAACAGTGCAGGATATGAATGATTTTTTTATAAAGTCGAAAGCCAAATCATCTGCCTCACATTCATCGACAGTCAATATTTATACAAGCTTCAAATAACATTCTATTTGTTTTGATCTGCACACTCGGAAGCTAGGCTTTTAGTTTGAACATCAACTGATTCATTTAGCACTATTTCGGGTTACTAGGTAATTGATTTATTTAAAATCTAAAAACTGTTTCAGCAGCATACGAAACTACTTAACCCATTTGTTTCTTTGAAAACCTGCTTAAACAGGAAAAGCCAAACAAATGTATATTAAAACAATGCAAGCAAGATTTTCAACTTGAATGATATTCAAAACTTCTTCTATAGGGGAAAGTCATAATTTAATTACAGCACATAAGTTCCAATTTTTATTAACTTCAATAAATTAAATAACAGTAACATACTTTGTATAAGTTTTTTTTTGTGTCTTACAATAAAATGTGAGTTTTAGTTCCTTTCGAGTAGCATTTGAATATCTCAAACGCCGTGTCAGCTGCATCTTTGCCAGTCTTGTTCTTGCACTCTTCTAATAGTTTGGTTGCGTCATGCTTATTCACGCTTTCGGGCAATTTGGACAGTGCTGCGTCTACGTTGAGTTTGCCTGTCTGATCTACGATTCCAGACTTCTGGAAAAAACAAAGGGTGAATTTTTTTAAAGCTTCGTCGTCCGCGTACTGACCTTTCTTCGCGTTTACCAGCACATCGGTATGAACTCCCGACTGCTTCACACACTCCATGATATACTGATTTGCCTTCTCCTTTTGTGACTCAGACAGATGGACACCCTGCAAAGAAATTAAACTGTATAATTTTAATCCTTTGGACACACTGTGATTAAAAACAATAACCTTAAAGATAGGTATTATATTTCTCTCTTTGTTTCTATTATAGAAGTTAATGATGAAAAAGACGATTCCGTTATTCACAATCCTACTAATTTTATAAATGTGAGTGTTTGTTACTCAATCCTGATCCTGAGGGATTCTCAAATAATAAAATTAGCGCGGATGAAGTCGCGAGCGGCCATTAGTTGAGAATACCTATCACCTCTAACAGAATTCTTAATTTTTTAACCTGAGCTTTTATTACCCGGTTGTAGAAAGGATTTCTTCCTATTTCAGAGAGAGTTTAAATGTATATTGAAAATAATATGTACTAAATAAGTACTTTTCTTTATGAGGAGTTGATCAATATCCTTTGTAACACCTGGCATAAACAATTTATGTGTGCTGAATACTTATAATTATGCTAATCAATAGGTAATTAGGCTTTCTACTTACGCGAAAATTAAATATATATAATCTATCTGGATCTTTGGAGACCAAGGATATTAGAAAACCGTAAGTACCATTACGCAATCTAGAGCAGATGTTATTTGGTACCTTACAATTACTGTTTTTTTTTTTTCAAATATACTCACATGGTGCATATCCATGCCTGCCGCGGCTACCACCAAACACAGAAACACGATAGACTTCATATTTACTATTAAAAAAATCTAACTCTGTACCTATATCACAAACGCCAGATACGATTGGTTTGTTGACAAAATTAACACGAGAGTTCTTTTTATACTAGGGACCGAAGGAAATCAAGACGGAAACGGGTTTATAGGAAATAAGCCGCGACTATTGAAACTAGGTCTTATTAAAGTATAGAATAGAGAAACATCAAGTCATCTTGCGACCTCAATTAAGAATTACCTTAACTCTTTAGGGTCAAGCTCAAATTGTATTCCCATGTTTTGTAAGTGGGCAAACCTTTTCCTTTATCGAAGTTTCGATTCCCCGCCTTTATACAGATGATATTTTTCTTGTAGGTGAAATCCTTTCACTTCCTAAGTTCGATAGCTCCAATTTTAGATATAAGGTACCTACTTCAATATGCATTACGTCTTTACATGGAAAAATATACTATAAGTACTATTTATTAGTCAATTGTCAAAATTTTTATTGTTGCTTAAGATTTTCATAAACCATTCTTGAAACTAAAAGCAAAGAGAGAATCCTTGAAGGGTAGCCCTAGCCTGTGGATTCCAGCTACTTCTTACTTTTAAATGAAAAACATCAGAGCAAACTATATGATATTTTACTAGTCTTTTTATCATAAATATTTATTAATTTACCCAATTATTTCAATATTTTTTTGGCATAGACAGAAAAGCTTTTCTACAGCAGAGTACCTCCCTACGTGATATAGTGCAGGATAGACTAACACCGCATTTTAACTATTATAGAAGCAGATGAATTGATGCAACGTTATGTTATATATTATTTATATATCATATGAGAGGAGTCTCAGGAATGGAAGTTCATTGTATCTTTGTTTGTTTTAGATTTTTTAGACCAGAACTCTCAGAACAAAGCTGAGTAAATGTGGGCATCTTCGAGTTATGACACTAATTGATATTTTCTATTGAGTATAGTATAGATATTCCAACTTAAGAACATTATGTAAGGAATGTTATGACAATCATAATAAATTAATTATAAGTATACCCATTTAGTTTTGAGAAAAATATAAAACTTATTTTTCTACAACAACTCGACTTACCAACTTTGCTGATTCTTCTTAAACCGCACACAGTTATTCGTCTAGTTATTAGGTACCTATAGTAATAATAACATAACAAAATAAACAGTAATACCTTGTTTGTGACAATTTAATAGGTTTAAATAAGAAAGTAGATTCATTTTTTTTCACAGGTTTAGTCGATACCTTTTAAATGGTTGAAAAAACACACACATGGTTTTGCATTTTTCATGAGCTTACTCGATTGCTGCAAACGAAAATCCGGCAAGCAAATCACTCGAACTTTTTTCAGGAAAACATTTTAACGTCCTGTTTTATTATGTGTTCGTGATTTGGATATCATGATTGGTGATGATTTTGGTTTCATTTATCTATAAATTAGGTTTTATCATGGTTATATATGAATATGTGTGTGGCATAGAGGCAGTAATAATATTTACACGTAGTTAGTGTAATGTTTTTCTGTTTACATGCTCGTGTATTATTTTAGGTACTTATATTGTACTTGGCTGCCATTCTACAGTTTCGTAAATTATCTATGAGACAGCTGATATTTAATAAAAAATATAGACATCAATACTGCATAATAGCCGACGGTAGAGCATTAAAGAATGTTAAATAAGTCATCATCTGGGGCATTTTCAGTGGTATATTTACCCTAGGGGCTAAAAGGGACATGTCCCAGGGCGGGAGGCCACGAGGGGCGGCAGTAGCAGGGTTAAAGGACAAATCGACCTAAATATTAAAAGACATTATTATTTAGGTCATTGCTAATAGATTTGACCCTTTGATTCGATTTACTGACGAAAAGTTAGGTAGCCGTTTTAAACTTCAATTTTTTTTAAATACCGCGATTTTGATCATATTTTAAGTTTTTTTTTTCATCTCTTGGATCAGACTTTTTACTGTTTTATGCAGAAGGCATAAAAATCCATAAAAATGGCCAGTCCATAAAAATAAATAGAAAACATTTTTTTTTACAGTTATGGTCTTCCGAGAAAATTCGCTAAATATGCATCCATCTACATCTTTTAGGAACTCACACAATTCACTTACGATTTAATTAAATACATATTTCATACGTTGTACTTTATCAGATAACTAACCGGTGCATAGATAAGTACCGCTGACCGTAATTAATTCGAGTTTTGAAGTGAATAAGGGACCCGTTAGCAGTGACACGCTATATTATCTGCATTGCATATGGCATTCGTTATTGGCCTTCGAACAACTAGGCTGCAATAACTTAGAGGCATATTCTGTTTTCCATTTAGGTAGGTTTACGAACCTAGGTACCTCTAGGTTCGTAAACGTATCGTAATACTGTATCGTAATGAGAGCAAAAAAATTGTTTATGCTCACACAGAAAAAAAAACAAAACAAAAACGAGAGCAAAAAAAAATCGGAACCGTATAAAACCCATACCAAAAGGAAGAGAACACATTAAAAAAAGAAGGAAAATAAACTACGAGTTATTTGAGGTCGGGAGGGTGACCTTTTAAGGGGTGGGGGATGGTTCCACGTAAGGTTTTTCATAATGTGTATATACAAGCCTGAGAATAAAAACTATAGTGTACACCGAAGCGAAGTGAAGGCGGACCATCACTAGTAGGCAATAAAAAGATCTACAACTTTTGTATTTACACTTTTTTCACATAACCCAAAAAATATCTGTGAAAAATCTAAATAATCGTCTTTTTTGTTTTTTATTATTATATCCCACAAATAAACTTTTTTGTACCCGAAATTTGTTGAAAACTTACCATCTTATGTCCAAACACGCTCTAATTTTTTGATTTTTTTCCCCTTACATTGATATTACCTATTTCGAAGAATCTCCCGTCAATAATGTTGATTTTTAAATAAGTTTGGTGTGCTTTTTGTTCGTTGGATCCTCTTCTTTCTGATGGTATACAAAAAATATACATTACTACGGAAAAAAAACTTAGAAAATGCAAATGCGTTGTCACTATTTTCGGCCTTTTAAGCGGGGGAAATGCGTTTATCGCGATTTACGGGAAAATTAAAAAAATAATGCCAAAGTCGTAAGTAATTAAAATATCTACAACTTTTCGATGGGATTCGTTCGCATCGCCCGTAATTTATATTTCCTCTATTTTAAATGTATTCTCTTCCTTTCCACTTTTAACGATTTTCAAGGGCATCATGACTGGTCTAAAGTAAATAAAAAAAAGCGTAAAATCTCAGCATAAAAAGATTAAGATTATTTTTCCAGTCTTATATACAATAGGGGTGATGATGGGGTACAGTAAACGAAATTCTATTTAGTCCGTCAGTTAGATAATCAAAAAATAATGGACACGTATTTTTTCTTTAGGCAATCAACCAAAAAATGACAAAGTTATAACGCGTCAAAGTTTGGAAGTAGGAGCTCGTGACGTCACTTTTAAGTGAAATTTGTACCAAAACGTGACGTCATGCGACTTTTCAATTCAATATATCTCTGCAATGTTTATATTAAGTGAAAAAAGAAAAAAAAACGTGTCCAACACTTTTTAATAATCTACATGATAAACGAAAAAAAAAAATTAATTCATCATCCCTATTTTTGCCAATCTTATATACAATTTTTAATGTTTTAAGAGAGAGAAGCGAGCTGAGAAACATTAGAAAAATGGGTATTTGTAACAACTATTGCTGCCGCGTATTGACAAATGCCGTGCAATAGGAAAATAACAGCTTCTGCTGAATATTGGAAATAAAACTTACTAAATTTGAGGTTTGGCTGGCGACGATTTCCTCCTCAAAAAGTAGATCTACTTATCACACTTATATTATAAAGGCGAAAATTTGTGAGTGTGCGAGTGTGTATGTTTGTTACTTCTTCACGTCTAAACGGCTGGAGCGATTTTAATAAAATATGTTATGGAGTTAGCTGACACCCTGGATTAACACAAAGGCTACGTATTACCGTGGGAAAATATGCTTAATAAACCGCGGGTAACACAGCGAGGCACAGCTCGTGTTAAATAATTGCACCCCTTGAATAATGTTTTTAGTAGTGTTTTTGAATCTCCACACTAGACGTCTATAGTGGTAATAAAAAAATGTTTTCCTCGGGCATTTTTGAGGGCTTATAATGGCTTTAAAAAACAAGTTATCAAAAAAAAAAGATATTATCGGAACATAGAACAAGTAAGATTATATTTTATGTATGTAAATCATTTCTTTAGTGATAAAAATGAAGGTGGAATCAGTCGAGGACTTTTGTATGAAATGAAATGAAAAGTCATTTATTCAGTCTAGGCTGTTACAAGCACTTGTGAAGGTCAAGAAGCTACGCCATCGGTTCGCAAAACTACGGCGGGAGACCTTGTACTGAGAAGAACCGGCAAGAAACTCAGCAAGGGCTGCTTTTTTCTCCCTGTATTGATATATACAGAGTCGTCAAGTTGAAAAATGATTTCAGAGATACATCTGAAGTCACCTTCCATTACATTATTAAGGATATAGATATATAGTTACAATAAATTTTATATTTAGTATATAGGAAGCGGCATTAGATAGGTACCATATTACTGTTTCAAAAACTGACTCATACCCATCAAATAACAAATTACAAGAAACACTATGTCCATGCATTTCGATCATTTAGATAATCATTAACTTTATAATAGCCCTTATTCATAAGAGTATTCTTAATCTGAGATTTAAATTTGGTTAGTGGAAGCTCAATCAGATCTTGGGGAACTTTGTTAAACAATGCAATACTACATTCCAGAAATGAACCTCTTGATTTTTGGAGTCTGAAACATGGAACGGCAAGTTTGTTATTATATCTCGTGTTAAAGTTATGGGTTTGACTTTTTTTTGTAAATGCGTCATAGTTTTTTCTTACATATACTAAATTTTCATAAATGTATTGCGATGCCAGTGTTAAAATATTAATTTCTTTAAATTTTTCTCTAAGAGATTCTCTTGCCTTTAAATTATATATGGCGGGAACAGCTCTCTTTTGCAGTACGAAAATACTTTCTATATTAGCAGCTGAGCCCCACAACAAAAGGCCATATGACATAACGCTATGAAAGTAACCAAAGTAAACCAATCTTGCCGTTTCCACATCAGTTAGAAGTCTTATTTTTTTAACAGCAAAAGCCGCAAAGCTCAGTCTACTTGATAAGGCATCAATATGAGGATCCCATTGCAAATGCGAGTCTAAAGTAATACCCAGAAACTTTGTAGAATCCACTAACTCTACAGGCTGGTCATTTATTTTTAAACTAGTATTAACCTGCCTCACATTAGGTAAAGTAAACTTAACACATTTTGTTTTACTAGAGTTTAGTTTTAAATTATTTACCGTAAACCAGTGAAGGACTTCAGAGAGAGCACAATTTACTTCGTCATAACAATCATTTCCTCTCCCAGCTTTAAACACTAAAGAGGTGTCATCAGCAAATAGTACTGTCTCACACAAATCTCTTGTAAAGTGAGGAAGGTCATTAATATAAATAAGGAAAAGCAATGGGCCCAATATTGAACCCTGGGGCACGCCCATAGAAATGGGTGCTCCTGTAGACTCAGCTTGATTTATAACCACTTTCTGAATCCTAGCAGAAAGATAAGACTGTATCAGACTTAGTGAAATATTTGATACACCATAATGCTTCATTTTATTTAACAATATTTTCATGGCTAACGCAGTCAAGCGCCTTAGATAAATCGCAAAAAATGCCAATAGCATCGTGCTTACTCTCCCATATATCAAAGATGTGTTTGAGAAGTGCAGTTCCAGCATCAGTAGTACTTTTGCCTCTAGTGAAACCAAACTGTTTTAAATGAAGTAGCTTATTTATAGAAAAGTGTGCTAGTAATTGGTTATAAATTATTTTCTCAAATACTTTACTTAGCGCTGGTAAAACAGATATAGGCCTAAAATTGCTGGGATCTGATTTGTCACCAGCCTTAAAGAGAGGAATAACTTTAGCACATTTCATTAGATCTGGAAACACTCCCTCATCAATACATTTGTTAAATATAATGGCCAGTTGTGGCGCAATGACAGTGATAATCGGTTTTATTATATATGTTGATATTCCCCAATAATCCTCTGTCTTTTTAATTTTAATTGAATTAAAAGTTTTTATAATACAATCACTACTGATATGTCTAAAATGAAAATCATTACTGCACTTATCAACACTTGACTCAAGGAGGGTCATTGCTAACCTAGAACAAGAATTAAGATTTCTATTTGTTTCAAATGGTGCACTAGAAAAGAAATTTTGAAAAGTGTTTGCAACGGCATCATCTGTCCTAATAGTCTTATTGTCTATTTTTAAAGAATATGTGTGTTCATTAAATTTATTTCTTCCAGTTTCATTATTAATTATATTCCAAGTTGTCTTTATTTTATTATCGGAAAGACTAATTTTTTTAGATAAAAACTTAGACTTTGCTATGGCACACACCTTTTTAAAAGTGTTTGAATAGTTTTTGACATATTCTATAAACTTAGGATCAGATGAGGTTGCCTTGAGAGCATATAATTGATACAACTTATTTCTACTTTTGTAAATACCCGGTGTGGCCCAATCACTAAATTTCTTTTTAGAGCTATGGCATTTAATTAATTTGCGTTTAAATATTTTATTGAATTCATCTTTAATTAAATTGAATAAATCTTCATACAAAATATTATTATTATTACAAATGGATAACTGCCTGCGTCCGCGTTGGTCATTAGCCCGTATTTGGGTGCACGAAAGACATTACTCGAATTCGGGCACCCGAAGCAATGTATAAACTGGAAAAAGGGCTGGAGGACAGTGTCGGGCAATCAAAAAAATCTACCCGAATACAGGCGTACTCGACTCCGTTTATTTACACTTAGGCCCGTATTACAGAATGACAACTAAGCGTTGATCTTTACTGCAGTACAGTTAGAAAGGGATGTCGCTATATATTGCACATAGCGGCCTCCCTTTCTAACTGTACTTAAGTAAAGATCAACACTTTGTCAACAACATTCTGTAATACGAGCCTTAGTCGTTTACCCGAATTCCATTGGCACTCGTATTCGGGCTAGCGACCAAGTGTAATCACGCCATAAAACTCGTTTAATAACCAAAGAAAGGGTATATGTACCTACCGATTTAAAAATCTTCATCCGATACACTGTGGGATTGACAAGCAATATGGACTCGTGAAGGAGCTACTGCAATTGATACAAGTGAGCGAAGGGAATGTTTTTCTAATTTATGGTAAAACGGTAACACACATAAGCGGGCCGGCATTAATCGGCACAGCCGGGCGGTAAAATCGAATATCTGTTGATGAATGTTGGGCAGTAATTGCTAGGGGTCAGCTTTGTTGTTCGATAAATAATGCCGAACCATCTATGCCGGCCCGATTATGTGTGTAGCTACCCTAAGCGGCCACCGTAGTTGAGTAGAAATAGACTATATGCTATTCACGTAACATTTCTAAGAACGAAAAAATATTGTTCAGCTGGTTTGTATGGTGTGGGGGTGGAGTCGACTCTACGAAGGAGTAGAATATAGGAAAAAAATATTCAAGCGCGACAGACATTGAGAAGGGGTGTTAAGTGATCTCGCCAGTAGTTCCTATTTAAAAGACCGACGATTTGGACGCGACCAAAACTCATCGCCATCTGTTTTTTTTTTTTTGCTGCTCTAGACGTTCGGCCCTACATAGAGGGCTCAGGTATGGTGGGAGTATTTCACAAGGTGCAAGGTTGCCCCTCTTATGTTATTCTGCCGCGCATGAGTAAATCCAAAAATCCCTGCTTGGGCTCCTCTACTAGTACAACAAAAGGTGATGCTAATTTTTACTTCTAATACATAACAATAATAACACGAATAGGTACTTACGTCCTGAATCCCCACAAGTGGCAGGAGTGCAGAACCTTTAACAATAAAATGTATTTTCTAATGTAAATACCCAAGTACCAACGACACAGCTTTAGTTATCATTCTGGCCTGGCCATCAGGCCTGTACACATAGGTGTACCAAATAGGTACACCTATGTATCACGATAAGTAAATGCCGTTCATGGACTTCTTTCAAATTTTTAAACTTTGGATCATATCGCAATGAGCACCAACACTAACACATCTTCATCAGCCTATTAATGCCTCCACTGTAGGAACACAGGCTTTCCCTATGGATAGAATAGGGAGACTGGGCCATGACCATGACGTGGGCCCAGTGCGGATTGGTGGATGTTAACGACTGCAGATACAGCTGGGACTAACGGCTTAAAGTGCCTTCCGCAGAACTGAGGAGCTCTGCGTAAGTTGCCTAACTTTCACGATCGCAGGCTGAATGCGCTAACCACCAGCGCATCGAGCTCCTCGAACACCAACATAATTTGCTAAACTTATTGAGGAGCGCGATGGGGAGTGTGTGGCTGTGCTTCGACTCGTTAAGCCGTTGGTTGGGGTTGCATCTAAAGTCGTTGACTCCCATGTCATGTTTTGATTGCAAATTTTAAGAAAAATCATCACCTATAATACTTATAAGTAATCTTTGAATGACATTTGCCTATACTGTGATGTCATTTAAGTAAGTATACATTTATTAATTATTTAATGTCTATTGTAATGGTAATGCGTCTAATACAATATCTGCAACCTTTTTGCCCTTTTCGTTAACGTAGGTATTTGAAGGTGTAGGCCCCTTTAATACTTATTTCTCTATATTAGGCGTCCGTAATATTATTTTAATACCCATCCTATTTTTATTTCGGTTCTGAATTAGTTTAAATAATGAATATTCCTAATGAGTTTTTTATGATGAATTGTTGAGCATCGCTGAAACAAAACACTGCAGATTAGTGTCCTATGGCTTCGCCCGCAGACGATCCAGCCTCGGTCTACTTACACAGTCCCCTCTAACTCTCGCCTCTTTCCATACAAACAAAAAGTCAATACAGTAGTGAATTTTCAACAAAATTCTTAAGTTATATTGATATTTAAAAGTGTTTGACGAAAAGGTATGTATGTAGATGGCTATTTTTATAATAATTTGAGCGTTCAGAACTATAAGAATTTCATGAGAATTTGAAGTGGGTTGGATACACCTAACCGATGACCATCCGCAATTCAGTGCCAGGTTTCGATAAATCATAACCGTGATTGTCACTGAAGTCTCTCTCTACCCTATTAACTTTTACTTACCTACATATTATAGTTTTTATACCGTACAGTAGGTTCGACGAAGTTCATGAATATCGAATGTTGATTTTAAGAGAAAGAGCTTAACGGTGTTCTAAATATGTTTCTACAAAATAGCGCAAGCCACATTCAGAGATTCAAAGGAAAATAACTACTTGTGTTCTTTTTGCATCTCTCATATTTGGTTACACACATGGAACTGTAACTAATTCATCTCTTGCTGGACAATAATATGAGCTACCAATAAAGCCTGCACCATAGATGTTGTGAAAACTTTACAACTTGTAGAGAAAAAAGGGCTATCGCACTTTTCAAATTCTTCCGAACGAATTATAGTTTTTCTTCTAATCTGATTTATAGTATATTCCATACGCAGTAATATAAGATGTCAGAAGAACCAGCGTGCCAGTTAAGGAGGCGGAGGTCATCAGGCAATCCAAGCCTGCCCTTGAACCTGGAAGTCAGCTACCAGATTAATGAGGGTGGACCATCGGACGGAACCCCCTCCCCGAGCAAATTCCCTCCCAGCTCTAGAAGAACATCTGCATCAGCTCTATTGGACTTTAAAAATAAGCAGCAGTCTTTTGATATACAGGTGGGTAGCTCGTTGTGGCAAGTGTGCATTTTTGCATTTCCACGTACACATACAATTTGTGCGTTTAAATCAAGGCTTACCATGTCAATTCTGTTAAAGGAAGATCTAGTATCTAAGCTGGAAATATTGCTTCATAATTTGATTTTACTTAGATCTGTACCCCAAGCACGAAATTTCACAGCTCCGTATTCGTATCACTGTCGTCAATGAACATAGCCAGTTTGTTCTTACGTCCGGTAGGGGCATTGCTTAGTTTCCATAGAAACTTTGACATTGGCGATCGAATTACGGATCTGTCAAAGTTCGTGCTTGGGGTAAGTACTGCTTAGGTCTTGGGGAATTTTAAAAGGTCTGCAGCCAAATATCCATATTATTTAGTGTTAAGTTGTGGTAGTTTGTGGATGGTGTCAGGATAGGAAACACAAATAATACTGTACGGTACCGTAAGCGTCTAGCCTACGATGGTTGCCTACTATCACGTGGGCAATATGCTTATTTGCCATCTTTTTTTATAACACATACAGTAAAATCTACAGAAGCTGTACTAATGTTACAAAAATAGATCGGCGAAAACTCTACAATAACATTGTTATACACCTAATTAAAATTAGGAACGAACAACCTTGTGATGTATGACATACACAGTCTATTTAATCCCATTAGGATAAGAACTATAATATACGGACAATACGGGTATTTATATAACCTCACGTGACAAGAGGAACTCGATATCGAAATAATATTCGGCGAAGGTCGTACCTAACGAAATTCTGTCACTTCTTCGGAAGGCACTAAACAATTTTCATTGGGCAATCAAACTATGGATCCCAAGGTGGTCTATACTCTACGGTGCATCAATATTAATAACTTGATAATGTAACTAGCTCGATGGCACACGTGGTTAGCGGTTCGGTCTGCGATCGCGAAAGTATCCAAAACTTAACATCTCGAGCTTCTCCGATCTTCGGAAAATCGTTAAGGCGAGGTGCCGGCTACATCTGCAGTCGTTAGTATTCACCAATCCGCAGTGGGCCCGCGTGGTGAATCATGACCCAATCTCCCTATTTTATCCATAGGGAAGGCCTGTGCCTGTGCGCGCCCCAGCAGTGTTGATATTAACAGGTTGATGTTGATGATGACATGACACATCAAGCCCAAAGTAGATAATGTGATTTAAAACAGGTGGAAGAATGTGAAGAAGAGGAGATAATAATCGATAGTGATGATGAAGGCGGACCAGATGAGATAGGAGCGAGTGGAGTCAACCGCCCGGTGACTCCTATGCCAATCCAGGACTTCGGGGCCAACGTTGATTACTGTGAAGGTAAAATTATTATTAGTTAGAGTGTGCTAATCAAAATGGACACCAACGATCCACAGTCCAGATATTTTGATACAGGCTTTATTTACCTTTTGACGTCTTAAAAACGTCAAAAAATGATATTGTTCTCAGTTTGACTTGCATGTTATGTATATTTATTTGTCTACGATTATCTCAATAACCACTGACCCGATTTGGATAGGGTTTTCGGTATATAAATGCGTATTTATCAGAATTCACGAATAACGATAGACTGTTGTCAAGTTTACAAATAGCAAATACGAATAGCCAAGTGAAGTGCCGGTATTATAGGCTGTGGTGAATTGATGTGTTGGCTGTGGGTGTCTGTACGTAGTTATCTTAATAGGGTCGACATATTAATCACATGATTTACTTCCAGGACCACAAAAGACTGACTTCTTAAAAGTGAAAGCTATAGAACACGACTGCTACACCGACGTTTCAGATGCCGACACTGAAGGAGAAGAAGAATAGATAATATGGAACAATATACATATTGCGTTCAAAAATCTAGTAGATAGACAGCACACATAAAAATATGTAATATTAACATAATCAGAAAAGAGAATGTCATTTTTAAAAAGTTGGGGAAAGAAAGTAACAGATAATATTTGTTTTCTACATTTTTCAGAGTGGCCAAGGCCAGATGGCAGAAATAGATATTTGCACGATAATTTCCCAAAGTAACTGTCAGACATCGTGTGTAACTAAAAATATAAATACAAAAGAAAATATTTCCCTTTCTTCTAGTATCTTTAAGTTTTCAGTATTCAATTTTATCTTCAAGTCTAGATGATACTTTGCACACACAAAAGAACATACAAGGGAATTAAAATAATGCATGCCCAGCTCACTGGGAGTGGCAAAACCGGGATATGTGAGACTTCTTCCCTCATTTCATCTAGCTCCTTGAATCGTCGAAATGACGCGGGCCATCCCTAGCCGCGTAAACCTAGGTAATACTTCTGTGCCTGAGACCCGGTACATATTACTGAAGACTAAAGTCTAATGATATCATGATAGTTTTCAATGACGCTGAGCTTGGAGTGTTTGTTAAGTAGATACTAGGAGTTTGAGTTTATATTTTTATGATATCAATAACCAGTCTAATCAAATAATATTTCAACGTCACTAATAGAATATGGAATAGTTGTCAGATTCAAAAATGTTACTCAAATGGTATAACAGTGGAGCCTGCGCAGACAAGGGACTCTTATCTGCGGTATTTTTTGTCCGCCAAAATAGATCGCTTACACTTGCATCAAAATAAAGTACACGAGGTATTAATAATCTCGCGTACAAAAAGTCTCCCGAACAACCGTGGACACTGAGGGACCAGACAGCATAAAATTAGGCGGATATCCGCTAAAAAAATTAAATCATGTGACAAGGCTCAGCAACGCACACGGCAAAATTTAGCCCGCGTTGCCTGCTCGATGTAATTTAAAAAGAAAGTCCCACTAATACTAACTTTAAAACGTATTCTCTTTTTCTTAATCTGTCAATATTTACCTCCATAGCGTGCGCTTTTCTAAATTTTTGAGTGACAAATGTTCGCACATCGTGTGCTTTGAGTTCGTTACAAGTCCTCGGCGGACATTTTCTTCACGATTCAGGGACTTCTGTCCTTCGCGTAAAAAGTCCTTCGTCTGCGTAGGCCATTATAGATCTATCAGCGTAGCTATATTTCCAACTTCGACTGAAGTGTATTAATTTTAAGAATGTTTAAAGTTTAATAAATATATGTATAATAAAGTTGAATTCTTGATATTTATATTAACTTAATTATTTATTCAATGTTTTATTTAAAATCCATTAAATCCTATTCCTCCTGAAAGAAAAAGTAAAAATCTTATGATTTCCATAATACCTTTATTGCACATACTAAAATTATAAAATATGTATATGCATAAAGTAGATACAAGGTAGGTATATATGTATGTACAATCAATAAATAAGATTGAACGCCAAATTTAAGCGATAACCGCTCGCGCTCTGTGCTGGGATTTATCGCATATTTTGACCACATAGCTGAAACTTTCATTTTTCTAAAAATTTTACTACAAAACCGTGTTTTTTTGAAATCCCATCTGATTAAAAAACTATTATTATATTTATGTCAAAATTATTATGCTATAGACAGTGAACATATACCTACAGTGAAAAAAATTGCGAAGAGCACTGTTCGATCAATTGCATGACACTAACTAAAGTTTTTAATTTTCTATCCGATATAAAACTCTTCTGGTAGTTTTATATCGGAAGGTTAATTATTATATAGCTCGTTTTAATCACACACGGTTTAGTGTTTCACAGTCAGGCGCGATAAAAAAAACGTGATATAAATTGTGGTGCTCATGCTACGGGTACAGGTTCAGATTCAATTAAATAAATACGATATAAAAAAAATCAAACAGAAACCTAGAAGTCTAATATTTAATTGCTCTAATTATTATTTTTTACTTTTAATGTTATCATAATCTTTAGTGAAAACTGTCTGATTTCGATAGTTAAAGATTCATAAAGTTTTTCTAATCGAGCGCAAGCGGTATACGCTTAAAAGAGGTCACTTTCTATGTAAAACCGCAATCTGTTTAAATTTCATTTATTTCATAATAAAAACTCCAATAGTTATCTAATACACCCTCAGACACATCTATCGGCCCACTTAAGTTTCAAAAAGTCTTAAGGTCTTTAGCAAAAATATATGTTAGGCTGAGCAATAACAATATGTAAAAAAAACACGAAATACATGCATAATAAAGCAGCTACAAAACTGCGTAAAAACTTTTTGCTCGATACAACTTTAATTTTTGCAAAGGAACGTCAAATCAAAACTTAAAATGCGAGGTGGGCCGATACATGTGTCTGGGAGTATATTATATTACAATTCTATATATGTAGCAATGAGACTACAATCTCGTCAATTATTATACATTAATAGTACGAGTGAGTTACTCGTAATCACACCTCAAAAGTAATCATCAAATCAGTCACGACTTTATATTATGATTATTGAAAATTGATGTTGATGAAGGAAAATAGCGAATAAAACAAATAGATTATTATTAGTCATAGTGTTGTGACTAGAGGTAAACCGCTTAACTGAGACCTTTCCTGGTACAGGGTGTGGTGAAGGACGAAAACGGGGACCGTGAGAGGTGCGGGCGGCGAGCGCTTGTAATTTTGACAAGAATGTGCCTGCTGCGCGCACCTCTCACGGTCCCCATTTTCGTCCTCCCCCAGGTCACCCTTTCATAGAGGTATAAGAATAGAGTAGGGGAGATAGACACTCTACTACAAGTGGAAGTGTCCCTCTAATAGAAAGAGAAAGAAGATGAGAGACCGTTAGCTTTCTCTCTCTAATCGCGCATGCGCATGGGCAACCGTAAGCATCTTACTATTTCGATGTGATGCTTGGACCCACTATTGGACAGACGACTGCGCATGCTTCACAAGAGAGAGAGATAGCTAGCGGTCTCTCATCTTTTTTCTCTTTCTACTAGACGGACACTTTTAGAGCCGCCTTCCCCACTCTATTCTTATACCTCTATGCACCCTTTATCCCGCAGGCAAGGAGTCAGTTAAGCGGTCTACCTATAGTGTCCGGTCTAGTGTCGTGTTTTTTTTTTACATATTATCAAATCACATTTAATAGTAAAGCCACTTTAGACGAAGATAAATTCCGTCCACCTTCTTTTGGGTAGAGGAACCAACCATACTTTTTACGAAACGCAAAAACCTGCAACGCAGAGAAAAGTGAGATGAACTTTGCGTATTGTACTTAAACAGTCGGACCTGATCCACACACATAGTGTGTTTAGCGGAAGTAGTTATTATAGCAGAAAATAAACATAACCGCCTTGTGTCTGTTTGCAGGATCCTTTCGTTCGTAAAAACATTAGAAGTTGTAGTTTTTCATAAGAATAGGTCTAAGTAAAGAACTGCATGCTACCTGATGTAGACTGTAAGTAGGTGAAGTACAGAGTCAAAACTAGAATTAGAATAGGTACTCAAAATGAAAGTTGATTCATTATTAAAAAGTTCATCTCACAGAAAGATAGAGAATAGAAAACTGGAGAGTTTTCGAGTTTCGAAATTGGACAGTATATTCTAGTTGGATTCGGTTCGAGTATCAATGTCGTCATCGTTCCCGAGTGATGCTTTTTGCGTTATATCGTCATATTATGTATATTTTTCCACCCTTGTCAAAATTGTAATGTTTCGTCAAAACATCAGAACCCCTTGTTATAAATTGCATATATCGACGATTCAAGCTTAACATAATTATACTGACACATTATGATATTTCATTTCGTTCAAAAATGAAGGCGGGCGAGGCGTATAAAGTGAATTGTTAGAGATATTATTCAGGTGTATCAAATGGGCTTGTTTGGTTCATTCTCTTACTAGATTTAAGACATTTAAATGGCATTGAGGTTATGTGCAAATAATAATGACTAGTTCAAAAGACACGAGAGTGGACATTGTAAGTGAGGCATCGGTAATGTAGACAACCAATTGGCAACATCAACAATATTCTCTTACTAGATTTATTATAAAAGTTTTATTATAGGGAAATGTCTATGCACCGAGAAATCGAATTCGGGTGGCACATTCGAGTCTCTTTTGTGACCGCCAGCTAACAGTTTCAATACTACAAAATTGGTTTTCGCTACCTTCAGGAGGTCTGATACCTGCAACAAGAAACGGTTATTTTAATAAGTTCTAGGAAAGGGGTAGATTTGCTTGGTGAAATTATAAAAGCAAATTATTAGTACTAGTCTTATCTACTGGTTCGTTCGGAACCCCACTGAATGAGCATCAAAGTTGGTGACGCTTGTTTAAGATAATGACAATTACTTCCATAAACAAAAGAAGATCTCAACGAAAAATAGGGATGATGACTAACTTTTTTTTCGCCTGATAGGATAGGTAGATAATCAAAAAGTATTGGACACTGATTTTTTTCCTTATATACACATAATTAAAACATTACAGAGGTATACTGGTTTCAAATATCGCATGACGTCACGTCTTGGTACAATTTTTACTTAGAAATAACATCACGAGGCCCCAGTTCCAAAGTTTGACGCGCTCTAACTTTGTATTTTTTTTTTTTTTTGGTTTAGTGATAAAAGAAAAAATAAGTGTCTCTAAGGGTCAGTCCACTGAAAATAAAAAAGTCAATACTTGAAATACTGTAGTTTTCTTCATCACTCAACACAATATTTTACATAAACCGTAAAGGCCGAAACAGACTTATGAAACGCGACGCCACCCGACACCACGCTTCGCCACGCGTAATTTCGATTATTATGATCTATGTATGCGCATCCAATGTTCCTAATGTGATTCTAATTATAGAAAATAGTACATTTGAATTGACTCAATGCGCGTGGCGTGACGTGGCGTCACGCTTCATAAGTCTGTTTCGTCCATTATATAATTTATTCTAAGAACAAAGATATATACGTGCGTACGGGGCCACAGGGAACGATTGGCTTATTCGCACGGCGACGCACTACACGTGCAGTCAAATAATGCTTAATTGACAATATTGTGTCCCTCATCATATCAGCCGTATGACGCCCACTGCTGGACATAGGCCTCCCCCAAGGATCTCCACAACGATCGGTCCTGCGCTGCCCGCATCCAGCGTTTTCCCGCGACCTTCACCAGATCGTCGGTCCACCTTGTAGCGGGTCTTCCCACTGAGCGTCGTCCGGCACGCGGTCGCCATTCGAACCTTTCCGCCCCAACGGCCATCGGTTCTACTCGCTATGTGTCCCGCCCACACCCACTTCAGCTGGGCTATTCTTCGAGCTATGTCGGTGACTTTAGTTCTCCTACGGATCTCGTCATTTCTGACTTGATCACGCACCAAGCATAGCTCTCTCCATTGCCCGCTGGGCGACCTTGAGCCGTCCTATGAGACCCATAGTAAACGACCACGCCTCACTGCCATAGGTCATCACTGGCAACACACACTGGTTAAAGACTTTCGTCTTAAGGCACTGAGGTATTTTTTAGGACGCGATGATGTTCCGCAGTTTCCCGAACGCTGCCCATCCGAGTTGGATTCGACGAGAGATCTCTTTCTCGAAGTTGGACTTACCTAACTGGATTGTGTGTCCTAGGTAAACGTAGTGGTCAACAACTTCAAGTATAACGTTCCCAACATTAACTGGAGCGGGTGCAACATGGGCGTTGGACATGATTTTCGTATTGTCCATGTTCATCTTAAGACCCACTCGCTGGGATGCATCACTGAGATGCTCGAGCATGGTGTTCAGGTCTTCCAAGGTCTCCGCTATTAGGACTACGTCATCGGCAAATCGAATGTGTGTTAGGTACTCGCCGTTGATGTTAATGTCGAGTCCTTTCCAGTACAGAAGCTTAAAAATATCCTCCACCGCAGCAGTGAACAGTTTCGGAGATATAACGTCTCCCTGTCTCACCCCTCGCTGTAGTTGGATAGGATTAGAGCTCTGATTCTGTACTCGGACCGACATAGTGGCGTTTTGGTATAGGTACTTTAACACTTCGATATACCTGTAGTCCACTTGGCACCTCTGGAGAGACTGCAGCACCACCCAGGTCTCGATCGAATCAAAGGCCTTCTCATAGTCCACAAACGCTAAGCAAAGTGGCCGATTATACTCTTCGGTCTTCTGTATAATCTGCCGCAGCGTATGGATGTGGTCTATGGTACTAAAGCCTTTTCGGAAACGGGCTAATCTTACTGTGTCCCTACATGTCCATTATTTTTTGATTATCTAACTGACGGACTAAATAGAATTTCGTTTATATTACCCTGTCATGAAACCTATCATGAATCAAAGAAATTACATCCAGTGTGTTCTATGTTTATTTATCACATTTTGTACCCACCTCTTGATCTGGTGTAGTTATTGTTTCTAGTAACGACCGGGCTTGCTGAAAGTGCTTACAACCGCCCAAGTATAATATCACAGGGTTTTCATATCTGAAACAAACATAAGAAAGATTAGAAATCAGCGTCATTCAACCGTGGGAATGAAACTTATTGTCTAGTAGATAGAGGATCCTAATATGTAATATTGTACAGAAACAAATAAGCCTTATTGTTAGTCATGAATCGGAACATATCCATAGGTCGCTGGTTCATGTCCGGCTCGAAGGACCAAATTTCATGTTAGTCATGAATAAAAATTAAATAATTGGAAAGTAAAACGTTTTTCTTGCGGTGAATAATCGTGCGTATATTATTCTTAAAGTTTACAGAAGTAGTAAAAAATAGACTGTCAATTTTGATATAAAGAGTAAATTAAAAACCATAAAGAAATATAGATCTTTTAAGATGAATCCTGGGATCCTTTAAAAGAGGCGTGAAGAAGCAGCATGCAGGCCGGCAGGGTGAGGATGGCTGGTGTGGCAGGTAGAACTGCTGTATCAGCTAACTTCGCGTCTGGACTTCACCTTCACTTAACATCAGGTGGGGTGGAGTCATTTGTCGGACCTAACTATAAAAAAAAAAAAAAAAAAAAAAGAATTCTGTTGCGGCATGCGGCAACACTTATAAACCCAGAACCATATTATGACGTTAATGGTGGAAGTGGTACTTGAAGCGGATGGATGGAGAGAATTCAGTGAACGTCGGAACAGCGCTATCTGTTGAGAAATGCAGCATACCACTTCTTACTCACTGTAATAGTGGTATCATCTCGCAGAACTCGTTGTAGTGCACCTGATGCTTGCTCTTCGCGTTGACCAACAATGTGGCGAATATTTTGGCAAAGTTATCAATCAAGAGTTTATAATCACGTCCACACGTTGGTAGGTCGTTCAGTTTGCTTTAGTTCAAGCCAATGTGCGGCCGAATTTATTAAATTGGATATTGATACGCTAACGAGTGCTGCTGTTTATTTATTCACAACATATCCCTATTATAGTTACTATACTACTGAACACTGTTGTTACGACGTGTGAATATAAAATTTTATTGAGGTGCATGCATGCGGTCAGTCTGGGAGCTCATAGCAAAGTAAACGAGTACCCAACGTGTGGAGCGACGGCCAGAACTCCACCATAACCCTTTGATCTTTTAATACAAACACCACACAGATCTTGCGCCATCTTGATGGCCATCATTCCAACACATACCAAGATAAAAACAAACCCTTGCTCTACATGATGGCTATAGGAGCGGGCATGAGGCAAAGTCACAGCCAAAACCGGAGCGAACCGATGCTTGTAGCGGAACGATGGACCAAATCTAGAAGACTTCTGAATAGCGACATTTGTTGAAAAGGTGGTGTACTTCATACAGTAAGTATGAAATAGTACAACGGTTGCGTCATCTCCGAACCGGTGCTTATAGCAGAATGAATGATGAATGCATAGACGTTAAGTGAAAGGACTGCTCGTTCAACAACCACCTTGACAAGTTTAACTGGATAGATAAATGTGGGAGTTAGAGCGATAGGTTAGTCCAGAATTCATCTTTACAGGATAGGTGTCATTTATCTTTTTCTACAGAGTTTTCAATTTCATGCGAGTGTCGGTAAGTCTATTCTTTCAGACTTCTTAATAACGCCATCTGTTGGAAAATCAACGTAATACTTCATTTGTTGAAAAATCGACGTACTACTTCATACTCACTGCAATGGTTGTGTCATCAGGCAGGATTCGTGGCAATGCACCTGAGGCGGTGTCAGTGCCGAAAGCGACAAAAAGTTGAAAAAATAAGCGTGCTATTTCATACTCACTGCAATGGTTGCGTCATCTCGCAGAACTCGTGGTAGTGCACCTGAGGCGGCGTTAGTACCGAAAGCGGTGCGAATCGATGTTTGTAGCGGACCGCTTCGTTGTCGAACTCCGACTGGGGCTGACGAATCTTGCCTTGCAACTTGAACGCCACTAATGCCTGAGGAAATTATAATTGCATATAGTCTACACTGGCTCGGTAAACAGGCAAATTAGTCGTGATTATTTCGTAACTATAAACACAGTTGTATGCGAGAGATTTCATTAATTATAGCTTGACCGCTGTAAATTCGTCCCTGGTTTGCAGGACGCGGGATGGAGATGCGCTCGACCTATCAATCAGTAGCCTGTCGGCTAGCGGTGGATCGTTCTCAAATTTTATGATGACGAAACGCAACCGTTTTCTCTTAAACAAAAACTAGTCCTCGAAACGGTTCTCGTTCGCAACTGGTTTTGATTGCGGCTGGGTGACGCAACGAAACGACACGCGACGCGACAGTCGAACGAATGTAACGTAACGAAACCAAACAAAATCTTGTCAACGTTCGTTTCAACGAGTGAAAGGATTGCTACGATACGGTCTCATATCGTTGCGTTCTATTATAGGCTGTATGTACTTCATCATTAAGTACAAATTGGCGTGTAGATAATCTGAGGACTAGTTGTTCGACAAAGACTGTTTTGTTCCGAAATGTAAAACGGTTCTATCGTCGCGGAATACAAAACGGTCCTTGAAACCGATTCGTCTTTAGAACGCTCACAACTAGTGTTGGCTGCCGACAGCGATAGACGATCAACGTCAGCGCTCGCGCGGTTGCAATTGAGAAAAGTTGAACAATTTACGGCGTTGCATACGACAAACATGGAATTACGGAGTCTACGTAATAAAAAGTTAAGAAGTCAAATAAACGAAGAAAATAAAGTAAATACCAATTTTATTTTAAAATATATTTTTCTTATTATTTATGGCAAGACTAGGTATTACATTGAAATAAATGTAGATACATATTACAAAGTCAAAGTATACTTTTACGGGTAACTAATTATTACACTTATTCATTCGTAATACTAATACAAACACTAACATTTTTAAATAACAACACCAACGTTCAAATATTTAAATCAGAAGAACATCAGAAGGGTCAGCTTGACGGCGGTCAAGCTAGTACATCTATACTATATTAAACTCAAAACGACTTTCTTTTGTACTAATTGGCCCATAATATTCCCTTAGGTCTAAGTTATTGTCAGGCAACTAGAGTGATAATAGATTTTGAGTCCAGCGCTTGCAATATAAACTGTTATATGTGGTACCAGGCTAACACAATACGTATAATATAACAGAGAACCAAATCTTCTGTTCTTTAGAAAGTCATCACTTTTATGACATAACTAGCGGCCGGTCGCGACTTCGTCAGCGTTAATTTTAGTTTTTTCAGAATCCCACTGGAACCTTACATTTTTCCGGGATAAAAAGTATCCTATGACTCAAAAATTTCATTCAAATCAGTTCAGTAGTGTTTGCATGATTGAGTAACAAACATAGAAACTTTCACATTGATAATATTAGAAGGATAATGATTAAAATCCCACCTTATAATAGCCCCCGCACATGTTCTGCATGACTTGGCACATCAGTCCCTCCCTAGCATACGGGCGCGTGCGTTTCTTCTGTTTGCGGGCGCCGGCTCTTTTAGCGTCTTGTCTTTTTGTGCCTTCGCCCGCTAACGTCTCAGCGCGACCCAAAGCTGATACTAGCCAGCCGTACAGGAACTCGTATAGATACCTGTTACGATGACATAGCGTTATAAGTTTAACTAGGGACACTATTAGTACAGCTTTTTTAAATCAGCAAATACGTCTCTTTGGCTAAATACGATTTTTTAATTAGAAAGAATCCTATAAGAACATAAAATAACACATTTGAAACGACACTTTTAATCCAGCTAATGAGATTCAGCTCATTTTTATTATTCGTATCATTTATTAATTATGAATTCAAGTTCTAACACCACTTACAATTTTAGTCACGAATACCTACTCAAAATAAAAGTCCAAAACTTTCGATACAAATCAGGTAGGGTCAAGTGGGGTGGGGGACAAAGAAACAAGAGGTACAGCGTAACAAAAGGTTTGTTTCTGTATTTATATCCGGCCATTTGATGTCTGATGAGAGCTGCTTAAGGTGGTGGCATATGAAACTAATAAAACCACGTCAAGACAGACCAAAGATATATAAGAAAAGGGCAGAGATATTTCTTATGTTACACTGTGCCATTTGTTACACTGACCAGTACTTGATTCTACATTAAAACAGTAACCAGAATATGCAGTGATGCCCAGACAGAAATTGGGCGATCATCACTCGCAGTACTTAGTACAGGATCCAGGTGCCGAAACAAGTAATCAGGCCTAGTTGACTAGACACTGAAGCAAAGAGCTCTTCTAATATCTTGACACTCACTAGCATATGTAGTGATACTCGTGGACGCTGTATAGCTCCAGCTTCAGTTCGGACAGAAGGTACGCGATCATGACCCGCAGTACTTAGTACAGGATCCAGGTGCCGAAGCAAGAAATCAGACCTAGTTGACTAGACACTGAAGTAACTCTTCTAATATCTCGACACTCACCAGAATATGTAGTGATATTCGTGGACGCTGTATAGCTCCAGCTCCAGTCCGGACAGAAGGTAGGCGATCATGACCCGTAACACGTGGTACAGGATCCAGGTGCCGAAGCAAGCCCGCGGCCCGGTTCCCGCGGCACCACTAAGCACCGCGTCTACGCTCTCTGCCTAAATAATTCAGTTATTTTGTTAATATAATAAAAAACAAGCTTTTTTTGCTCCAGATTGTTTGGTTTTTCCATTATTCCTTTTTTCTAGGCACATCAAACTTATAGTACTAATAGAGCTTACTGTACCGTGGAAAAGTAACATTTCAGAAGACCACACAATAAAATTTAATAAATATCACGATCAACCAACGAAATTACTAAAAATGTCTATCTAGTTAATTTACATGGGGTAGAAGTAGGAGCAAGAGGTATACCAGCAAAATCTCTCTATAACCTTCTAAAAGACTACCCGGCATGGCGTCAGTCGTGGGGAGGTGAGGGATTTGGGTAGGGTTACTACTGGTCAAGCGCAGCTAGGGCGCGCATTCGCCTTCCTTTAAGACTTCCCTCGACTGGTATTCGGACCCCGTCCACACGCATACGGAGCCCCGCTGGGATCCTGCGGGTTTTATCGACGGCCACGTCCAGGCCCAAGAGGCGGATGCTTCAGACGACAAGTGACGAGCCGACTGTCGCAAAATGGACCAGCTCTTCCACCGTCTTCACCTTCGTCGCGACTACTCCATGCTGGGTAAGAGGCTACCTAGCAGGACCTAATTATACTCCAAGTTAAAGAGCAGTGGGCCCAGCACTGATCCTTGGGGTACACCTGCCACCATGGTGCGGGAGTGAATAGGTCCGTCGGGCCTGTCTTGCAGGTAGTCCACGGCCATGGCGCACAGATACGGAGGCACGCGAACTAGACCGAGTGGTTTTTTTCTGGTATATTTTTTAAAATTCCTTATCCGACGGTACCGACTTGGCGGGAGGGCGAGGCGAAAAAATGGTGTAGGGGTGACGCCAATTTTTTGAGTTGTGAGTTGCGTAATTTTGGTTGTGTAATTTAAGCTCTATTCAGTTCTATAAAAAATCCTTTTTGATTTCCACCGCGTCACTGAATGAGTTGGCAGGCAAGGGGACTTTTTTTATGAAACCGAATGCAGCTTAAATTACGCGACCGAAATAATGATCTCAAAACTCAAAAAGTACTCAAGTCCAACTAGGTCATCAAGACTAATGAAACGAGTCCAAACTCGATGCAGTTAAGACGTTTAATTACGGAATCCGCGACCTTCCAGCTGTATCATCAGATCCTGGACCTTTACCTTACCTTTACCATCTACACCTATTCACCTCTGGAATAGTATGCCAAAAGCCTTTGTCATCCTACATAATATATAGCCGCCAAAAAGGGAACAAGGAAAAAGTACCAAAATAGCCAGAGTAAGAAGACATATTTTTATAAGGCTCTGTATTAACAAAAAAATGTCTCACGGATCATTTAGGAAAGTTTGAGATTATAATAATAATAATAAACATTTATTTCAGACTTTAAATCCATATAAAAGTGTCAGTAACAGACAAACTCTTATTCTAGTGTTAGTAAATGAAAAAAGTACAATCGAACACAAATACAACAAATTTTTCTAGTTGTCTTCGAATGTAAGATTTCACTACGGAACAAACACTGGAAAATACTATTGTGGGAGCTCCTTAAGTCAACAACAATTTGTTATTAACAATAGTCATGAATATGGGGCCATAGCCATTTATTACGTAAGACTATTTTAGCCAGTTTTTGCATCCAAGCGAACCTCGGAACTCGCGCGGTTGCCCGCCCTTTTTCATAGTTTAATTTAAACTGCGCATTTTTATGATCATACGTAGGAACATATCGAGACTCCCTCCCACACCCTTGTAAGAAAAAATAAGACATGGTCAACCCGCACCCCCTAAATCGTCTTTACGAATAAACGAATGGCCCCTTTGTAGGAAAGCGGATATATTTGATCTTATTTATTCAGAAAATGATGTTTACCTCCTCCTGTAAAGCAGCGAATTCGTCGAGTAACAACGCCAGCTTGTCCCGTTGCCGCGCTCGGTTGTGGCCGCAAACTTGCAGCAGAACAGCGAATGGTCGAACGCACCGAGCCAGGAAGTTCTCTACGAATTCGCGCGCCTTCGAACAAACATAAACTGTTTAAGAATTAAGTTGAGTTGAAGATGGCGAGATTTGCATTTCGGTAAGTACAGAAGCGAGTTTACTTACGGTCTTGGCGAGACTAGTTCTTATCATCGTTTGGACAGGGATTTGCCAGTTAAGTAAATATTACTTACCTGTCTGGTTACTAAACTCGCTACTGTACTAACCGAAGTGTAAATCAGCCTTTAGGATTGTGAGACGGTTGATTTAAATTTTTGTGTTGTCTCGGGTTTTAGTGCGAGATGACGAAAGTTCTTGTTCTCAGTATCTTAGCATGTGGCACGGAGACTATGGAAGCCATGGCGGCGTATCGACACGATGAAATCGCTGATTTACATGAAGGAATCTTTGATTGAGCTCTTTTGATCTTGATCTGCGAGTGACCTAAAGCTGACGAACCATCTTGATCTTTATATCTGTTCAAAATGACACACTTTCTTGATTTCGATATGTGACCTATAGCTGAAGAAACAAAGATGAGCTGAGGTAGACAAGATCTCTTGCATTTTACATCTCACCTGGACGTGTAACTCTGGTAACCTAACAGAGCGACAGTTTTTCATTGCCTAAAATGAGGGAGTTTAGGAAAATTTATTTGGCGCCAATGCGACAAGAGGTCTTTTGTATGAAAGTTTCGGCGCGAATCGAACGAGCTTTTAAATTGGTACATAGACAATGACTATATATGCGATTTGACGGATGAGTGCTTTCGTCTTTCGTCTCAGTGCTGCCATCTGGCGCCCATCATTCCAGAAAATCCTCATTGATCCCTTGACAGATTCGCGCAGGATTTTGACGAAGGCGTGATGCGGACGCAGCTGCCCCACCGGCCCGTTCATGGGGCTATAGGCCATCGACGTCGTAGTCGCCGACGACGTACTAAGGTATAACCATGAGGTCACCAAACTATATGAAGGAATATTGGACTTAGGTGAACAACAAAGATGTGAGTGTCAATTGGCAAGTTTTCTTGATCTTTCTGGTCAGCTGACCTAGTAGACAATCTCTTTTAGTCTTTATATCCAACTTGGAGCTCGAGTCCCTGTCAAAGCCGTTTAGTGATAGCTTTTATTCTCCTAGAACTGATGAAGTATCTTACCTGCGGCGTGGAGACCATCGGTGACTTGGGCGTAAGCGCGGCCGGGTTGACGAATCCCTTGACAGAATCGCGCAGGATCTCGACAAAGGCGTGATGCGGGCGCGGCTGTCCCACCGGCCCATTCATTGCGCTCTGGGCCATCGACGCCGTAGTCGCCGGCGACGGGCTGAGGTATAGCAACTGCAGCGCGGAACGCGAGAGGATGCACGCACGCTGCCTACTGAACTCCATGAAGAAGTCCTAGCAAATAACCAAAGACAAAACTAGCTGTAAATCAGCTTATACATTGCTGTGACGCAAGGTTCTTAAATATGAATGGAATCGTAAAAGTAGAAAGGACAGTTAATGTTCTGCGACATAGGCTTAAAGGCTAAAGGCGTTAGAACCAATCGGGTTCTGAAGCCCAAGCAGGAGTTTTTGACAACTCGGTAAAGTTTCGTAATCGTCAAATTTTGTACGGGTAAAGCTAGTTTGTTCTTGCGTCCAGGGTTATTGGGATTGGGACTGCTTAGTTTTCATAGAAACTTCAACGATACGTTACGGAGCTGTCAAAAATTCGTGCTTGGGCCCCTGAACTAATAGCGCAGACGTCATATTATAACTATTATAGATGTCTATTTATTAATTTAATCAAAGAAATATTAATTCATACGTCAAATACATAAATCAAGATAGACCCAATAAAACACATTTTTAAATCCGATGGCAACATGCATGAAATTATTGTCATTAAGAGATCAAAGCTGAATAAAACAGTTTTATTTTTATTTTGTCCATGAAACTGCTTTATTTATAAAACTTACTTTGAAACTAGGCCTCACAAAAGTGCTTTTTTTCTATTAAAAAAAATCTTTAAATTTGTAATATATATTTGTTACACGGTACCAACCAAGGCAGTGTGGAAGTTGGTGCATGACGTGATCTTCCACGCGTGCCTGAGCCTGGTGACAAGCTCGTCGAAATACTGTAGTGCCTCGGCCCGCGGCTTGATGCGCGTGTACCGCGGGAAGGTCGGCGGGAGCAGGCGCTGGTTGATCATCGGCTCGAAGCCCATTGGGTTCGGGGAATCGGCTGTTCAGACGGAGAAACTATGTGAGTTTGTTGGGAACGGAAAATAGATTTGTTGCTGAATATATACTGCCGCGGCTTGATGAGCGAGTGCCGCGGGATACGGGGGCGTACTTACCCCAGGGCCAAAAGGGACATGGTACGAGGCTGCGAGGGACGGCTGCGAGAGGCATTCGTTACAGACCTATAATTTGATTTGATTAACTAATTCTAGGGATTCGGGGAAACAGCTGTTTGAGCGGTGTAACAATTGCATTTTGTGGCTACAAATGTTCCCGCCCAAACCGTCGCTGAATATCTTACTGCAGCGCCTCGAAAGGTCGGCGGTAGCAAGCGCTGGTCGATCATCGGCTCGAAGCCGGGACTAGAATTAGGGGAATCGGCTGTTATATTGATGAATTAATTGAATTTTATGACCACAAAAGCGCAGATCATATTGGAAACAAAAAAAAGATTCATAACAGAATAATGAAATGGCGAAAAGAGGCGTGAAGTAACCTGATGAAATCTGCAGATTGACACAGTGGGGTTGGCTGGTGCTCATGCACTGGTACAGGTTAATGTGCTGCACCTGCTATCTTTGTGGCTGAACCCCACTATCACTTATCATCAGGTGGGGTAGAGAGGAATAAATTGCTTGGATTCAATAAAAATGCTAATTATAGTAACACCAACTGTGGTAAAATCAATTCAAAAATAAATGTGAGAAAGTAAGTTGAAACAGTAGCTAAAAAATACAGTAAGTATAAAAATTCACATTGGACTAAAGCTTATAAGCAGAATAATATAACAAATTTAGGGAAACATTGTTACAATTCTCCACAGGTTGTGTTCCTTTCCCCGCTGTCTTGATTATGACTTTCATCATCTCAGAGCATCCGTTCAGAAGTGCAACACAATCTGCCCCTGAGGTGGAATCCCTCCTTGTGATCAGAAGGAGAGCTTGATAGAACATTCTGGTGAACCTGATTCTGGCTGCCAAAGCAGACCAAAGGTTACTGCTGGACTGAAAAATAAAACAAAACCATCATAATATTTAGGATCAGTCCTATAATATTTTATTTAGGGCACTTAAAAATATCCTGAAATATGAATATTAAAAATTTCCATAAAAAACAAAAGAAACAAAATACTGTAAATAAATTCAAGTTGTTAAAACTTAATAGTTTTAACAATATACTGCATAGAGATGGACCAACTACAATATTTACAGACTAATCAATAACGAAATAAATTCAAATCTTTGGTATAAATGTCAGACTATGTACAGTGAAAAATAAAAGTTACTTACATCATCCTCAGTGCTCCTGGCCTTTTTATTTAACTCCTCCTCTTGTTCTCTCAGTATTGCGACGCACTTTTGCTCACTGACTTCAAGAGAAGCATCATATGTATTGCCTGATTGCGGGTTCGAACCAAGACGATAACCATAACCCATTGGTTGGAAATCTTCTTCTTCAAAAACCTGGGCCCTGCAATTTATATAAACTTTGTTTGAAAAGTTTATTTCTATTATATAATCAATGTCTAGGACACCACATAAATACTACCAATATTTGTTTGGTTTTCATTACATTTTATATTTTCAAACTACTACTCACTTGTTTATGCAATCCCTGATACAATCCAGAAGTTTATATACAGCTATACAATAAGCTTTCAATGTCTTGTTTACGATTGAGTGGGGCTGGTGCAGGTAAAGATTAGTGAACACTGTCTGAGCCAAAGAGTGTCCTTCCAGCCACGACACAATACAAGCCATTGTTGCGTCAATGATGCCAATCAATTCACTGGGGTCTAAGTCTTCTACTTTTAATTTGCCGGCCTGAAGAATATTTTGTTTTATTGATAAAGAAGATGGTTAATCAGTTTCAGAAAATTTAACACTGCCTAGGTTTAGATATCAGAAGTGCTTGAGAACTCCATGTTAAGAGAACTCAAATGTTTGTTCTTCAACTACTCACCCATTTTTTATTAAAATCAGTTTCTCCACTTAAACAGTAAATGTATGATATTAAACTCTCAAGTCAATTATATACATATATTTCTCAGCACACTTAATATCAGGTGATGTGATTTGTTAAGTTGTCTTAAACACAGATTGAATAGCCGCTTACCGCTACTGCTTGTTGAAAATTTAGTGGTTTTGGGTTTCCTCGATTACACAACATTCCAGCATCCATTTTCGGATCCATCATCTCAATTGCTGACATAGCCTCAAACAATCCAAACAAATGTCCATCATGTAAGAGCTCACCTAACTGCAGATCTGAAAATTCACAAACTAATTATAGTAATGAAATAAAATGAATCATCCAATATTTTCTTACCACCCATTCAGGACATCTTGAAACTGATGAGAAGAATGGGTGCAAGAAACTCATCAGCATATAGTAGAAGAGATACTGACATATTTATTGAGTTATACAATGCTAAAAATTTGTCCATAGATATTTTTAGGTATAAATGAGCTAAAAGTAATATGTTTCTCTGAGTGATAACTAAACATTAAGTAAATTACCTTGAATATGCTTGAAGAAATCAGATGTTATATCAACCCAGTTGTAGGTGACTTCTGGTGAAGCCGTCAATGACTCCATTGTCCTTTAAAATATGATTTGTTTTTAGTTGTAATAACTATTACAATAGAGAATAAGAAACATCATATTTGTATATATTCCAGGATCAAAACTGCAAAACATTTTTTCCAGTGTTTGCTCATGCAACCATTAATGTTATAAATCATGCAATTATTTCACATTCTCATTTCTGGGTCTACCATCCACCAACAATAAAAATTGTTACCACAAATTTTTACTTACTAATAATAGCACTTTAAAAGTCTACTAAGGAGTATAAATAGTTGCGAAGAAGTGCAGTTTACATATATTAATAGCATGTTGTCCATGTTTAGACGGGAGAGGAGTAAAAATATGGGAGTTTGCTCCAGGATTGCTTCTGTTCATTACAATACTATTATGATCTATAGATCATTAAAAGAATAAAATAGTATTGTAAAGCAGAAAGGCTAAGTATTATTTTTCACACAGACCAGTAAATATCTTAACACTTAAAAAATAAGTAGTGGTAAGCATGCATTTATTTTACTAACCCGTCACCATCATAATAATCATCATTATCCCCCATATTATAGAATTTTCGTGAGAATAACAAATGGAATTTAATTTATTTACCATTCACTTAGAGGCCAAAACGTATTTAAATAAAATTTATCATTAAAAAATCTATAAAAACCGAAACAGCGAGACGCTCCGCTTTGACATTTGAATTTGAAATTTTGCCATTTGTTGTCAATGTCAAATTGACATTTTGTACTTGTTTTTAATTCCCTATGGAAGGCAACAGAAATTTGTTTCATACACCCAGCATTTAGTTTTGTTGTTTTTCATTGGAATTCGGATATAACTTACACGCTTATTACTTTCTAGGAGTATTTAAAACGAAACTGTATATAATAAAAGTTCTCCCGGATAAGTTAAATATTTCAAATATTCCACAGAACACTTGCTTTTTCCGATGCTTTGGACACAAAATAACACACCTTTATTATCCTTAACAAAGAATAATCATTGTAAAATGGGACACCATACACGCAGAACAAGAAATCGTGTGATACACTCCTGTCGAGTCAACACCCAGGTAGTTGTTATAGGATGTATATTATTGAGCCTTCCCCCTTAGGCATGGTATTATCAATTAATAATATTGGATATTGGATGCGTTATTGCGATATCTGTTTTTAGTACATATATAGTGTATTAGAAAAGGTACGAAGCTTCACACTGCTGCGATAATAACGACGCAATAGAAGATAAAAGTTTAGAAGTATGGTGCATTAACCCAATAACGCATCCTATATTATTGTAGTACATCTGTTTTCTCCGAAGAGATTTAAATTAATAATATGGATAAGTTTAATGTCTTCGGTTTTCTCACTCCAGGCTGGCTTATTTGCTTGGAAAATAAAAAAAAGCTATAGTCCAATAGTAAAAAATCTTTATTAAAATTGGATGCACAACACACGGACCTGAAAAAAACGGACGAAACATCAAACTAAAACGATGTGAAGCATGCAAGGTCCTACGATTTCGTTTCTTGTACACTATTTTAATTTATTTAATTTTAAAGACATCGATAGATGGCGTCACTATTGTGCACAATATTTTTCTATGATTTTTCTGAATCACGGTATTTAGTATAATAAACCAGCCTTTGCTATTGATCTCGGTGTTTTATTTATTGAACTCATATACTTCTTGGGAGTTGGACATTCTCTTAAAGAGTCTTTAATCTTAAGATTGTAAATAGATCGAACAGTCCGCTTTTGCAGTAGAAAAATAGTTTGAATGCCGGCAGTATTTCCCCACAGCAACAAGCACAAGGTCCATATTCTTATCTTTGATAGTTACACTGGTTTGTGTCTGTTTTATATTAGGTAATAAATTCTTAAACATTTAGTTTTACCTTCATTAAGCAGTATATTATTAGCGTTAAACCATAGAGTAACTTTGTATAGGTTAAACCAGTGAACTACTTTAGAGATGGCATTGTTCACATCGTCAATAAGTGGTTGCTTTCGTTTAATTTTAAATAAAAGTGAAGTATCATCTGCAAACAATAATATCTCGTGATTATCCCTTACAAAGTAAGGTAGGTCATTTATATAAATTAAAGAAAAAAAGAGTGGACCAAAAATCGGCCCCTGAGGAATACCCATCTTTATTAACGATCCGGGAGAACTTTTGCCAATCCTTGTTATGTCCAATTATATCATAGCACATTAAGAGTATGTTATCAGATTTTCAGCATGGTTCCGTTGGTGCTTGTTCAACCAACACCAACCTTTTTGACTTTTTGACCTACAGATGTGATTTACACTGATCTTTGGAAAACTTTCAATAGGGTTCCTCACTTTATTTTACTTCAGAAATTATCCCAATACGGTTTTGCTGGTAGTTTTCTCAAATGGTGCGTTTCTTACGCACTTTTACGTTTCTTAGTGATCGTACTTCAAAGGTCGTATTGAGGGACGAATTTGATCCTTTTCCAATTCTTACTTGAGTTCCTCAAGGCTCCCATTTAGGGCCAACATTCTTTGATATATTTGTGAAATGCAAAGTATATCTTTAACGTAGATGATCTTAAATCGATGAGACCAATCAAGGATATGCAAGATGTTTGCTTGATGCAAGATGATGTAAATAAATTGAACTCTTGGTACATAGAAAACAAGATGGTTTTAAGTAAGAGAAATGTTACTACATCCGCTTTACTCGTAACCACTCCGATGTCCCTGGATCTTACACAATATCTAACCAACCTATCCGTGAAGTAGAGAGTGTTCGTGATCTTGCTATAATTCTAGATAAAAAGTTGAGTTTAAGAGAACATTACGATTATATAGTTTCTAGATCACTTAAAGTTCTGGGATTCGTAACAAGAAACACTAAAAACTTTACAAACTAGTTAACCATAATAAGACTGTATGAAAGCCTGGTTAGATCTACTCTCGAATACTGTAGTGCAGCTTGGAACCCTTATTATGATGTACACTTCAATAAAATAGAACGCTTGCAAAAGAAGTTCTCTTATCATTTGTCCTTTAAATTTAACCTGGAAAAAAAGCTGCACGGATATAACGAATGTACGTTCACTGCGTTGTGTGGTCATATTGGCTCATAGCTAACTTTCATTCCGTGCGCACCGCAAAATAGCGTTTACTCCCCTGGTGCGGAAGCCATAACTTTGTGTGTTGCTATCGTAGGAAAGAAATACATATACCGTTGTTATTGTCACTTGAACGTGAACAGCTCAGCATTTTTTAAAACTCGTGAACCAATTTGACCTCACCCGCACTTAAAGAAAAATATTTAAATCTGGTGCGGTGTGTGGTCAATATGACCAAGCGCTCCCCGCACCCCACACCCGTACAAGATGATGCGCGGGCGCCATTTTGTGACGTTAGTGATGTGGAAAGTTGTATTGGAACTAATATTTGGCACTGCTATGGTGAACGCTTGGATACATTTTAACATGGGAAAAGAAAAAGGCATGCCAAAGAAGGAATTTACTGAAGTCATTATAGAAAGTTTTACAGGAAAACCGATCTCTGCTGGTAAGTTTTTGTTCTGCTACATTTACGCAACCCATTTTTCCCATTCAAACATTGCATTAATTCTGAATTGTTTCAACTGAAACATCATCGCTGCGATGATGTTTATTATGACTGTGGTTGATAAGTTTTGAAACAAAGTTAAAATTGATCGTTTTCTTCGCAATCTGAAAGGTTATAATGACCTTTTCACTATTTTCTATGTCTCTATAAAACAAACAATTACAAAAGACATGAATAAGAAAAAGAATGATTTTTAACATTCAAAAACAATAACATTAACACAACAACAACATTATCATTCATTTAATGATTTTAACTTTTTTTTTATTTGACAGAGGCATATATCCCTAAATACCTACAACTGCAAAAAAGGTACTACTCTACACAATCTTCAAAAAGCTACTCTGACGAATTACACTTGACAATCTTCAAACTTTTCCCATCTAATTCTACCATATATATGTGTTGTTTCCAGGTACTAGACATTTGAAATGCTGATTCAAGAAACTTTCAATAATTACTACTTTCGTTGTGTTGTTACACGAAATAAATCACTTTATTTTATATCTGAAAAAACATAATTATTTTGTTTTTAATACAACCTACAATAATCAAGAGTTTTATTTGCATTAAACATTTCACATATTCTACAAATACATTCGGTATGTAAATAGAAAGTGATTAAGTTTATATTAAATATTATGTTCACATCTCAGTACGTAGAATATATATTAAAAAATATATAACAGAGCAAATTTCCATCTTAAAATTTTCTCTATTATTCAAATTAAGGAATTTTTCACTGTTATTGTTAGATAACACTCTCAATAGTAACAGATGTTTCCCATCACTAGTTTTTTATTATATTCAGTGCGTTGTGTGGTCAAAATGAATTCATAATTTTTTTCTCTTCTGTAGAACAGACGCAAAGAGCGAACTAAAAACGCAGCTAGTTATATATTGTTTATATATTGGTCTTTAGCCTGCATATAAAAAATATTTTAAAATAACTATAGAGGTACTGAATAAACCCATATTAAAACAGAAACGATAGAGGGTTAATTAGACCACACGACGCCCTGCAGGAAAGTCTTCTATGTGCCAAGATGACCTCTTGACGCACCAGCTGAAAGTACACTGAAAAATGTTACGCAGCGAACGTGTTAAAGCATTTTAAATTTTCATTACTCAAAAATCGGCGCAATATGATAAGTTTATCTTTTCCCCATGCAAATGGTAACATAAATTGCCCCCAATTGATATATAAACTTAACTTTTCGATCACTTGCAAACTACTACGTCTGTCAAGATACTCCTTGTTTACACCAAAATGTTGTACGACTAATTTAGGCCTTTACTCTCCTATAAACAGGCTTCAATCGCAATATAATTCAATAAAAAAAATATGGTAATCGATTTACATAGTCTGAGTCTTCCTACATTTAAAAAAAATACAGCATAGCACTTAATAACGCATCTGTCTTTCATTGTTGTTTGGTATTTAATCTTGAAAAAGTATATATCAAGTGCATTCTTTGTTCATCATTTGTTTGCTTTTTGTTATTTTATAAAATCAGAATATTTTTGTTAAGGATGCCGTATGCCTAATTAGATCCCACATTTCTAATTAGGCATACGGCATCCTTTACAAAAATATTCAAAAATATGTTGTAAGAGCTCAACACCAGCGTCGGTTCTAGAGCGACCCCTTGTAAAACCAAATTGTTATGAATGAAGTAACTTCATTTTATAGAAATAAGATTGCCTTTGGTCTAACATTATTTTTTCAAATATCTTACTGGGTGCACGGAAACTGGGTAGTGGAAAAAAGTGGGTAGCACGGATATAGGTCTAAAGCTTTTAAAGTTTGTGGGGTCAGATGTGCTACCGGATTTATATAATGTAGTTATTTTGCTGTGTTTCATGAGATCAGGAAAAACACCACAGCTAATACACTAGCTAATTATGGCAGCTAAGATTGTATGTATTGTTTTAATTACTGATTTAGAGACATTAACGGAATTACCCCACAGATCAGAGGTTTCCTTTTTATTTAATTGGCCAAAGGACTATAACTTGCCTATGCGGATAAAAATAAAATCGTATAGGTAGCAGAATAAATCAAATATATTTAATACTGTTACTGAACATTGGCGTGGTTAGTAAGTTATTTTCAGTTACTGTATCAAATACGTCGCTGTCTTGCTGATCTGTAGCGGCTGTATTAGCTTCCGATTGTGGTTTGGTGCTGGGCTTTGATAAGTTGACCCCACTGATGCCCATATCCATACAGTCGAAATGTAATATCTGAAATATTTGAATAAACAGTGAGTAAGATCAGAGGACCATTATCCTTGGTACAGGGCGTCAGCTCATAATATAGGGATTTCCAATAAAAACCGGGTACGTTTGAATTCGAATAAAAAAATAATTGTGTACAATATATTATCATTAAATTTGCCTTTTTAGAAGCTAACTCTTTGGCATTTTGTGTGGAATACGACATTATGGCGACAAGGAATGCGCGGAGGGACGTTTTCGGGAGTAGCATATCGAATGCGCGAATGCCTGCGATAGTCTTAGCCGGAACTAGTATCTAAATAGTCTGTGGACGGGACTCGTTGACGTAAAACTTGTAACTTTTCCCGCGCTATTGTGCTACCGTTATTATTCGAAATAAAGTATAACGAACATTATTATTCGAAATAATTATGAACCAACTTTTAACGTCTTACTGACTTACACTTCAACCCGGAGAGTTACAACATCGTTTCAATTAGCACCTCGGTTTGGTTTGGTAGCCTGAATATGAGAGGTCCAATTTTCATCACTTTTTGGCAGAATGTGAATTCACATAACCCAAAAAAAGCAATGGGCAATTAATCATATGATCTTGGAGACCATGTCTTATCCCTGAATCTTGAGGTAAGAACTCGTTGTATTTCTCTTCCGATAAATTGACTGTTTCTCTAGCAATATGAGAGGTGGACGCTACCCTGCTGAAACTAAATGTCTCTCAGATCAATTTCTTTCAATTGCGGACTAAAAAAAATAATTATGATCCAGCGGTGATCACCAATTCACAATTAAGGCAGCACCGACATTTTACGAAAAATACAGACCACAAGTCCGTAGCCGAAGATATGCAACCTATAGTACTTATATTTCTATACTTATAAGACACCTTCCCCTCTCGTACAGTTCAGTCATGTCTTCGTTCGGAAACGGTTCAGCAGTTTCAACGTACGCGATTCAAATGCATTCACGTCCAAACTTGTGCAAAACGACGACGACTATTGCGTGGCATCGGTGTATATCATGATCGCTAGTATGGACTGTCAAAGATATCGTGTTCGTATTTCTATTGGGTTCTTATTGGAAAACCCTGTATGATATATGACATAACAGTATGTTTTAGGCACGCACAGGACCTGCACTTGCTGTATCTATTTCGATGTATATTTGTGAGTACAACCATTACTTAAAATCATATTATCATCAAATATCACGCTTAAACCGCGGAACCGATTTTAATGAAAATTGGTATAGAAATAGTTTGAATCCCGAGAATGGAAATAGGAGTTTTTATTTAATAAATCATCCTTTAAGGGGGTTAAAGTCACGGGCGCCCGCTAATATTATAGCTAATATATAAACCTAACTAGAAAATCTTGAGTAGAGAACAAAAACAACAAAAAACATCTATTATCTTACCAAAACAGGGGCTTTATCGACCCTCGTATCCATGTCCATGCAGACGTGCAACTTTTGCTGTACAATTGTGATATCGAACAGCCGTATGCACATGTCCACCAACCCTGGCGGCAGGTACGGCACTGGGATAGGCAGGCAGAAGGGCGGAGGGTTGCGAGCTAGAATAAAAAAATAAGATAATTGAATGCAGAAACCCTGCATCATCATCATAATCAGCCGATGAAATTTCACTGCTGGACATTTGCCTCCTCTAGGGATCTCCAAACACAACGATCCTGACCTTCCCACATCCAGTAGGTCCCCTCGACTCGCTTTATTAATTTTAAATTAATTTAAAAATATAAAAAATATATTTTAAATTAAAATTTTATGGTGTAAAAAGTCGCTTTCTAAAATATTTTTTTAAATAGTTCACATAATTTACGAGGGAACCGAATAACATAGACACGGTTCTATAAAACTGATAATGGTGTCGATTCTGGCAGGATTCTCTAAACCTAAACTTAAATTTGACAACAGTGTATCCTTGTCATTCTCTATACAGAATAAAAAGGATGGATTGATGTTAAATTTAGCTTTAAGTTTAGATAATCATGCCAGAATCGACACCATTATCTATGACTTTGTAAATTAATACAGCTACTTACAAATTTATGTAAAGTGAGTTTGTGGTGCTTCGTTTCGGACGTTTGTGAGTAGTTTACTTACTGTTATATTTATATACTGTGGCACTGGGGTTCCACGGCGTAGGGTATTGGTTATTATAGGTTGGCGAGATGCGGTGGATGAGTGGCACACTTTTATTTTGGCGCTTGGACTCTTAACATCAGGTGGGTTAGAGCAATTTAGTGCGCTTCGTTTAAAATATAAAAAATGTTGCCACTGAAGATTGGGGTTCAAAATTGTTTCTGAGTCAGTTAGACTACAGAAATTTATGCATATGTATGCTAAAACCATACATAAGATTAGTGGCAAACAATACAATACAATACACAATTCTTTATTGATAACACCACGGTACAGTACATAAATGGGGTAAATACATTATGTTTAAACATAGTGATTAAATGGGCGGTTTTATCGCTAAAAGCGATTTCTTCCAGACATTTGACAGACTTTGGATGGAGAGGATAGAAAGAAAGACGATTGAAAAAAAAAGAAAAAAAATCAAACGCATAATATCGTCCTCGTATTACGACCTCCGTGGCCGAGTGGTTTGTACGCCGGGTTTCATGGCTGTCGCCGACTCGAGAGGTTGGAATCCCGGTGGGGGCAGATGTTTGTGTGATGAATACGAGCATTTGTACTGCAGTCATGGTTGTTTAATATGTATTTATATAAATATACTTATATATGTACAGTATATGTATTCTATCCATTACCCTAGCATCCCATAACACAAGCCTTATAGTGCTTACTTTGGGGCTAGGCTCATTGGTGTGAGTGACGGAAATATATATTTATTATTTATTATTATTTATATCTAGGAGTTCTGCAAGCCAATATATAGGTGCAGATAGGGCATAGAGGATTTCCTGCTCGAAATAACCTCCAACTTACAGAAGATCACAGTAAAATAACACTACCTTTTGGTAGTGTTGTGTTTTTGTCGATGAGTAAGATTCCAGGGATTGGATCAGGGTAGGCAATGGTACGAGTGATATTTTTGGTATCGCGACCGTCTCTAGGCTATGGTGTCCGCTTACCATATTCAACCTTCTTTTTATCATAAAAAAATAAACTATGACACTAAGCCAGTAACTTAGCACTAAGGTATGCTCTATGTAATGTTCTGACCTTATCTTTGGAGATAATCAATACGAATGTTCAGACCGGCTTTCGAGAAGAAAATAAAGATGTAACGTCATAAAATTAAGTAGGTACCTACATCAGTATAAAAATATTACATTATTACAAACACTTACCTGAAAAAAGGTTTCTGTAAACACTATCATTATTCATTCTTACTTCTAATTCAATGGTTGAATTCGTTGGTTCATAAGTCAAATGAGCGCAAGCTGTAACAATGAAAGTAAAACATAAATATGTAAGTAAGTATATCTGCTAATGTTAAATCTGTTCTCAACTTTTTTTTGTTTACCTACTCTACTACTGAATTATGAATAGTTAATAGAAACCACGATGGATGGCCGCGATACAATATAGCACAGTGCAATGAATAAAATTCCAACTGTCTCACTATTACGGTTCATGAGCTACAGCCTGGTGACAGACGGACAGTGAAGTGTTAGGTCCGTATTATAAAAAGATTCTCAGTAATTGATCTAGTCTTGGGCATAGTTACAAAGGGATGTCGCTATATATAGCACATAGCGATATCCCTTTCTAACTGTAGTCAAGTAATGATCAACACTTTGTTGTCATTCTGTAATACGGACCTTAGTGATAGAGACCCGTTTTTCAATTTGGGTACGGCCTCCTAAAAGAACAATGGGTTCAGTTCATAATCATTGAAAAAAACGTTTGACATACGCAGTGCTTATTATTGTTAGGGTCGAGCAAAAACACGTTTTTATTCCCGTTATTTTATACGGCCGTAAAATATTGTATCAAAATTTAAATTTTCTGTCTATTACGGTTCTATGAGTTACAGCCCACTGACAAGCGGACGGAAAACGGTGTAGTAATAAGTTGAAGTTATCACCCTTTGGTACCCAATACCCAATGGGTGTTAACGTCTTATTGACCAATAAATTCAAAATCAAAAGAAAAAAAAACCGTTTTGTGGTAGTAAGTCCCTAAAAAAATTCTTGGGATGATAAATATGTTAAAAATCAAGTTACTAGTTCCGAACCCAAAACCATTTTTTTTGGAAAAAACTTGCATTCTAAAGGACGGAAGGAACCATTTACTAGGCTTGCGTTGTCCGCCAAGTTATTACTGGATTACAGAACATTTTTTTTATTTGAAAATTTGCTTACTTTTTCTGTCAAAATTGAATGTGTTTATTCTTATTCCTGTACAACATCTGCATTGTAATCCGTCACATTTGCACCTGCCGCCTGAGAACGGCAGTCGGAGTAGCCAACCAGGCTTGTACCATGGCCGAGGCATCAAGTCTCTTATTGTCTGGAAGTAAGGTTTATCCAAGAATTAATTACAACAAGAAAATAAATAATTGCTATTGAGATGAAAACAAATGAATTAAAAAAAACTTTTTGTTCTTTGCCACTGGCTATGCAAAGCAAATATTAATCCTCCTTATTAATAAACGAAGACTACACTTGGATTAGTTACTCCATGTTTTGTCTCTGTCTATTGAATGACAAAATGCATTTGAGTGACATGAGCAAAACACCGCGTAACTAGTCTTAGCTTATTCCTTGTTTATTAATAAGGGGTTATAGGTATGATTAAAACTTTTAACTGTCACAGGCTCTTATCGTGTAAATAGTTACCTGATTGGTGTCAATATCGTAGTAAACAGAAAAATCTTCGACGTCCATTATATCATCATATTTCAAGTTCTTTATTGCATTACTTCTTTTACTAAACGTGGATCCTTTAAAAATAGTACAGAGTTAAAACTTCGTGAAATCTCACTCAAATAAAAGTTGAATAGTCAATTGGAATTAAACATGCACAAGTTGATGGATGATAAATACCTGCCGTCACGAACACACAACTCGTCACAAAAACCAACGTAACAGTTTTCTTTATCATTTTGTCAAAATATTAGGCTACTATCTCAGGGGACACCATACAAACGATTGCACCTCGTTAACCCACGTAACACTAGTAAAGGTTCACTTCAAAACATTTGTATGCAAGTTATGCGATGCGCGAACGCAACTGTATTGCGGGACTTTCTAGAGAAACTCTTGCGCATCGGATCGACGTTTGTCGATAATGACCAGCTTTATTTACGCTGGCTGTAGTTTATACAATTGAATATGAAAGTAAGAATAACAACGTATATTTAAAATGCAAACTTTGTTTCACTTTTATTTTCTCCATATTAGTTTATTAGTTAAAATAATACTTTGAATGTGTTAGGAAAAAATCTTACCGGCAATAAATCAAAATACATTGATACTTAATTAATTTATATTTTAGATTACTTAATAGAAAATAAATACGTAACACATTAAAAAAACAGTAAATAATAATGGTACATACTATTATACTTTTTTGGGATCATTGACTTGCACAATAATTAGAATTTTCATATCAAGAGGTTATCGATCAAATATGCCGAATATTGATCTCACTAAGTTCTCGTCGTAGTCTTCGATTTCATCTTCACCAGCATCTATGACAGCATCCACGCCTCCTTGAGGATTAGCCACTGGAAGGCCGCCACCTTCATCAGGTTTCACCATAACAATACCATTAGCACCCATTCTAGAAAATATTGGAAAATAAACTGATTACTGATCCTGAACTGATTATTTATTGAAGCTTTGGATATAGCGTTCCGAGTACCTTTAAATACATAAATAAAATAGTAATAATAAATATATATAAATATTTCCAACACTCACACCAATTAGCTTATCCCCAAAGTAAGTACTGTAGGTTTGTGTTATGGGATACGAGGGTAACGGATAGAATCATAGAGCAACGCGGAGGGAACGATACCTGCGACAACATAACGAATACTGCGCTGGACTTGCAGACTGCTGGCACGCCAGGGAGGCCATACCTAAGGTAGACCTACGGCTAGCAAGTAAGTTTTGCAAGCTACCAAAACATACTTTGAAACAAATTGTGAGCATTGTCACAGCCAACTCATGGCATGACTAAAGCCGTCCTCTCACGCAAAATATTTCATTAGATTGAGTGAAGTCGCGCGAATGTATGTTAGAGATCAAAAATACCAAAATGTTATGTAATTTCCTGCGAAATATATCTGGAATATTAAACTTACAAAAGGATGGTGTTTAATTTCACATATAAGTACAATTATTCACTTAATATTTCTATTTAACTTCTTTTAAACACAAAATTCATATTATTTTGTTAAAATTTCAATCGTCGGACTTGTTTGACAAAACAATCGAGTCGCCAGTACAAATTTCAGATCTATCAATAAAAAATCTTAAGTTTCATCTATGTTCAAAATCTGCCCCACCGAGATTTTAACCCTTTCGAGGAGGCGACATCTTGAAGCCCGGCGTATAAACCACTCGGCCACGGAGGTCATCGAGGAAATAGTAGAGAACATTATCATATGAGATTCTTCGTTAACTGCTTTCAATGAAGGACTTGGTATAAAGTTATAAGTTGGTAAATACACTTTTTTGTCTATGTAAACAATCTGAATGTCATTGATTATAATTTTTAAAGCATTTAACTGCAATTAGATGTTTAAATTTAAATAAAATTTTACTGAAAAAACATTCACGCATTCCAAGCAGCAGAAGGGAGTCCCGTCTGCACGAATAAAATTTTCTTTGGATGTCATTGAGTTACGAATTATTTAAATATACCTTTACTGTAAATTGTCATTTGAAGCAAAAATTACTTAACAAGGCAAACTGTTTTCTTTGTTCCATTTAAATAACGTAGCTTTTGTCTACTGACTACCACTTTAGTAATTTACATTTTTGTAATTTACTCACCTCAAACAGTCGAAGGCCATATCAAAGAGCTGAACCGATCGCCATTGTCCAGTCATTGCTAAGCAAAAGTGAAAGTTCCTTCCTGGGAAGAACACATTGTAGAATTTCGCACATACTTTCAAGTTCGGCATCCGCGGTGGGCTAATACATATGGGCTTAGGATTTTTGCCTGGAACCAGGGTTATTTTTTTCAATTTCACATCTCTTCATAATATGAAGTGATATTATCAGTTTTCAAAAGAGATCGTATTAATAATTACCTGACATGGAATTTTCGTACAATATTCTGTTATTCATCGACATGGCTACATCAAAAGCGAAATCGCCTGGATGATATGTAATCCTCATGCAAGCTTTCTGATTGAACAGATCCAATATTAACCCAGTGCAGCATTTGCATACTCCCAAAGAGCAAGTACAAGGTCCCGCGGAGGTTGTTGGAATAGAGGTGGAATTGTCGTTAGAATCCCTGTTTTTCCTGGCATATTGTTCGATAGCAGAGACTTTTTTCAATTTCACTTTATCTAATAAAGCAAGTTCTTCGTCAGGCACTTCTACTGAGAAATAACCGATTGGTGTTTGGTTTATGTTATCTCGAGAGTCTGTAAAATAATGTAAACATATTGAATTATTTGATGAACAAGTTCAATTATGTAAATATAAAATAATAAGACATACTTAACGTATAATACTTACTTGTTTTATAGCACTGAATTTCCGTTAAAGTAAACAAAACTAAAACAAATACTAGTATACACTGATGCATGTTGTTCTGAGCTTGTTTTAACTAAAGACGGCCGCACGGCGTTGTTCGTTTGGATAATGCAGACACTTCAATTCGCTTGCACAGCATTGAACCGGTTCGGTGGTGGCAGTCAAACATCTCTGTATGCAAAATACTTTCACGTGCTTAATCTCTTTAATTTAGCGACTGAGTAAACACGAGTACCTAGCACCCTTCTTTCACAAGATTCGTATGTAGGTCAATTGACTTTAATATAAAGCAAAAATTATGTGTAAACTTTGAACTCTTTATTCAGGTAGTAATATAATTTAGATACTTAATAACTGCAATAAATACTTATAAACTAAATTGATAAAATTAATTCGGATACAATTAAAATTTTCTTCCATCGCCGAATAAATCACCAACAGCGTCGCCTATTTCGTCCAAAGGACCACCACCGTCGCTATCAGATCCACCACCAAATATCCCGTCGCCCACACCAAGGGCATCCGCTGCATTTTCTATGAAACCCCCATCATCATCGTCATCATCGTTATTGTTTCCGTATAAGCTAACCGGGGCTGGTCCAGAGGAAATAGGCTTAGGTTTCAAGCCAGTCTGCACGCCTGATGTTCCCAGACTGTAATTAATTTGATTGTTATGAACAAAACGTGCGTGCGAGTTAATAACTTATTTTACTTAATTATGGAAGTAATTGATTAATACAAGTCTGAAATTACTGTTTGAACACTCACCCGAAACACCTGAATGAAGCCGAGTAAATAGGGAAACCAGCGATATCCGCATTGATATCCAAACAAGCGAATGCGTTTCTGTTCCTTATGCGTATGTTAGATATTTCGGCACAAACTTCAACGAACGGGGCTCTCCTAGGGTTGAAACAAATTGGCGGAGGGTCACTTGCTGAAATGAATCACACCTGTTATAATATCTAAAAAAAATATTGATTCAACTTGCATTTAAAAAAAATTACCAGAAACTCTTCGGCGTACCACTGTGTTGTTATTGACGCTGAGTCTGACGTCGAAAACGAAGTCTTCGGGAATAAATGTAATATTTCCACAGGCTTTTGTTCTTATACGTTCTAGTATTGAACCAGTGCAACAACCACATTGTCCATCAACACATGAACAAGGGAATCTAAATAAAGTCCCGTTGACTTGCCCTGGTATAGGAGTAGTGATTTCGTCTGCGATAGGTCGTTGAGTGACGTCTGCTGCAACGGTTGCATCTGTGCCAACAGGGTCATGTAAGATTTCCTGGTTACTAACTGTAGTTGACTCTCCCACTGAACCCACTTCTGCCGCTTCTTCATAATCAGTATCCTCAACTACGTTTTCATCGTCCTGTGCTACGTGAATTGGAACAACTATAGTAACTGGGGATTTTAACACGGGCGTTGGTTGATATGCTCTTCGCCACAGAGCTTCTGGAACTCGTATATTAACGACGTCGTAGGGCTTATCTTGTTCAAAAAATACTTCGTCTGTAAAATAGAAGAAAAAACTCCAATGATTGGTACAAGTAAGTTTCACTATCTAGGTATTATATTAAAACATATTTGAAATTTGACTCACCTGAAATAGCTTTAGTGTAGACCATAAAATGAATCAACAAAATTATTGTAATAAATTTCATGGTTTTACAGATTTATTAACAGTGAAAATTTGATTTTGAAGAAGGACAGCTGCTAGTGACTTTCCGGCTCAAATTGTTTGCTTGGCAGGTTAGCTCCAGGTATTTAACGGTCTACTAACCACAACACACGTTACTTATTTAAAGTTGTCACTTAATGATAAACAAGTTTTAAATTTTAATGCCTGTGCAAGTGAAAGTTTTACCGAAGAGCATTAACAATGCAAACTTTCGATACGTGAACTGAATTTTTGTATACCTTTAATATATTATAAATATGTTCCAATTCAATAGAGTAATGATGATATGTTTATTGTGTAAGATACGTTTTAATAATTTATTAGTAGTATAAAACATTTTTTAATAACTCAATCACTTTGGCTAAGCAAATTTGGTTTCAATTAAGTCTACAGGCAGATTATAATCTGGTCTAAAACAAAAAGACTTAACGAGACAAGATAAGGTGCCCTGGAAGTTTTAGAATCCATTGAGAGCGTGTATAAGAATGACGATATTTATTTATTGATATTACTTTAGATTATAGTGGATCGTTATTTATGTACAATATGTACAATTGGATCAATCTTGCAGGGTCGTAATTTAAATGTCACTCCGGAAATCTTTAGGACATCAAGCTTTTGGTACCTTTGGTACAAATATTCATGAGTTATCAATTTTTTAAGTTATTATGATTATAAATTACATAATATGTTAATGTCTATTTGTTATCTTCATGGTATCAGACACAAAGCTTTGTACCTTTTCTGCGAAAAAACATGCGAATAAGTTACTTAATCATTTTATTCCTAGTTATATATATTTTTTAAGTTTATTTCTATTATTCATTATATCTAAAACAAACCTTATGACCTTACTTTTTGTAGGTATCAACATGAGAATAGCAGCGCATTATATTCATAGTTTCATCAGGAGGAGGCTGATAACATAGTAATTGAGTTTAAGTTTTCTTATTGTCATTTTAAGTAAAATGGCTATCAGAGAGCTTTTCTTTTATATAGACTTTTATTATCTGCGCTAACTTTTTCCTTCCAGTCTATCATATAAGAATACTTACATACCCTTATCGACCATTCAATATAATTTTATAAATATTTCCAACACTCACACCAATTATCTCCAAAGTAAGCAAGCTATGGTAACGGATAGAATACATATACTGTGTATATATATATATATATATATATTTATATAGAAATACATATAAAACATCCATGACTGGAGTACAAATGCTCGTATTCATCACGCAAACATCTGCCCCCCACGGGGTTCGAACCTGGGACATCTCGAGCCGGCGATACCATGAAACCCGGCGTACAAACTTCTCGGCCACGGAGGTCGTCAATTCTATAAACGTCTGTTTTATAAACTCAGTATCTGCAGGAAGTATACATAAGTAAAAGTATTAACTTCATTAGTGATTTCGATTTAAAATCAATCAGTGTTAGATGATATCGAGCAAGTTGCATAACTTCTACGTTCCTATATTAAACTCTCTAAACACTACGCCATCTAGCTCCTCAATTGAAAAGTTATTTTGACTATAATGCGTTTACTGACTCAATTTTTATTGAATACACACAACTCTTTCTTCAATATTGGCCAGGGATTTTAATTGAGAAACACATATCTACAAAGTTCTTTAATCATCAATGGAAAAAACTAAAGCTTAATGTTGGTAATTGTAATATTACTATTTACAGTCAATAAATAAATTAGAACAAACGAATAAATAGTTATTAAATACTTAAAACTAATTTAACTTAGGTGTCATACTTGGGACCATTCACCGCGCATCATTTTGTTTTGTCTTCTTCGGTCTTTTTTATTTTTATTACCATTGCTCGACTTCCGCAGTAAGGAATCAAATAAAAGCATGTCGGCATAGTCATCATTCTCATCATCTTCGTCTTTGTTATTTTTTACTTTTGTATGTTTATTTTTGTCATGCCTCTTACTTCTTCCAAATAAACCTAACTGATCACCAACCGTTTCACCGATATCAGATAAACGAAGCACGTCTAAATCCTCATAATCGAATCCGCGATGTTTCTTTTTTGGTAAAGAAAGACCTGAATAAAAGTCGCCAGAAACAGGAGTGTGGTCAAATGTATCAAACGTATGTCCTCTTGTTTCTTCAGCTTCTAGAGATTCTTTGTGTTCCTCTGAATTAGAATCAAGGTCTTGTACAATTTGGATCAAGTCATCATTCACCTTTTCTTCAGTTGCCGCAGTAAACGTCGCCGTAGAAGGCATTTTGGGCGTGATTGTTTCAATTTTCTCATAAGTAACTTCTTGTTTATTTGTGGAAGACATTTCTGCGTCTTTGCCGGATCCAGATACTATAGGAGTAACTGGCATCACAGATAACTGACCAGTTATATGTGCAAGAGACATCTCAAGGCCTGGATCCTCAAAATTCGTCACGCTTTTTGCGGTGGTAGAAGGTAGAGGTTTAACATTTTGATTAAATGCAACTATTGGTTCAAAGGTTTGATCGATTTCATCGTTAACAACTTGTCTTAGTTCTGTGCTTGAAACAATAGGCAAAATTGGCACAGGAGTAACTATTGGTATAGTAACTAAAGGAACTGAGGTTGAAGCGGTAGCAGTAGAAGGAGTTGTACTTTCAACAGTTATAGCAGTCGTTGGGCGTCTCGACGGGCGTCTTTTCGATGGCCTTCTTGTAGGACGCCTATTTCCTGGGCGAATTTTAACTGTGGTGGAACGGGTAGGTTTGAGTGTCGTTGTCCTCGTACTAGGTTTTCTACTAGGACGTCGCGATGGACGCGGTCGCCTAGTAGTAGTAGTGCTTTGTACAGGCGCTTGTTTCTTCTTATTTTTATTCGGTTTCTTATTGCCCGATGAACCAAACAGGTCTCCCAATAAGTCTTCTCCTAAAAGACTGAATCCTGTATAGTCTGCACTTTCAACATCGTTGATTGCATCTAATTCACCTGAAAATATCAAAATGTTTTGTTACAACTCAGTAATACTCGGTCAACATATATTAAAATAAAAAACAACCAAGTGAGAATTAGATTCGTGCAAGATGGGTTCAGTTTCATTGTTCACAATTTAACAGTAAATAAAATTATATGGTTTTCATTACTACATTTTTATAAGATTGTAGCTTTATAGCGGCAACAGGGATGCACATTATGCAATAATTTTAACTGTCCATTAATAAGATTAAGATGCAAATACAACCCGTTGTCAGACTGACGGACAGTAGAGGAATAATTGTAAGACCGTTGTTACCAGTCGGGCATGGCACCACAAGAAAATCAAAACATGAAGCATCCATATAAATATTTACAAACACAAAGTTATTCATCGTATAGTAAGGGCGAACTCTAAAAATCAACATTCGATGTATCGTGATTTTATCATGTCCTAACATAGGTTACGGCAATATTAAGCTTTTTTAAAAAAGCTTTACAAGCTACAGCTGAATATAAGATGATTAAGGATATGAATCGAAAATCAACTTAAGAATTAGTTTAGTGCTTAATGGAATCTATGAAATTTATGATTTAACGTGCCACATGACAGTAAAATGAAAATGTGATATTTATCGTATCACCATTAACTTACCGTCATCATCATCGTCGTCATCATCATCATCGTCGTCGTCGTCATCGTCTCCTAATCCAAAGTCGTCGTCATCCTCATCATCTTCATCATCATCATCGCCAGCTTTCTCGCCTTGGGGAACCAATGGAAGCGGATCAGCAGGCTCTGACGTCACTCCGCGAGGTCCAAACTTGAAGCAGGATACTCGGACTGCTGCTTCCACAGAAGTCTTAGACTGAAGCTCTAAGCCAAGGCATGCTCTGAATTCTTCGCCAGCTCTAGCTATGTTGTATACCCGTCCGCAGAATTTTGATACTCCTCCAGGTAATGGTAGACAAACTGGGCTGGGTTTGCGACCTGGTAAAATAAAATGAATAGATCTTTATGGCCAAATTGATATGATACTTTTTTAAACATTTATAAACCTATTAAATAAAACTAGTTTTAACGGATTAATGCACGAACTTTATTTATTTGTTGACGTTTCGCAGCCTTTGAATAATGATTTTTTATTTACTTTGTCGAGCTACCTTCTCGACACCTCTCGAAAGTAGCTCGACATTTATAAACCTTTTACAGAAATTTAAAAACAGTACTACAGAGTAACTTAATTAAGTACCTAATAAACTTAGATATGATGAAATTTTACTTCGACGTAAATCAGAGAAACTTGATTTTATAGTATACAAAATATTTTAGCATCACACATAACATACAAACTAGAACTTAATTTATGTGTGCTCAGTCTAGAGTCTACATGTAAACGTGTCAAATTACGTTCATGAAAATTTTTAGCTAAGCTTTAAGTTAACCGAGGGATTTCATTTCTTAATATTTAGAAAATATAAGTATTTCATTTTTCTTCCAAAAATATTATATTGGAACTTTCTTTTTACCTCATTCGGGGTCTTCAAACAACAGGATGTGGGCCAAAACAGGTTCAATAGCAGTTTCGAAATGTAGTGAAGTGGCCGAAGAAAGTGACTAAATTATAGATATTTCTAAACTCGTGTCATCCATTATGTGACATGTTGTACTCACTGGAGAGGGTCCGGTTCGTGATGACCTTCTTTCCGAAGCTTAGTGACACCGCCATTTTGTCGCCGTTCAGGTACATCAGTGACGCACATCCTGGAAAGCGAAGTATCCCACTAATTAATACGGATCCCAAAGCAATCGAAAGTATATAATAAACATGTTGATTCACTAAGACTCTAATGCGTCTTTGCATTTCATAAAAGCTCGCTTTTATTATCTTTATTTCGAATAAAACAAAAAGATGACACTCAATAATAAATGCGCACATTCGGATTTTATCATAGCAAATATTAATCAAACTGGAATTTTACATAGTTGTTTAAGGTGCGAAAAGTACGTCTTTTTAAAAGTAATGCCTTTTTATTTTTCCAGAATGTATGCTTTTAAAATCCATCAAATTCTATGAAAAACGAATTAAAAATCATCAGCCTATTAATGTCCCTAAGGCTTCCCATATGGATCCAGTGCAGATTGACGAGTGCTAGCGACTGCAACAGATGCCATGATGATCGGCCTTTGCGAAAAATGCATAACACTTCCTCGATCGCTCACTAAACGCGCTAACCTCTGCGCTATCGAGCTCCTTATAATTAATTTTATAATCATAAGAAGTTTCAATCCAATTAAAAATGTCTTTATTCAAATTGGAAGCTTTATACCACTCTTTTGAATCGTCCTTCGTTAAGGAAATTTTTAACTATGAAGAAATACAGGCGAAAAATTCTTCACAGCGTCAAATCATGTTACAATATTTACAAACTATAAAATCGTTACAGTGTCAATTGCAAAATCACGTCCTCTTCTTAATAATTAAAGGAACAACCTGTGGTAATGTTTCTTATCTGACACCTTATAATACGCTTTATTCATAAGAACTTTTTTAGAGAAGCTTTTAATTTATTGACGCTCAATTTTTATACATTCTATCCCTAAAAATATAGTCCCCTATATTGTATTATAGAATCGTACACAATCAAAGTATCTAATAAACCAACAACCCACAAGCGTACACAACACACAGTAAATAATTGATAATCACCTGGACCGTTCAAATTGAGCACGGGCACTTGGAAGTCGCGGCAACAATTGCAGTACGCCTCCGAACATTTACAGTACTTATTGATGCTGTTGTCTTCCAACTTGTCGCTGTCATTCCTGTTCTGTATCGCCTTCCTGTTATTCTTCTGTTTCCCTATTGAAAAGGTGAAGATATTTTAACAAAATGTTTTTTTAATGTTTCCTTTCTAGATTGAACAAACTTAGGAATCGTTAATTACTACAAACTTTATCACGTAGGGAAATTTTAAGAGAGGGAATAGCGGATTAGCCGCTAGAATTAGAAAAAATGAAAAAAAACGAAAATGAGTTTAGTTTTGTTCTACTGTTTCAAAGAAAGCTGATAAAATTTGCTATAAAACATTCTTTTTTTTAAACCTCTTACTTTTATAGTTTAGAAAAAAAAATGTGGAACTTTTTTTGGAGGCCAATATATTCAAAGTGGATTTGTGATAGAAGGAGATTTAAAGAAGTTTTGTTTTTCGATTGTTAGATCAAGTGAGTATTTTCAGTGACAAAGTATCAAAGTTTTATTGGTTACTAAGAACTTGCATTAGAAATATTTCTACGCATTTTTTTATACAAATGATATGACCCCGTCACGAATGAAAGATCATGTCTTTAGTTGGAGTTAGGTTCAAACATAAAGATAGTCTAGTAGAGGTGTATATTGCATCAGCCAACTTTTACTCTTGCCAGTCTGATTATTACTTTTCCCATGTAACTTTTGCAAATATTCTTAAAATAAGATTTTTTTTTCTTATAATACGACAGATTGTATGTTTTTCTTCAACCCTAAGATACAGTTAGTCTATAAAAAGATTTTTACTTGAGTCATAGAATGTACTTATTTTACGTAAATATAATAAACGCAGTATTAGAGAGTCACTAAAAGTTTTTATTGATACCAAACACGACCAATTTAACTGCATGGATTAACTAAGTTCTTGCATTCGTCCAATAAAAAAAATGACGTTAACACGTTACAAAATTATACGTGGTTTTTACACTCTACCAAAAGAACATGAATGATTGATTCCTTTATCCAATAAAAAGTATCTAATTATTTATTTGCCACAAAAATTATGTACCATAAAAAATGTTATGCTACGAGTATGTTGGAAAAAACTGTGGAGATACAGTTATGGAGTCCCGTCTGCAGCCTGGTCCGCGTGGAATTATTTCTAGTAATATTTTCTGTCGAGATACAGTTAAAACTCTGAAAAAAACTTTTCATGTTCGTTTTTCTCTGTGTTACTACTTAAAGCTTTTCATTTAAGTTCTAAAGAAGTTTATATTCATGGCACTAACATAATATTTTAGCACCCGTTATAAGAAAGAAAGGAGTACAAAAAATACAGTTAAAATGTAAAAAAGCAATTTACATTTCTAAAGCTATTACGAAATGTATGATATTGGTTTGGCGGGCCGTTTTATAAAAATATAAGTAGATAATTTCTTCACATAAAGCGTACATTGAACGCGTGTGTTTGTGAACGTTTAAAAACTACTTCCTTTAAAAAAAATTGACGTGCGTGCAAGTCGCACGCACAAATCCAACCAACAAAAAAACCTAATGCATTAAATCAAATGCTCAGAACTGATTACAAAATCACGAGCGTGTTATTTAATTGTTTACCAACTTTCACGGGGATTCAATGCGTTGCCACTATACTTATAGCTCGCACTTTAATCTTTTATTGAAAGAATAGCAATTTAAATTATTTAGAGCAATTATTTTTTGTTATTGAAGCTATAAAATGATTTCAGTACGTTGAACTACTCAAAACTAGTTAACGTAAGCTAGTAAAATACTGCACGTGCGCATTTTTATATAAATGATTCTTTTTTATTTTAAAATTGTGGCAAAGGACCAAATGACCCTCATGGTAAGCGGTTGCCATAACCTGTAGACGCTTGCGATTCCAAAAATCTCTCTTGCGCCGTTGCCTTGTCTGACCCTGTGAAGTAATTATTACTATAAGCAAAGTTGTATTTTCACTGCTGGGGAATATGCTTTTCCTATAGAAGAAGAATGGAGAAGAGGCCCTGCATGGCACATTCTGAGTGTGGGTCATTAGCACCCGTAGTGCGGATTGATATGCAGCTTAACATAACTTTTGGAGCACTCATCCCTAAAGCGGTCATTGAGAAAATTGCTTAACTCCCACGATCACGTACTAGCCACTGTGCCATCGAACTCCTCATTCTTATCATCATCATCATCAGAATAAGGAGACTGGGTCATGACCACCACGCGGGTCCGATGCGGATTGGTGCTAACTACTTCAGATGCAGCCGGTAACAACGGCTTAACGTGCCTTGCGAAGCACGGAGGAGCTCGAGACTATTAGTTTTTGGTCACATATCCAATGACAGACCAATGCAAAACTTAACTTTCACGGTCGCACCAAATGCGCCATCGAACTCCTTAATCACTTCACATTTTGTCGAATCGATCAAAGAAAATGAAAGTAAACGTTATTTAAAAAAGAAACTTTAAAACTTTTTTGAATAGGTACTACAAGAGTTTTACCTAACACCTTGAGCTGAATACATTATTAACTTTCATATTTAGAAATTAGAATTTTTATACCGTCGTCAACATCATCATTTTCATATGAAGAAAATGCTGAAATTCAACCACAAGGGTGATCCAACAGTGGTTCTTATGACTGCTAAATACTGATTAACATAGCTTCTAAACAAAACACGGAGGATCTCGAGATATCCATTTTTGATCAACTATCCCCAAAAGCGAAAATTTTTGAGCCTTGTAAAAGTTGCTCATTTTTACAATAGCATAATTATCATGATTACCAGTTCAGCATCGAGTTTCCTGCGTTAGTGTGGTAGTAATCCTGTGCAATTACAAATGAATAGTTACACTTCATATCCCAACTGCTGGGGCACGGACTTTTCCTATCAAGGAAAAGGGTGATTGGGTCCATAAGCCATAACTAGGGAATAGGATCCCGCAAGATACTTTCAATCTAGGTATTTGCGGGATTGAACCATCTTAGTCTCGTTGGATGCAGTCATAGTAAAGACATGATAGACTGCATTTTCGTGGTCTTACAATACGCGATACAATACACATATATTATATATGTAGAAAATCTTATTAATATAATATAATAATAATCGTCTTATATAAAAAATATAACCAAAAATGTTTAATACCAAAGCTTCTGTGTTTTCAGCATGTAAAGGGAATAAAAAAAATCTAACAAATCTGCTATAAACATAAACTATAAGAACTTAGTCTTCTATTTATTTCTTACTCCTCTAATTTCAATTTAAATTAAATAAACCTGTTTTAATCTCAATTATGTCTGCATTTTACGATAATTGTTAAGAAAAATATTTGTTTACTTAAAGGTGTATTATCAGTACTATTATCATTAATACTCACTGACGCTCTTCGATGCCGCAAAAGCCAGCAGCACGAAAATGAGCAGCAGCTCAAAAACTAGCGAGAGCTTCATTTTGGAGGCTAGCTCTTCGCCTGTGGTGAAAGAAAAACGAAAATTAAACTAAACATGAAAAAAAAAACTAATTCTATTTCACTGCTACAACATCGAAATTTTTTTTTTTACCGATATTTGAAAAACGTATAAAAATTATGTAATCTTGTATTCCTAATAATAACAAATAATAAAATTCGGAATTTCTTATGTCAGTTTTTAATAAAATCCAATTTCGAGCTTTCGAAGATATCGCGTTGAAGTCTTTTCTTTTAAACTACATTGAAAGGTCTGCTTTAAACCAAAAACATGTGTTTGAATATTCTAACTACACTTTTTCACTTAATCACTAGGTATTTTAAGTATGTATTATAAATTTAACTCACCCCATATAACTATATATAATTTAGAAGATCCAAAATTGTGTTTCAATCTTGTCCAGTGTCACACCTCGACGAGCGTTCACGTTCAATTAAATACAATTAACAGAAATCAGACAAGCCCTAAACGCATACACGGACGCCGTTAAAATCAACACTGGTTTGTTAAAGAAGCTTGCTACTACTGCCAGAGAAATGCCGTGACGTATATCAGACGAGAAAGGAAAACTGTTGGTTGCGTCTCTTTCACCAATCATACAAAGGAAAGAGAGGGGACAGAGCAGGGACGCACTCCGCCGCCTAAGTAGATTTCAGTGTCAAACTCGCCGTTAATATGTAACTAATATAACACATAGTACTTTGGAATGTTCTTAATGGCAGGATGTTAAGTCTCATTTTTGTATTAACAATACTATAATTGTGCTTTTCTGGTAGATCTTTAAAGGTGTGTCTGTAGGATTTATGAATGAAATCGGCTTTATTTTAATAAATTAAATTGATACGTAATTAAAATTTCGCTAACATGTTTTAATATCTACAGTAGTCAGAGGTATTACTTCCTATGCGCTTAAACTTGAATAGTGCAATTTACTGATTTCAATTGAAAATGACATCAACGCGATCATGCGTGTGTGGTATTCCAATTTCGAATAACTTTACTTTTGGTTTAATGTATAAGTTCTGAAAAAGTAACGAATTAATATTAATATAGTTTTAAAGACTATGTCTATATATGTCTATACTATGTCTAAAATGAATGAAGAAAAGGAACAGAAAAACCCCGATACCATGTAAAATAAATTCTTTGGGATTATAATGATTTATTTATTTAATTCCAGGCCAAAATCCACAGTATTTTTCTTACTATAATACAGGTTTTACAATATCTTAATGTCAATTACGGATTTTATTTTTTTAGTTATAGCATAAAAGTCATATGGTTGCCATGAAAAAGTCTTTGATCAAAATACTAGTCATTAAAATATACTGCTACCTATATAAATTAAAATCAAAATATTTTGTGTTTTTGTTGTTTTTTTTATATAAAAGGCGCAGTAAACCACCTCTTCAATCTGGTGTTTGGTGTAAGTATAAGTGTGAAGTAGTGTAGCTTAAAAGTGCCGCTTTAGCCATCTTCACCTTGCTGTCCTGAAACCTTACTCAAAGAGTAGTATTTATATTATGACCTTACTCATAGACAGAAACATAACAGGAACAAAAGGTAAGTAGTTTTATTAACGACAGTATTCTGTATAGCCTCGATGACACGGGGTCAGTTTACAAACTACAAGCCAGCGATTTCGCTAGTTGCTTGAAAACTGGCCCCGTATCATCGAGTAGCAAATGGTAAAAAAGCCGATGACACGGGGAGAAAGAGAGACACAAGCTGCTAGCGAACTGGCTGGCTTGTAGCTTTGAAACTCGTCCCGTGTCTTCGAGGCTTTAGGTGGAGATTTCCCAAGACAGGGGCTCCAACTCAAACTGAAAACTCGCATCAAAAAATCATAAAGCGCGATAGCAAAGCAATTCTTTAAAAAGAATTTGTTTTAAGTGATGCACCAACTCAGACATATTATCAACGTGATCACGTTAATCATTTCATTTTAACTTGTGAAGATTGTATATGTACTTGCATCTGTATAGTGCTGGTATTCCATACAATACCTAGGCAATGTTTGTAATGCCTAGACGCCCAAGGGGGCGTCTAGGCAATGTATGAAATATTATAAATTTTATTCACCGACAAAAAATAAATTTTACAGAAGGTTTTTTTTTAATATTTCTAAAGAGAAAATTCATTATTTAATAATGTTTTGTTTTTGGAAGTAAGTTTAAGTACGACAGCAGGGATGGATCCGTTACTGCTAAAAATAGTAGATTTGATAAAAAAAAACGCATTTTTGACAAAAGTGTCGACCATAATTTGGCGGTAACGGCTCGAGTTCGTTGCGACCGGCATGCGGCAAGTTAGAGTAGCTGCTGCGGCACCTATCTCTTCTGCATGAAGTGCCTACTCCACTCTCCACTTTACTTCAAGAGAAACTCCACTTTACTTCAAGAGAAGCTTCACTTTACTTTAAGAGAAGTGTAGTAATTTATTAAAATTTCTATCTTTATAAAAAACACTAGCAGACTTCCAACCAGGTGCTTCTAACTCTTATTACTATGCACATATGTGGCATGTTTCAAGTACGAATAAAAAGGTGTCACGTTTAAATTGCACATACAGAAGGTATAATATAATTATGTACCTATTAAACTCTCCCTACATTTTTTTTTTAATTTTTATGTTCATCTATATATCTATCATATCGCTGCTTTGGTTAAGTATTACTTATTCTGTCTTAATAACATCTTAAATCTTGTCATAATGAATAGCATTTTAATGTAGAAAATTAAATCTCCTGCTGATATTTATGTTAAATTGAAACTTAAGTAACTAAAATTTTACGTTACTGGCAACACTTACCAACTCCACTCTCTACATACGAGTATATTTTATGTATATTATTGAAACAACTTAAACTTATTTCGAATCCACACTAATATTATAAATGCGCAAGTATGTCTGTTTGTCTGTCTGTTCACGGTTAAACCGCTGAACCGATTTAAATGATATTAGATAGTGAGATTGTTCGAGTCCCGGGAAAGAAGATAGGATAGTTTCATTTTAAACCTTCATGGTCACTAACATTATAGTAATATAACTTTTTTACGGGATTGTTACCATGTACCTTGTTTTTAGCGAGCTTCCGATATTTCGGCACTGTTGCAAGCGCCATGATCACGGAGTAACTCTATGTAGTTATATACAAAAACAAGGTACATGGTAACAAACCCGTAAAAAACTTATATTACTATAAGGATAGTTTCGATCCTAGATATCTTCCTTTAAGGAGGTCAAAAGAGGGCTAGAAGAGTATATGGGAAACCAATATTTCCATGCAGACGAAGCCGAAGGCACCCACTAGTTTTATTATATGTTAACCTATTTTTGTATTCATCATAAAGGTAGTATGGGAAAAATTAAAGAAATGTGGAAAGATTAAAAAAAAATGAGTTTCCTATCATTCCTCGTATATTCTAGAAAAATCTCCATTTACAGCGTGTTGCTCTCGGATGTACTGCTACTGAATTGCATTGGCATGTAACTAATATTATTTAGTAAGCTTTTCCATTACAGATTTAAATTCTTTTAATTTAAATATATCTTATGGTGCACTTACGAGAAGACGGCTCACCTCTCACTTATTTTTTATTTTATAACAAAGTTGCGGCGCCTCACGACTTCATCTGCTTTATATTTAGTTTTTTTTTAATTTCACAGAAACCTCAATTTTTCCGGAATAAAAGTATTATATGTCTCAATACAGCTATATGCGTGCCAAATTTAATCCAAATTTCTTCAATAGTTTTTTCTTGACTGAGTAACAAATATACAAACTTTAACATTTATAATATAAGTAGGATATCGTTTAATGAATTTCAATTGTATGATTTTATTGTGAGTCGTGTACTTAGAGCCCCATAAATTGTACTTAATATGGTCTGTACAACACGAGATAAAATATATACTTATTATTCAATGTAGCTACAATCGCTGTAAACTCTACAATAAATAGTTTATAACAATATGTAAAAAAAAAGTAAAAAGGCCAAGTGTGAATTTATATTTTTCTTTATTATTGTGCCGTAGAAATATAGCTTCTGTGAAATTTTAAACGGTAAATTGTATTGAACCTATCACTGCTACATAGACAGATGTACTGTCTATAGCTGTGTATGTGTGTAACGGAAGTTTATTATATCAATAATAAAATCTACTTAATAACTAGCGGCCGCCCGCGACATTGCCCACATTAACTTAAGTTTTTTGAGCATCCTACAGGAACCTGACATTTCCGGGATAAACAGTATCCTGTGCCTCAAACCAGGTCATAAACTATATGTGTACCATATTTCATCCAAATCCGTTTAGTAGTTATTGCGTGATTGAGGAACAAACATACAAACACACAAACGTACAAACATTCACAATTATAATATTAGTATATAGTACAAAAGTAGAATAGGATAATATTGCCAGGTTAGAGTTTTCAAATACATTTTCAAAGGCAGTCCTTTTGCATTTGCAACTTGTATCTTACAAGTTTGAACTTACTTGTCCAGTAAGCTGTATATTATTTACGTATGCAAGGGCAGTAGTGACTACTTACCATCAGGTGAACTGCCAGCTCGTTTGACTACATAAATATAAAATGACATTAAAAAAATGAGTATGGTCAGCGTGGAATCTTTTCTAGTTATATTTTCTTTAGATTTAAACATCAAGAAGTTACATGTTCAAAACATTAAAATTATGAGCATGCTTGACCACACGACTGAAGTGAAACTTCTTTAGCTCTATCTGTATATATATATATATATATATATATATATATATATATATATATGTGTGTGTGTGTGTGTGTGTGTCTGTAAAATATATACATATATATACATATTTCATTTACTAGCTACGAGTATAAGAGAAAGAGAGAAAGAAAATATGCGCGCGCCCTTCTTTCTCTTGCTTATATCCCCCACTCAACACCCGTTCACCTGGTCCGATCACACTTTTCGAAACGCGTTCTCCAGCTTACTCCCCAAGTCAAGCGTGCGTAAAGAAGTTTCACTTCAAAAACTTTTTTTTCTTCAAAGGCCATTTCAATGCATCGTGACTACAAGAAGGTCGTCACCGCCACCCAATCATCTCGAGGCTCGACCGTGTATGCCACGGTCACTTTCTACTCGGAGAAAGTAGTCGACGCCGAATAGTCCAGCGTTTTGTTTGTTTTACCGATCCGGTGTGGTAAGTACGTTCACATCATCACACTCACTAAACGAAACTGGTAAATATTGTACTATATTGAGTCATAGTTATGATTTCTCTTCTATGATAATATTTTTTAGAGATTTGCACTCAGAAGTAACCGTACCAATACAAAATTTATGTGATGAATACTTCTTCAGCTTTAAATGATTGATGTATCTAAATCATTTAAAGCTGAACCTACATATTATAAAATGGTAGGAAAGTCAAAACTGTACATTGAATATTTTTTAAAAGAATACTTGGGGTGATCTACAATCAACACCGAAGCCAAAAATATAGCTTTTAGAATTTTTGT